CCCCACGGCTAGACGTTCCGCCCGCCGATCGGAGAGTCAGGCCCGTAAGGCGGCCTGGAGCTTTAACGTCCATGACGTGGACAGCGCGATAAAGCCGGTCGCTTTGGAATTGTCGAGTCCGTGATGTGCTATACGTCACACATGATTCACCCCAATTCCATGTTTTTTAGGGTATGTTCTGTTCCCAGCAATCAAAGGATTAGAAGTTTTATTAAAATCACCTTCTTTTTTCCTTAAATCATAGTCGTCACGTACTGCAGCGATAGGGTGCGATCTCACCTGCTTGTCCAGCGCCACTCCAGCAACTCATCCGTGCCGCCGTGCACACACGTCCGACACGTCGCGGCTAATCCCCCCTCCCCCCCCCCCACCGCCGTCGCCGCGTTCCGCCGTGCCCAGCGCCGCGCTGTCGGTGTCGGTGTCAGTGTCAGTGTCACATGGCGGGCCGGGCCGCGCGATTTATTGCCCGGCCACATCATTACACCGGGTTAGCCGACTGATGGGCCTGTCCGGGCGGCGGCCGACCGGCAGGTCCCACCAGAGCCCGATGGATGCGAGCAGGCGCGGTCCGACCCGCCGGGCGGGACGCTGCCGATCGCTTAAGAGCCCGAGCCGATAAAGCAATCGTTAAGCTCTTTTATGAGGTTGCAGGGCGCGAGCGACGGCTTATCGGTGCACGATAGTGCGAGCGCCCGTTCCCGGCTCAGCGACCGTTGGTCAGGCCAGTTCAGGAAAGACGTCCACGCGCGTGATCCGCGCTCGTCTTCCCGCGGCGTTGCAGTCATCTGGTGTTACTTGCCTGTGCTGCAGTGCGATCACCCAGCCGGCTGCAGGGGATGTCTTCCTGTGAGGCCGCAGCGACGTGCAGTCTCCGACCGACCGCCCGACACCCGGCTATTAATTGGGGCGATTTGCTAACCCTGTGCTCAGTGCCGGAAGTCTGTAAGTGGACCACAGCCCGTGGCGACGCTACCACGAAGTCATGGTCGAGCCGCGGTGTCCTGGTTAACGCTGCGATTCGCTGTATTTTGCGGTTTGAAACAGGTGGCTGAGGTGGTGCTTGTGTTCCGGAATGGTGGGGATGGATTCGACGCAGAATGTCAGATCTCCCGCGGCTTTCGGAAGAACATCTTGGGAAAATGAGTGGCAGGTCCATTCGTGCTTTAACTTTGTCGACCATGCATTTGGCGAAGTCACTCGAAGTTAATTTGCCCAGGCCGCCCAGAAGCCAAGCCCTGGGCTCTGAAGGAGACCTCGGCGAGACACGGCCCACCGCCTGGCGCGGCGGTGCACGCCAGATCCCGGTGTCTGACAAGTGATATTGAAATATCACGTTTTCACCCGGGGAGTGGTCGTAAACTCCGGCGATCGTTACGTTGTTGAGCTCCACCATTACACGTGAGAAGCGGCACGCTGGCTGCAGCCATTTATATGCACGAGTCCACCCTGAGAGCCATGGAGAATGGATGCTACGGCAATTTAAGATATAGGTTCTGGACGTTGTCTTATTGCTATGGCACTGAGACGATGCAGATGCCTTGCCTTGGACGCCGTATATGTTTTTGAGACCACTACGTGGGCCAACTGCGCAAATAATAGCCTGGACGCCACAAAACATACCAACTCCGTCAGTTCAGCTGTACTTCTGCACCTCTGAAAAATCGACTATTTTACGCACGAAAGATGACGCCATTAATTTGTACAGCTCTTGAACAATCCTTGAACTTGAACAATTGAGCAAACAAACAACAAACTTGAACAAAGTTAGCAAGTGAAATGTTGTGCTTCGCCACTAAGCGCATTGAAATTTATAACCAAATGCGCCTGTACAGCCGCCACCGTCTCTGACCCCCTTCGGCCCCCGGCCCCCGTCTCTGACCCCCTTCGGCCCCCGGCCACCGTCTCTGACCCCCTTCGGCCCCGGCCACCGTCTCTGGCCTCCCTTCGGCCCCCGGCCACCAGCTCTGGCCTCCCTTCGGCCCCCGGCCACCAGCGTCTCTGGCCTCCCTTCGGTCCCCGGCCACCAGCGCTCCACCGCGGGCTGACACACTCGTACGTTGCAGACTCCGCGCGCCATGATCGTCCCCGGCGAGGCGCAGCTGCCGTTCGCGGCGAAGCTGGCGCGGCTGCCGGCGCCGGCGGGCGTGCGGCTCGACGCGCCCGACGCGCCATCGCCACCGCCGCGGCGAGACCTGCGCACCGCGTGGAAGAAGCGGCACAACGAGCGCTACCGGCGCGAGCAGCAGCAGCAGCGGGCGGCGGCGGCGCTCAGCCCGCGCCAACGCCTACGCGCCAGCCAGGAGACGCCGTACCCGCGCTACGAGCGGGCCGCTGCAGGTGGACGTGCGGCCGTCGGAGGGCGCCGGTGAGGTGCCGTACGACCTGTCGCGGCGCGCCGAGCACCAGCGCATGTCGCCGGCCAGTGACCCAAGCCTGGCCGGCGCCGCCGAGCAGCCGCTCGACCTCACCGTCCGCAAGCCGGCCGACCAGGACGAGAATATGAACGAGGTGGGGCCGCAGAGGTGGCCCGAGGGGCCGGCCATCGAGCCGCCGCCGCCGCCCGGGGAGCCGTCAGCGGCTTCGCCGCCGCTCCCTCCCGAGGCGTCCCCGACGCATCACTCAGCGGGGTCATCGACCTCCCCTGCGGTGGAGTTGCGATCGCTTCATCCTCTGGGGTCTCCGCTGGCTCCTCCAGAGGAGCCACTGTCGCATCTCCCAGCGAGGTCTCCGGCGCTCCCTCCAACAGTGTCGCCAGTTCAGTATTCCACGGGATCACTGACTCATCATTCGACGGGCCCAGCGGTGTCTGCGGCAGGTTCGCCACTGCGGCCCCCCACGGGGTCACCGGTGTTCCGTCAGGCCGCTTCCCCGCCGCAACAGCCCTCTGGGTCACCGACACACCCGCCAGCGGCTTCATCGGGGTACATGCTGGTCAGGTCACCGTTGCACTTGCCAGCAAGATCGAGAGAGCATCCAAGCTCGATGATGCGCCCTGCAATTAGCACACTGGGGCCCCTAGTGCATCCCCCGAGGCGGTCACCGATATACCGCCCGACAGAGTCACCGATGCACCATCTAGCGAGGTCACCGGAGCATTCTGTGGAGTCGCCACTGCATCCTGCAGCAGGGTCTCCAGCACTTCACCCCGCCGTGTCACTAGCGCACCCTCTACCCGAGTCGCATCTGCAGCCACCTGCGGGGTCACCGGTATACCGCACCGTGGCGTCGCCCCTACGCCACCCTCCGCCGTCCCCCGTGCACACGGACGCGGTGCCGAAGGACGCCACCGCGATGCACTTCCCTTCGAGGTCTTCCGCCCACCCCTCAATCCGGTCACCGGCCGAAGGCCCGGCGCGATCGTCGGTGCACGTTCAGGAGCTGGCGGCGGCGGCGCGCCCCGCCGGCGGCTCCCCGCACTCGGCGGCCGGACCGCCGCAGTCCTACCCAGCCGTGCAGCCGATGCCGCTCCTCATGCGGCCGCCGGCGTACCGGGCCGACCCGCAGCCACGCCTGCAGCCCGCCTACCACGCCGGGCCCGACGGCGCCTGGCTGGTGACCGCCGCGTCCGAGCTGTCGCCGCCGCAGGCGCAGGCATACCTGCTGCAGGCGCGCCACGGTCCGCCGGCACCGACGGCAAGGCCCGAGTTCGCCCGGCCCATGGTGGTGCGCACGGCCGGGCTGGAGCTGGCGCCGCTGCGGCGCGGCCCGCCGCCCGAGCCGGCGCCGCCCGCGCAGGAGAAGCCGCCCGGCACGTTCCAGATGATGCGCGCGCAGATCGAGCCCATCAACGTGTCGCGCAGTCAGACACAGAGCACCAGCCGGCTCAAGGACAAGTACTGGTGCAAGTTCTGTGGCAAGAACTTCCCGCGCTCGGCCAACCTGACGCGCCACCTGCGCACGCACACGGGCGAGCAGCCGTACAAGTGCAAGTACTGTGAGCGCTCGTTTAGCATCTCGTCCAACCTGCAGCGCCACATCCGCAACATCCACAACAAGGAGAAGCCGTTCCGGTGTCCGCTCTGCGACCGCTGCTTCGGCCAGCAGACCAACCTGGACCGGCACCTGCGCAAGCACGAGTCGGACGGGCCGACCATCCTGGACGGCGAAACTCCGCGGCGGCCGTACACGGTGCGCCGCGGCTCGCCGGCCGCCTCAACTGGCGGCAGCCGCACCGACTCCGACTCTGACTCCGACTCGGACGAGATCGACGTCGAAACGCCGGACAGTCCGGACGAGCCGCCGTCGCTGCAGATCGACGAGTCGGCTGGTGCGTCGGAGCCGGCGAGCGGCGGCGGCGACGGCGGCGACGGCGACGGCGGCGACCGATCTACCTAGCACCGCCGGCGGCCGTCGGTGGTGTCAAGCCTAACTGAAGGGGGGGGGGACTCGAGGCTGCCAATTCGCGAAGTTACCTGAGGTGCTGCAATCAGCGTGTTCAGAGACGTAGTCAGCGTGATCCGCGGGGAGGCCGGCACGGCCGCAGACGTGTTCGTATTTATTTATGGCGTGCGCTGCAATGGTAGCGAATGAGGTAGTAGGTATGGTGCATTAGTTTTGAGGCGCGCATCTTTTGGTAGGAGCTCATTACTGTCGCTGTAAACCCCTGTGAACGGATTCCGGAAGAACCCGGGATTGGTCGAATCTTAATCGGAAGTTCGAAGCCATTAACTGGTTTCTGATGATATCCCAGAACTGATCAACTGATACCGACTAGGTTAAAAATGGATCACTATTGTTCTCCTCGAACATAGACGATAATAAACGTGCAATCAAAGACACTGACAATAGAGTGCGTATTTATACAATGGAAATGTCCGTGAAGCATTCCAATTTTTGCGGTCTAGACTAGTCATTGTTAAGAAATGTCCACGGTTTGAGCGTATTGGCAATAAAGTGTCCCGAGATGGCTTGCGCTGTTTCTGCTTCATTAACCGACCTGGAGGAGCGCCGCGGCGAACATGGTCTGCCTGCGCACGACGGCGTTCACGCCTCACGCCCGGGCGGCTGCAGACAAACACTGACATTTACGGCCCAGACACAGCCCTATCACCGCAGGGCCGTGATTGGCGTCAGCAGCTGATGACAAACGTCCACGCCCCACTGCTGACCTTCGCAGCTCAGTCCTCTGCAACCGACGCCGGCATTACCATTGTAAAATGCCGCAGCTTGGTAATTATTGCCCATGCATCAATAGGTCGTACAAGTGGAGCACGTGGCCTCACGTCATGATTCAGCCCCTCGACTATGCTCATCACGTCTGAGTTGCGCTGCTTAATGAGCGCATTACGATAGAAACTACTAGATAGCAATCAATCAATGCCCTATGAAAACTTTATGTCAGAATTAGACCGCTCTGGAATTTACTAACTAGGAAGGCAATTAAAAGTGATAGCGATCATTAAAGCTTTGAGCGATTGCCACTGTATGGTGGACAGCCATCTCGAAAGCATGACGTGGAGGTCATCAGACACCAACCACCGAACACCTGCATGTATTGGGTCCGACGTCGGCGGTGCAACCTCTGACCCTTCGCTCGCATCGCCCAATTCCCGCTAGATGTCAGCAGTGTCTGCCTGCCGGCCCGGCTGTCACCGGGTGCGCCTGGCCAGCAACGCGTTGGAGGGAAGGCAGCCCGGAGGGGATTGCGGGCCGGACAGGTCCCGCTGCGCGTCCCATCTGTCCCGCACCACCGCCCGCCCGTACACCGCACTGCGGTCATCTGACATCGGCCTCGCTGCGCCACTCGGCGCGGACACAGTCGGACGCCGCGGCCCGGGACCGACGGCCGCTTCCGGCGGACGCGGCGCCGGAGCGACCGGCCGTCAACGCGTGATCAGTGCTGGGGCAGCCGGCCGCGTCGGCGGCGCTTTCTCCGGCGCTGGGCGGCGCCGGCGGGCGTGCCGGCCGGACCGCCGGCGCCGGCCCCGCCCAGGCGGCCGCCGCCCGGCGCGCGGTCAAGGCTTGTGACGAAGCCTGGCGCGCCGCGAAGGCTGTGCGAGTCGCTGGCTGGTACCGCCTGAGTGGGGTACGACATATCCCGTTGGCGGCGGTTTAGGCTGCGAACTGATCGGGTGAACAGGGGTGGTGTCACGAGCAGGCGGCGGAAGACGACTGCAGCTAGACGTTGTTGATACACAACGCCAAGGGAAGGGATGTCGTGTATTACGCCTCACACACGCGGAACAGCTCCTGGATCGTTTCCACGCCACTAAACCAGGCCTTCTCCCACTTGGCGCAGGCGTCCGCCGTCTGTTGGACGGCGGCGGACCACACTTCAACTCCGGCGACTCGCTCGCTGGCCCAGGCCTCGAGGCACGCGGCGCGCGCCTCTTCCACGGCCGCCGCCAGCGCCAGCTCCAGCGACCGCCGCCCATCGGCGCTGAGGTGCGCGGCACCGGCCAGCGGAAACAGCGCGGCACTGCACGACTGCGCCACGTACGCCGCGTTCAGCTCAAAGCCGCGGCACAGCTCGTCACGTGCCACACCGCACTCGCCGTCGAGTGCGTGCAGCTCGCCGACGTACGTCTCCTTCTCGGCGATGGCCTGCTCGACGAGCGCCAGCAGGCGGGGGTGCATGTTGGGGTGGCCGAGGGCCGGCCGCAGTCGGCGCTCTAGCTCGGCGGCCGTGCGCCGCCACTCGTCCTGCCGGGCTGCCAGCTGACGCTCGCAGTCGCGCGTTAGACTCGCCGCCTGGCGACAGTACAGCTGCGCTTGATGACGAAACACCAGCGCCGGGATGCTCGCCGCCTGCGCCGCGAACGCGCTGAACTCGTCACAGAACTCGGCGAAGCACGACAGCTGGTACTCGACGCTCTGAGCGTAGTGCACCTGGAAACGGGCGTAGACGAGGGCGAGGAACTCCTCGAACGTGGCCGGGATGAAGCCCGGACGAGTGACCGCCCGACTGCCCTTCATGGCATAGAAGCCGACCGCCGTAGTCTTTGTCTCCTCCAGCACAGTGAGGATCTTCCGTTTGATCTTCTGGATAAAATTGTTGGAGTCATCCGGGTCCTCAACATCCCCAAATATCATCATCCGCACCTCGGGATCTTCCATTTTTGAAAGCAATGGCTTCTTCTTCTCGTTTTCACGCCGACTGCGTTTCTGCGACTTGGCCGATTTGTGCTTGGCTCTGGTGGCCGTCGGGGTCGTCGAGTCCTGATTGCCAGACACGTCGGCTGCGTAGCTAGATGACCCCGGCGCCTCCCCCGATATGACCGAAGACAGGAACGTTCCCTCGGAGGGCGCCAGATCGTGATTAGCCTGTGTCTCCTCCCCAGCGGCTGAGAGGATGGCCTGTCCCGTCCTGCCACCACTTCCAGCGGGGTCCTTCGCGCCATCCTGGTGGCGGGTGCCGGGCGATTTGTTCCCTTTGGCGCGGGACTTGACGCCGAGTTTTCCCTCTTCCGCACCGCTGTCGAAGGTGCCCTGTTCGACGCCGTCGGTGAGTCGCACGGTAGCGCCATCTGTAACCGTGTCGCGAAACGTTTCGGTCGCAGATCCGTTAGGAGGCAAGCCGGTAGCAGATGGCGCTGCGGTCGACTGGCCCGCCTCCTCCGCGGACGCTCTAGACTGTTCCGACTCTGTCGGAGGGTGCGCGATCGGCATTTGGAAAGAGACGGTGCCGTTCAGGGGAGCGTAATAGAGGTACTGATGACGGGGAACCAACTGCGAGAAGATCTCCCCGACAAGATCCAGAATAGATGTCCCCTCGGTTATGCAAGCCGACAACCCCACCGACTGGTGTTCCCACTCGACGGAAGTTGTCGGCTCGAAGAAAATGCTCAGCTGACTCTCTCTTTTCAAGTTAACTTTCCACGTCTTCTCGTACTGATCTATTCTTTCCGTAAGTTTTTCAATCATAGTTCTGGTTTGCTGTGTTTCTTCTTGGTCGATGCGAACCTCAGACTTAATCAGTGTCTGAATGGACACAAAGCTGTGCTGCATGCTTTCAGACAGCTTAACATCTCCAATCTGACCCCTAATGCTAGCGTCCACCCTTCGAATAGATTCATCCAGAAGCGAGCACAATATTTCCATTTTGTGCTCCAGACTTTTGACGTGCGCCTTTCCCGTCTGGTCAATGGTGAGCAGCAGCCTCCTCAACGACCCGCGATACTTGGAGATCTCATCTTTGCTGAAATTCCCAATAACAGCCTCGCCTTTGTCATCCCGCCGGACCACGGGCCGTCGCGGGCTGCGCTTCCTGGCCGAGCCTCCAGCCGACGAGCCCCGTCTGGTGTCGGCCCGGCCCGCTGACGCCGCGCTCCGCTTCCCCGCCGAGCTCCTGCTGCCCCTTCCCGACCTCCGCTGGGCCTGCTGCCGCGACGCGCCGGCGCCGGCGCCGTCGGCCGCGCCGCCGGCGCCGGCCGCGTGCGTCTCCACGGTCTCCGTCGGGTCGGCCTGCGGGATCAGCTGATCCAGGAACGCCTCCGTGCTGGCGATCAGGTCGGCGCTAAACGCAGTCACGCGCTGCCGGAAGACGCCCGACCGCTCCACCAGATACTCGACGAAGCGCGTCTCGCGCTGCGTCATCTGCGTCAGCATCATCTCCAGGACGTAGCTGCGCGTGGCCGAGCGCGAGCGTGCCTCGTGCTGCGTCATCCAGGCGCGGTCCTCGGCCAGCCGCTCCTGCATGCACTCCAGCTCGGCACTCAGGAGCGACTGTAGATCCTGCCGACGACGCGCGCGGCCCGAGAGCACGCGCGGGTCAGCCCGGCTGGGGCACACCAGGCAATGCAGACCCGCTCGCACATAACGCTAACACCCAAAGGTACAAAAGCACACACATGTTGGGTATATGCGCAGCGAAGGCGCGTGTGTGTGCCTCTGCCACTCGCTTAAAAGCGCACATATTCGACACGCCATATGAATAATTTCCACGCGGATGCATCTACGCACGCCCAATTTCAACCCCCACGAAAACGCACCATGCAGTCCACCAGCGCTGAAAATCGTCGACGTATACCATCAGCGGCCTTCGCCTTCAGGGAACGCTCAGGCGAATCGGCGGGGTGCGAGCGACCCCTCACTGCCCGGAAGACAACCAGCGCACGGTCGAGCGTAACTGCGCGCGCTGAGGCGGGGTGCGGGCGACCCCTCACTGCCCGGAAGATAATCAGCGCACGGCCGAGCGTAATGCGCGCGCTGAGGCGGGGCGCGAGCGACCCCTCACTGCCGGAAAAACATCAGCGCACGGCCGAGCGTAACTGCGCGGCGCTGAGGGCGGGTGCGAGCGACCCCTCACTGCCGGAAAACAGTCAGCGCACGGCCGAGCGTAACTGCGCGCGCTGAGGCGGGGTGCGAGCGACCCCTCACTGCCGGAAAACAGTCAGTGCACGGCCGAGCGTAACTGCGCGCGCTGAGGCGGGTGCGAGCGACCCCTCACTGCCGGAAAACAGTCAGCGCACGGCCGAGCGTAACTGCGCGCGCTGAGGCGGGCTACGAGCGACCCCTCACTGTCCGGAAGACAATCAGCGCACGGCCGAGCGTAACTGCGCGCGCTGAGGCGGGCTACGAGCGACCCCTCACTGCTCGGAAGACAACCAGCGCACGGCCCGATGCGTAACTGCCGCGCCTGAGGCGGGGTGCGAGCGACCCCTCACTGCCCGGAAGACAGTCAGCGCACGGCCGAGCGTAACTGCGCGCGCTGTGGCGGGGTCGCCCGGTAGCCGGCAGCGTCGGCCGGGCGTGTGCCAGCTCCGGGGGCGAGGCCATCCCGCCGCCCCGCGCCCGCCCCGCCCCGCCCCGCCCCGCCCCGCCTCGGGCCGCACGCGGCAAGGTCACGGCAGCACGCTCGCTCTGCAGAGGGGCGCATCAGATGGTATCGGGGCGCTCTCCCCACCCTGCGGTCCTGCTCTGGGGGCCGTGTCTAACTGTAACAGCCGGGATGAGCGGCGGAGGGGAGGAGTGAGAGGGGGGAGGGGGGGGGGCGTCTGCGGTCGGGCACGGATGCACGGGATGTCGGCCATGACTGGTCAGCTGGAGGTCGCCCGGACTGAAAAACGGAGCGGGGTTCCGAAGGGCATCGCCGAGCAATCATAACAGCTCCCGGACAGAGAAGGTAAGAGCCAGAGAGGAGAGGAGGAGAGAAGGAAAGAGAGAGAAAAGGAAGGAGAGAGGGAGAGAGAGAGGAAGAGAGAGAGAGAAAGAGAAAGAGGGAGAGGAAGAGAGAGAGAGAGGGAGAGAGAGGGGGAGAGAGAGAGAGAGCGAGAGAGAGAGAAAGAGGGAGGGAGAGAGAGAGAGAGGGGGGAGAATGAGAAAGGAGGAGGAGGAGGGAGGGGTCGGAGAAAATGAAGAATGTCGTTCCGATGAGTGAATGCAGATAGGTGGATGGAAATGGATAGGTCGATTGATAAGTGAACAACATTTCTAAATGGAACCACACCTCTGATGCCTATGCAAGAAAGCATTAAAAGATGCATCCAACAATAGCCCGAACGATATAGCACAGAATCCTGCCGTCGACGGACGAGCATGGCCGGTAGGTGATGACAGGCGGCGCGCCCGAGGCCGTTACCGCGAGCTGCTCACTGACGGATCGGCAGTGGCTGTCCACTCGCTGCTGGTGCAGCTGAATCTCAGACGAGCGACGGTCGTGTACTGTCGTCTCAATCTCGGACACCCTGAGAACAGTTGTGTTAGGCCAAGTTCCCTTGTCAATAAACATATAATCTCTTCACATCAGCATTGGCCATGGCCCTGCGCAGCGCCCTGTGTTTATGTCGCTGGTATTTACCAGCAGATCTGGCGAGGGGCGGCGATCAGCGATGCACCCCAATCAGTCGTTAATGAGCTCCCATGCAGTGGAACAGTTTGAGGGCCCTGTTATTTTCACCTTTCTTAAACGTGCGCTCCAATTTCAGGGTTGGTGTTTAGTGTTAGATGTATCGCCCTAGCATTAAGGATGATCTAGAACATAATCTGCGCTATCATCGATATAGCATATTTGATGAACGACACAGGCACACGATTTTCTGATAGCACAATAAAACATAACTCACGCGATTAAATCAAGCAGCAATTATTTTCGCGTAAAACTTGCAACACTGATGCAGCTCTTGTGTTATGTTGAACAGCATCGATATGAATGGCTATCCATAACATTGCCAGTGGGTTAAGAGTCTACCAGCGATACCATACACACAATAGTTGTGCTACATAAACACAGCAACATTAAACAGTCATATCGTTGGTGTCAGCAGTGGTCGTAATTGCCACAGATGTCTTAAATACCTGAGCGACAGCTCCTCAGCCTTTCTGTTAAACACGGCCTTCATGGCCTTCAGCTTGTCCAGCAAGAAGTCCCCCAGGTCCTGTTCCAGTCTGCGCCGCTCCCACGAGAGAAACCAGTGGATGTTAGCCGCGGACAGGGACTGCAGCTCGGCCAGGGTTTCAGGCGCAAGAAGAACCTGCATGGAATTGGCCGAATACGATCAGGATAATCAGCGACCTCATTCCGGGAGACCACGATATAAATAGCGCCGCCAGTGACGTGACAGCACTATTTAACTATTTGGCCCTGCCATCACGGTCAAGAAATAAAATTGGATATGAAACGTGCAGAGATATGCTCTTTCTGACAGATATGCCACTAACACGTGTAAAGTTCAGCTGGCTTGATTTCCAGTTTAATGGACATTCAACTTCAAGCTACCGGGTTCGACTGCGGCACCGGCTTTAGACAGCACAGCTGATCACCTCAACGCCCCATCGTCGCTCATCATCACCCTGGAGCTGGCATGTGCCCAACTCACCCGGCGACAGGGGGCCAGCAGCCGGTGGCAGCCCCCGGGGGGCTCCTCCGGCGGCGGCTCGGCCGACGTCACCGTGCCCTCCAGCTTCTCGGATACGTTGGCCAGCGCCAGGCTTGTCTCGGCCTCGAGCCTCTCACTGTAGGCGAGCAGAAGCAGCAGGCGCCGCTCCTGTGCCGACGCGGCGCAGCATAACACGACGAAAGACGAAAAACCGGGTGGGGGTGGGGGTGGGGTGGGTGGGGTTCTTTCTCGCTTGGCTGCGCCCTTACTGTCGGGGCACAGTAGTGGGTAACACGCTGTTCAGATACCGCAAAGCTTGCACATTATCCTGATCAGCCATGGGAGGTTACCACACTTTCGCATCATCCTGACCCGCCTCGGGAGGCTACGCTCTCTGTCAGCAAATAAGGTGGCACACGAGGAACAATACGCGGCTGCTTTACATTTAAGAAAACTGGATTTCCGCACGCAATTTCAGGGAGTGTTCCACACATGTATAGCCTTTTGAACTGAAATAGCCATGTTAACGAGCATTCGGTGTGGTTCAAGTCCTGCCCATCTTAACACGCCTCCAGGTGGCCGGTCGAATACGATTTACTCGGGTGGGGGTAAATTTGACCACCTGAGATCTCAAAAACTGAGAAAGTTTAAGAGACACTTAATTAATGAGACACTTAATTCACAAGACAGGTTGACTTGTATATGAGATCCCTTGTGTCAAACTTTGATAATCCTAGATTATAGCCATGGGGTCAAATAAGAGCACACAAGGTCAACCTTCAGAATGGTGTCTGAAGTGTCCCCAAGCCCCCTCGTGCAACCGCCGTAAGGCTAAACACTTGTCCTAAGCAAAAGACCAATGGCGTTCAACTAAGGTCGGTGACCTTGTCTGACCTTTATGAGGTCAAAGTCACCAAATGACTACGAGATGCTCCTATTTTACCATTTGTCTGTTGCGGCCCCCATTCTTAAAAATTCAAATGAGCAGCAGAAGCTGCCGCATACACCAAGCCCCGGGTAAAAAAGCAGATTAGTTTTGACCTCGGTCTGACCTTCATATCTGACCCTAGGTCAATGGAATTGGATGCTATTCTACGTGCAATCGGTTTATTTCCTATGAAACTATCTCCGATATGTAAGGCTTCGTCTAACACTCGTTGCATCACATTGAACGATTTCATAAAAATGCCCTTCACCGACAGCCATGGTCTGACTTTGATCTGCCTTTGATAAGGTCAGCGACCTTAGAAGATGCATCTAACACTTTTGCATCAAGGGATCCGCTTTTCAGGTTTTTCCACCTTTGTAAAGTTTGGCGCGTTTACGCCGCGCCGTTCGGAAATCATTCTGGAAAAACCTGCGGGGTGGGGGGCTAATTTGGCCCCGACCAAGCGCACGACCAAGACCTAAGACCCTTTAGTTTCTGAGCTAAGCGCCCATGAAGATGTGCAGATTATTTTGTATAAAAGTGAATTGAGATGAAATCCTTGCGATACTCATATACTTTATGTTCGTTTGCACGCACCCGGGTAGCCGGCTGATACCCTTCGCTCGGGTGGGGTCAATTTGAACCCAGTAAGATCTCTGGAACTAAGAAAGCTGGAGACACCAAACTTGCAGGGTGTGTTGATCTGTACGTGAGCTCACTTAAGTCAAATTTTGAGGCCACTAGGTCATAATCTTTGGGTCAAATAAGGTCAAATAAGGTTAAATTCCAGGTTCGTCTCCAAAGTTCCCAGAGCCTAGATAACTGTTCCTAAGCACAAGGTCACAAGCTCATTTAAGATCAGTAACCTTGCTTGACCTTTTGAAGGTCATGGTGATACAAACCATACCAGACTGCTCTGAGCTTGAATTTGAATAAGGGACAAAGATTACGCTAGGCGGTATGCTCTTTAAAAAATGTCGACATGGGTCATCTTAGGTCAATGACCTATTATGACCTTTAAGAAGTCAAATGAAGATGTATGATGCTGTTCCTCCCATCAATGAATTCAAAATGAGCACCGGAAAATACCCCATATAGCAAGCCCTAGAGCAATAAAACAGGTTTATTTTGACCTTGGTCTGACCATCATACCTGACCATAGGTCAACTTAATTTGCTCATTCAATGTTTGTGTTGCCTAATAAAGCATCCCAGAGATGTGTAGCTTCGTCAAGCACTCCGTTGTTGCATCAGATTGAACGATTCCCTAGAAGTTGGCTTTGCTGAAACCATGGCCTGACTTTGACCTGCCATACGTCAGCGACTTTACGAGGTATGTCTAGATTTTTTATACCAAACAATCCGATATTTAATTTTCAACATCTATGCAAACTTTGGCCCGGCTATGCCGTGCCGTTCGAAAACCATTCTGGAAAAACCTTCCGAGGGTCAATTTGACCCCCACCCGAGCGCGTGTTAAGTAAGTTGCATTGTAGATGAATTTTCAGTAATGGGTCTCACAGGGTCAAAATTTATATAATCACTATAGTCGTATATGAATATATAATACGTATATGCTATATGTAGTTATTTTATTAGTATATATGATTATAGTTGAATTTTTGACTCCGTAAGCAAAGTTCGTGACCGAAAATTCATCAAAAATACAACTTACTTAACAATCGTCACGTACATAAATATTGTATGGAGGTCATCTGAATTCCCTTTAAATACTTGCCATGCCTTGCATTGTACAAGTACTGTACCACCACATATAATCTTATGCAGATTATTTAGTGCAGGCTATTTCAAGGTTATTCAGGCATTCATGACACCATAATAACGTCATTCCAGTCCGGACATTCCACTGGTCATGCGGCGATCAAGGCCAAGAAGCATATCATTGCCAAGTTGTTTATATCTGGCGTTCGTGAGTACGATATCCAGATGCAGCGGCCGTCAACAGACTCTTAATCAATGGTGTGCAAGGCACGATGACGCAGTGGACAAATGACGGAATGAAGGGTCATAGTTACTAAAAAGAGAACTTGTGTTGTCTGGAGCAGTCTCTTCCACTTTAAAGTATATCAATAGCTTTAAGTGAGCTTATTTCATCATATCTGATGCTTGATGCAATCTCTTCAAATGTGAAGCATTCTCTTAAAGTCAGTTGGCAGTTTTTGCAGTTGGCTCTTTCGCATTTATTTGTCGCCGTCCCGGAAGTGTAGCCGGCAACGCGCTGTTCCTCACCTGGAACTGCTCGTAAGTGGGCAGGAATCCCTGCATGGTGCGCGCCAGCGTCTGCTGGATCTGGTGCACCTTGTTCACTTTGGACTCCTCCAGCATGCTGATGACGGCCTTGTTGATCTTCTGCTCTAGCTGCGCCTCCTTGCCGGCCTGCTGAGTGTCCACCGCCTGGCGGCCAGCAATGGAACTATTGAACGGGCGCTGTCCAGGCATCCGGCCACATACACGCACACGCTCGCGCACACGCGCGCACGCACGCACGAGCGCACGTGTGGAGACATACACGTATGCGCACACACACGCATGCACGTATACAAACATGCTCGTACGCACGCATACACGCACGCACGCATGCACGCAGCGCATCTCAAGCCACGTGTGACACTGCCGCTGGGTGGCGGGTCGAAGCACATGGGCCCAGCTAGCGGTGTCCATGGTATCAACGGCCCTCGTGAGCGGCTTCGTGAGGTGCTGGCGCGGCGCTCAATATGTGGTCCAGAACACAGCCATCATCAACCTCGTCAATGACCTGTGACCTCCACACAGGGAGGTTCTCCGGCCGAGCGTCGGCTCCATGCATTTTAAGCGGATAAAAACAAGCGAAATATGCTCAAACCATTTTGGCATATTCATGCATAACATCGACTAACACAGGCAGAGCTCAGTAATGGGACGGGCATCTGCTAATTGTAAGGAAGATTTGGAAATGGCAGACCGTGAATAAGCATGGATGAGCGATACTGATGACCACAAATCAAGAGCTAACAGCAAACATAGCGCATAGGCGTAATGGATGTCGCTGGAGCGTTGATCGGCGTCAACACCATCGTCTTCGGCCTCACCTGTAGCTGAAGCTCCAGCTTTTTGGCGTACCGCTCGCGCTCGCCCAGATGCAGAGAGAACACCTCACAGGAGGAGGCGATGTAGTTGTACAGGTGGTCCACTTGGCCCGGCGCCGTCTGTCGACGCGCGTTTGCTGTCACACGTCGCCGATTCAGAGGATGGGGCAGTTGAGACAAAGAAAGTGGCCCGAAATACAGAGGCGTGGACGGAGATGAGAATGAGTGTATCGAGGAGGAGGATAGTGAGTAGCGATGAAAAGGAGCAGGTTGACGTAAGCATGCGTGAGCTGAGATGAGGAAGAAAAAGCTGCCATGGTGATGAGTGGATTGGGGTGGGGATGAGCGGGCCGAGATGAGGGTGAGCGCCCTCCGTTGGTGGTGATTGGGTGGGGTTAGGTGGAGATGAGCGAGCCTAGATGAGTGTGAGCGCCCTCCGTTGGTGGTGATTGGGTGGGATTAGATAGGGATGAGCGGGCCGAGCGAGATGTGAGTGAGTGCCTTCCATTGGTGGTGATTGGGTGGTGTTAGATAGGGATAAGCGGGCCGAGATGAGGGTGAGTGCCCTCCGTTGGTGGTGATTGGGTGGGCTTAGGTAGGGATAAGTGGGCCGAGATGAGGGTGAGCGTCTTCTGTTGGTGGTGATTGGGTGGGGTTAGGTGGGGATAAGCGGGCTGAGCTGAGAGTGAGTGCCCTCCGTTGGTGATGCTTAGGTGGGGTTAGGTGGGGATAAGCGAGCCGAGATGAGGGTGAGTGCCATCTGTTGGTGATGATTGGGTGGTTGGGCGGGGATGAGCGTGAAGTTGATCGTATCATTATCGTCTGCTATGAAAGCCTGCTTTGTTATACAATGTTGATCAGGCTACAGCCCGACGTCGACCTTACGCTCCAGGCAATTACAAATTGCAAGGGACTTCGACCAGACGACCAGAGTGAGCCAGACCACAGTGACCAGACCAGACCAGAATGACCAGAGGGGCCGGAGTGAAAAACACGCGTTTCATTATTAGTGCATGCGACATGACATCTGTTAACGTCACCCAGCCAGAGTTATGCGTAGGCGCAGAGCAGTAAAGAGGTTACAGCTAGATACACCACAGACTACAATGAACTTCGTGGGATAAAAACGAGCGATTCCCTTAGCTGCTGTTACAGAAGCTCCCCGAGCTTGCTCTAGGATTTTACTGATGATTGCTTACCTTGACCACTGCCTCCCAGCATCTCTCCGATTTCCGCATGTTATCCTCCACCTTCTTACGGATGGGTCCGAACATGACGGAGGTGTGCCCGTCCGCCAGAGTTTCCCAGGTGTCGCCATCAGTCACCTCCCTGTCGGCGGCGGGCGACTTCAGCTGCTCATCCGGTCAACTTGTGACAGCCGTACGAAGCGGGTGGCGTCCATTGTAGCGGTGCACACCCATGATCACTAAATGCTGTTTGTTGGGCGACGACCGGGAAGGCAGCAATCCATAGCAATCAGGTCGCAAATTCGAAGTCGCATTTCAAGTGCATACCAAAACATCCCAATCTACACACGAAGCTTCCAAAGACGGTTTGGTACCGGCGACGTGCAGAGAAGACTGTGATCACATTGGCAATCCCGACAGCTACAAGCCACATGGGTGATTACCTCACAATAAAAATAAACCACACTGTCACGCTTCAAATGACCTCACTTTCCACAAACATGTTTGCCCACTCGCTGTGGACTCGAATAACCTCACGCTAAATTGATTTGCTGTCTTGCTGGCCGCCAGATCAAGGACATGGATATAACATGAAAGGAACGCACGGATCGAGAATGAGTCATTTATGATGGCCCAGTCATAGATCAGTCCAAATGCGTCACAAAAACGACGGGCGGAGTTTGACGGCTTCCATAACAGCGGCTTGCGGACGAGGTCGGCTTCAGAGCGCCTCTCGGTCCACCGTCCCCTCATTAGCCGCGGACTGGCATGGGCGTGGTCCGGTGTTGGCTCCGACGCCGGGCAGCTTGGCGCCCAGTCAGAACGTCCGCGCCCGGTTCGGAGAGGCGTTGGGAATAGCAAAGAGAAGGCGACGATACCAGCTCCTGCTAGTGAGATCTTACAGCCCCTGTCGCTAGCCGCGTGTCAAATGATGACCACCACCCAGCAGGCGTGTCCGAAGGCTGCTGATTAGTGCGCAGGGCTGTCGTTCTCCGCCCAACTTACTGCTGAACCGCCCAGCGTACAAGCCGCACTTCAGCCTCCATTACGCCGGGGGGGGGGGGGGTGTGGAGGGAGGGGGTCAAGAGAAGTCCAGGCTGAACCGCTCAGTGTATCACCCGCACCTCAGCCTCCATCACGCCGGGAGGGGGTAGGAAGGGGGTCGGGGAAGGTCTAGCCTGAACCCGACGTGGCATGGGTGTCCACAGATGCACGGACTCCATCCGTCTTGTTCAAAGGCCGTTTCACAGGCGGCAGCCAGCGACACCTGCACCAGTCTCCGTCGGGAGAGGCCGCGTGGCCTCCACATTCCCGCGATCGCCTCGCAGATGTCCGCCTCCTCGCGAGCTCGCCGCCGTCAGTCTGACGACATCGCGAGCACCGCACACGTGCCAGGACAACTGATGAGACCGTCCAGCGCCGAAGCGCCCATGAAGCGGACCAATGCCCTCTTCGCTTCCCGGAGCATCATACGTATAACGCGGGGTTACGTGAGATGCTGAAATTGCCGACCTGGTGAGCGAGGTATCCGATAACTCGCTTCCCCCGAGAATATTCTTGTGCCTCTTTAAGGTCTCCATTGGTTCAATTCGAGTCTGACAGGACATGTGCCAGACGGCCACGATGCTGGCGCGGACTGGCAGTGGTACCGTGTTTGAAGCATCTGAACGAGCCCGGCGCAGGCTGCGACGCCAAGAGAATGGACTTCAATGCTGATAACCACCTTTAGCTCCTCTATACCTCCTTTTTTCCAGCCCAAAGACTCGGCCATCCAGTCTGTGGAGGGAGTGGGGCAACATATAATGCGCGCAGGGCAGACTCGTTGGAGGTCTTCAGGCATGTCAGCTGTAATTCGAGGTGATTACTCCGTCCGGTGAGTTTCTCTGTGTGCACCGTTCTACTGGAACCCCTCAGGTGCCCGCGGAAGACATCGCCAGAAATAACACCGTCCCACTGGAACCACTCAGACGCCCGAGGAAGCCCTCGCCAGGGGTAACACCGTCCTGTTGGAACCACTCAGACGCCCGAGGAAGCCCTCGCCAGAGGTAACACCGTCCTGTTGGAACCACTCAGACGCCCGAGGAAGCCCTCGCCAGAGGTAACACCGTCCCACTGGAACCACTGACGCATACCCCGAGGGAAGCACCTCTCGCCAGAGGTAACACCCCCGTTTTCCCCCTGTTGGAATACCATCAGACGCCCGAGGAAGGAAGCCCTCGCCAGATAATAACACCGTCCTGTAGGAGCTATTCAGATGCCCGAGGAGGAAGCCCTCCGCCAGAAATACAACAGCCGTCCTGTAGGAGCTATTCAGAGCCCAAAGAAGGCCCTCGCCAGAGGCACCACACTCGTCCCGTTAAAACCACTCAGACGCCCGAAGGAGGTCCTCGGCCGTCGGGCTCAGGGTCGCGAGAGCTTCTTCGTGCGCTGCATTTGTAACGCTCCCCGTCCACAGTGGCCGCTTCATCACTGCCGCCAGTGACAGCCGACGGTCAGCGCAATTCGCGGCCGAACAGCAGGCTTTGGTCATTGCAATGGGTAGAGATATCCCCCAGAAGATCGTGAAATGATTCTCATCGGAAAGCAAGATGTGTTCGAAGAAATCCGAGGTCATTGCCATATTTTCCTCAAATTGTCTGCGTATGAACACTTGCTTGTTTTGCCTGCAATCGACTGTTTGTGCTGTAGCTGCAGGGTTAGCGTTTGTGCTGTAGCTGTATTCCATACGGAAGCTGCCGGAGACCCTGCCTCATAATTGCGTGCAGCGTGCTCTTCTTTACGGCAAGATCCTGGGAGCGTGTCTCAGTGAGCGCTGCGGGATTTGGCACGATCGCAACCGGGACCCAGTCTTACACGTACCCTTGTTTCCATTTGTCACCACGCTCCAAATCAGCGGCTTAAATGGAGCTACGTCAACTGACACATGACAGGTATTAGAGCCATTCTTAAATTTGTTGGGCATCCTTTCCACGCCTATGATCGAATCGTAGCGTAAAAAGACACATCTTAGAAGAGAATATTTGTGCCGTCAAGTTGTAAGCATATTGAGTAACATGTTCGCATAGCACTTCTCTTGCTGACATCTGGCAATGGTATCATGCAGATGTCAACAATCTCATAGCCCCGAAGGCTTGCTCCCTAAAACAAAGGTCTGTTCCCCGTAGGTACGAAATGACCGCTCCGTCCAAAACACCGCTGGCCCTCTCCCTGGGTGTCCAGCCCTGGTGGCGCCCCTGCCCATGACGTCAGCACCAGCCAGCCGGCACGGAGCCGTCCGCCTGTTGCAGCAGCTGTCTGAGACCCGCTTGCTCACGACCCGCCCTGGGATGTTATTGCTGGATGGCGCTGTCCACTTGTGCCGGGCGTCGCCACGGCTCCGCGGACAGCCAGGGGACCGCCGGTCCCCGGCTGTGACGTCAACGAGACCAAGGCCGGCGCCGCCGCGCGCGCCCCAGGTCGCGGAAGCGGACCGGTCCTTGTCGGTGGTGCGGAGGACACCGGCGTGCGGACAGGGACAGCGGGCGGTCGGGTCAGCACTCAGACCCGTTGTATGGACGCTGGGCACCAAACGGGCGGGAGCTTTGAAATGTCTCGCCTTTCCCACCCACACTTACCGATAATAATTGTAACAATGACGTATGGTGGCTTCTTTGCCTTTGAAGTTTAAGTGACAACGAGGAATGCGTCCAATAAATCATAAGGAATGTGCAAAGCAGTGCCACAGGACCATATTGCCCGCACCAGCGCCAAATGTCTTCAGCATGTTTTTTTCAGTTTGGTCCACATAACTCATGTCTACCAATAACAATAGTTAATACTAACGACCTCGTAAAAAGTTGCACCCAATCCCATCACACGTATCAGTGCGCCAGTATTTGATAAATCAAAGCTGCTCTCAGTGGCTTGCTTCCTACCAGCTCGCACCGTTCCGTCTCTGCTGGCACGCAATGGCCAGTTAGGTGCACGACCCGATCACATCGTCACGGATATGGGATCACGACTAATCTTTCCGCCTATCTCGACCAGATGAGGAATTTTATGCCTCAATCCTTTCTCGCCCGCATCAGCATAGTGGCTAGCAGGCAAGAGCGACACGACCAACCTATCACTGCTAAGACGGATGGCTGGCTGGTAATCGTCTGAAATTAGTCTGCAAGGTGGAAAAGTTGGACATGGCCGTCGATCATTGCTCAGGAAGTCGTGCATGCATTTTCAAGTTCTGTACAGCCAGCCAAAAAAAAAAATTGTTGAAACATAAGGCCCAGAGAAAATTCAAGTCTCTGAAGAAAGTGGGAAATTGACATTTGTATTTAGATTGATATTCAGGGACTAACCAACTTGACATATGCAACGAGGGCATTCAGTTCCTCGTGTTTCGGCGTTGTGAGCTCAGCTTTCTTAGCGTGATCATAAACACGGGTTGGCACATGGATTGTTGGGAATAGAGCCGATGTCTGCTTTATAGTGACGTTTACCCGGTACGTTCTGGCATATTGAGGGTTGATGACTGAGCCATAACGTTGCTGAACCCAAGCGACGTCTCAAAAATGTCATTTTAGTAAGACATATGCCTTCCTTTTTACCCTAGGAATGTGTAGATTAATTAGGAATGTCCGAAACAATTTCACAGCTTCGATTTTTTACCCATGCGTAAACCTCTAAGACGTTATCATATGACCCTTAACAGCTGGATATCCATGGGCAACTTGGCTTCGTCCAAATTCCTGACAATGCACCCTCTGAATCTTACGCGTAGGTCAGCATCAGCTTTCTGCTTGGTACTGAGTACGCTGACCTGCAAAGATCACTGGAGAGGCCTACACAGACAGGTCAGTGCAACCTTTGCACTTCATATCTGATTCGATGTCGGCTTTTTGTGGGACGCTACCTAATTTCATCTACGCAGGTTGCCAGATTGACCTGGGTTTCGGGGTATTATTGATGCAATGCATGGGTACCATTGCACAGGCTGTGGAAGACCGTGGTTGTACCTACGACGCTTCAAACACGGTGGTCAGAAATTCAAGCTTGTAGTTTACTTGCAGTATCACGATGGCCTGACTAAGGACAGGTACTGTGGGCCATGTTCAGACTTACTTTACCGTCTGTCTATTTATACTCCCGGTAAGTACCCTCTGTATGCACATACATATACATAATATTCTCTGCCTATTGTTGTACAATACCTTATGGTGACTACACGCAAAATGTTGTGCTCACACGTTATTCACCTACGCTGGGCCATGAATTAGTATTGTTTGGCTGTAAGCAGTCGGTTGGGTTTCGTTCAGTAATGCGCTGTAAACGCATCCTAAGCCGAATACATGGAGGCGTTCCAATGGTTCTATGGGGGACTCGTTTTCTGATCTCGCGGCGCTATAAATGTCAAAATAGTAAGGAGAAATCAAACTAAGTCTCTTCCGTGACTTGAGGAGGTTCCACCAAGCAATTCATGGCAAAAAGCCGGCACCGATCACGCAGGTTCTCCGTGGAACACAACCACAGAATATTGTGCAAAACCGGTTCCACGATGAAAATTTGCGTACTTACATATCCAAGTTCGTTGCTTGTTCAAATATTAATGGAATATTAACTAAATTAATATTCTATCAATAATATACATCGATTAATAAAATTGATAGATTGATAGAATTTGACTGACAATTATCATAGCAACTAGATGATACGAAATCCTATCTATCCTCTACAGATTTTAACAAAGGCGTCAAGAAGCCTGAATTAAGGCACACAACAGCTTTGCGGGACTAGTGTTGCACACCAGCCCTTCCCACGCTAGCGCTTAGATGACTAATACGTACATAATCTGGACACGCGGTATTCCACAAGGAACCTATTGCGAAATGCACGGAAACTAGGATAGTTTGCCACTGGGGCTTGACGGCAGAATCGGTCACTGAGGCTGTATGGCGTCGCCTGCCTCTCATCCCGGCGGCAAGGGCGGGCACGGCGCGACGAATCGAACGGTGAACCCCTGTTTTCCCAGACACTTAGCTGAAAACTCTTCTATCGATACTCAGAAAGAAAGTTTACTTGAGGCGTAACTTAAGTTTTTTTTCGTCAACCCTATCAACATAGCCGGCAAACTTTATGCTGAATCCGTTTTTTTTTTGTTTCGGCATCATGTACTCAATTCGTCATTTTACGTTTTTGCATTTGGTCCAATGGGACCAAATTATTAAGTACTCTAAACGTGAAGTGGCAAATAAGCAGATGACGATGAAACAAACACGCCACCGGAGTAACAACGTAAGCTATTTTGATAGCCTGGACGGCAAACCACTGTCTTTTTTTGTTATCCTACTTGTATATTTCATATTTGGTACCGATTTATGTCCCTGTCAAACACTGTTTGCGTGAAAGGGGTGACATATCCAATGTCTGGCATTTCACGGTAAGTGCCACCCATATTAGTGACCTGTCATTGCCCTGGATTGGGCCATAAACTAGTGTTGGTTGAAGCCGGTGAATTACAAAAAAAAATGTCGTAGAAGGATAACAGCAGCTGCTCAAATACTCACACGAGCCCCTCATATACCACGCGTTTGCATGAGCAAGTTTATAAGCGAGGAGCAATCAACAGGGTTTCATAAGCCATAAAGCACTCAAACAGCCATACTAAATCGCTTCAGTGACCTGAGGTCGAATTAGGCAGTGCTCAGTAGAATGCCGTACTAATTCATGCATGATGTCCAGGCTCTAGAAAACAATGAAAACACTAGAAAATTAGAGCGAAGTGGATTGGCCCATAATCCAGAGGGATTTCATGCAGTTGCTATATTGTTTTAAATGCAGTGGTGAAAAGGTGGCATCATGTTCCATTTGTGTTAGACAATACGGAAATTACCTGACACCTACTGGCAATACTGCGTCATTTTTTGATCCCAGTGCCCTACGCTGCATTTGGTGACGTGCAACAAATTATGACAATTAAAAAGCCTATTGTTGACATGGACTCGGTCATGGTCCACTGACCTAAAATGATCCAGGTCAACATTTTGCTCTTAGGAACATACTACCTAGCATAGTATTCGTCACTTATTCGAATACAAAACTCAAAGCAGTCTTGCATGACTTTGGTCGCCATGACCTTCAAAATGTCAAAAAGGTCACTAACCTTAAATGAGCATGTGATCTTTTGCTTGGAACATTTGTCTAGGCTCTGGGGGCACTTTGGGGACCAGCCTGGTGTTTGACCTTGTTTGACCTAATTTTAGCCAAAGATCACAACCTAGGAGCCTCAAACTTGGACCTAAGTGAGAATGTGTGCAGATCAAGACGCCATGTGAATTTGGTGTCCCTAAATCTTTTAGTTCTTGAGATCTCAGGGGGAGGTTCAAATTGACCCCCACTCGAGCGAAGGGTATCCAACCGGCCACCCGGGCGCTTGTTAAAGGGAGTGTCCCACAATGGGGTTTGAATCGAAACAGCCATCATGAAGTTCATTCGATGCAGTTCACAGCTCTCTCCTTAAAACACAAACCCCTCTAGTTTCTGAGCAGCATACCCGTGAAGGTGTGCAGACTTGCAAGGAGACTATTTTAAGGTCACCCAGACATTTATGACGTCATAATAGCCTTATTAAAATCCTGCCATTCTGTTGGCCATGCGGCGTCAAGGCCAATAAAACTAAAATTGACCGTTGTTCATATCTGGCGTACGTGAGCGCCATTTCCAGATATAACGGCCGTCAATTAGCTCTCAATCGATGTTGTGCAAGGCACGATGGCCCAATTTGACTGTTTAAATGTTGACGCATTGAGGAGCATATTTACTAAACAGAGAAATTGTGTTGTCTGGAACAGCCTTTTGCGATTTCAGCACAGCAATAGTTATAAATGGCTCATTTCGTCAGATCTGATACTTGCTTTAATGTCTTCTGACGTGGGGTTTTCCCTTCAGCTGTTAAGACGAGTGCTCATTTCCCGGTCCAGCAGCGTTAAAGAAGCGGGATATCACCGAACGGAGGGAACTAGGTAACTCTGATTATCTCTGGAGACGCTGCCCACCACAAAGCCAGCCCTGGGTCATGCTTGGGCGCAGCGGCCTTGAGGTACACTGGCAAAAGTCTGAACAAAATTGATAAAACTAAAGACATCCATCGATAAAGAGTTGCATGCCTTGATGAGCTTCTAAGGCGTTTTTAACTCACTAGTAAAAACAAAACTATAGCTTTGTTAAGGTTTGTGAGAGTTTCTCACTGATCTGTCGAGGACCACTAGGGTAGAGTGATACAAATGAACTCGATAGACCGTCTTTACTGCACATCACTTTTGCGGCATTGTTCAACCTATGGACCCAATTTGAATTTCACTGTCAGACTTCCGCTTGCCCCACGGGCTTGATCCGATCTTGGATGTTGGTCCAGTTTCGGTTTCTCGACGACTTGTAGAGTGATGTGGCACCATTTTCAGAGATTTCTGATGGCATGGAGCTCATCTTTGCAGTCACTTTGAGGTAAGATCAAAGGTTAAATGGAAGGTCAAAGGTCAAACTTGATCGTGAATCAGCAATGAGCGACACACAACTTTTCTAGAACGTCGTATCTTGCTCACAAATTATGCTACTGTACCTTTATATCGAGGAGTCGAAATCAACAAGAAGCTCTTTGCGGGCTCATACCGCAATTTTTCCTAAGCTGCTCGAGTCCCAATAAAGTGACCTTAATTTGAAGTAACGCTGTCTGCTGCTTGGGAAACACTGTGGGCCGAAAGACAGCTAGACCCACGTATCTGGACACAGGTCAGAGTGAATCGGTAACAAGTACAGTGGAATCCCTTGCAAGTAACGGTGTTCTGGGGCTCGATTGATAACGTTTACGCTCAGTGGGGTGATTCATCCTTTGAAGGGAGATCATTCATAAGCCATTTACCAAAAGAAAAAATACATGCTCTTCCAAATTTACCGCTACATATGAATCTGAAGGTTATGCCTGTATTCAGATATAAGAATATTAATCATGTCCTCACTGGTTATAGCAGGAGGGAGTTCAGAGTAAAAACTGATAGAGCTCTCCCTTCTCTCCTCTAGCCGTTGTACCAGCGAGTAAATGGACATCAAAGACAGCGAAAGGGGAGTTAAATGTACAGAGCGATCATGATTATGAAAAGTAGTAGAGGAACGTGACGGGTGCTGGCCGGTAGTACTGCGCCCATGGTCTCTTAGATGTCGTCACACTAGGCGTTGAAGGTCTGCCCTATGTTTGACATTTGACATTTGGCATTTGACTCTAATTTGGCGTTAAATTAGACCTCGTGAATCAAAAGTAAGTCCAAAAGAGCTCACCAATCATAATAACCCCATAAAGATATTGGACGACCATCTGCGATCCAGGTCTATATAAAAAATTGTTTAGCATTCGACATGACGGCGACGGCCATCTTAAGGTTCTGAACAAAATTATCATGAAGGCACAAGTAGCAGCAAGCCTATTCGATTTCTCTTGCTTTATGGAGCATGTTTCCAAAAAATGCAGTGGTTAATATTTCAGTGTCAAGACTTCTCCAACTTGACGATAGCATGTTCCGGGGACCACGCTTGCACTGTCGGGCGATCGTCACGAGGCTTGCGCCTGCCACCGACGCGAATGCAAACAGCATCACTAATCATGCCGGCTCCCCTGCGGTGGTCAGCCGCGCCCAGCAGCGCATCCTGAGCGCAGCAGGGGGTCCGCCAATGGGATTCGGTTCCGGCGCGCGGGCTACCCCACTGGTCGCCTGAGTGATGGGGGGGGGGGGGGACCAGCGTCCGCTCTGCCTCCGCGGCGAGGCCGGACGCCGGCGGCCAGCACCAGTGACGTCACAAGGCTGCCGAGCGGCGGCCGTATAAATGCGCGCTGGCGGGAGCCTCGCCACTCTTCCCCTGTCCGTTCGACCGTCAGGATGTACAGACTTCTGGTAGTGTGCAGCCTGACGCTGGCCGCCGGCGCCATGCGGTTCTCGGGCGACCCCGCCGCGGCCGCCATCTTGGCCGAGACGCGCCAGCTGAACGCCGACGGCAGCTCGGACGTGGCCTACGCACAGGAGGACGGCGTGCTCTTCAAGGAGACGACCAGCAAGGACGGTGAGCGCCGCGGCTCCTACGAGTACGTCGGCGATGACAACAAGAAATACCGCGTCGAGTACGTGGCCGGCGCAGGCGGCTTCCAGATCGTGAGCAGCACGCACGTGGACAAGACGCCGGACCAGCCCCGCTCGGCGCCGCAGTCGGCGCCAGCACCGCGGCCGGCCGCCAGCCAGCCGGACGCGTGCCAACACCAACACCTTCAACATCAACTACGACCTGAGCCAGCCGACGGCGGCGCCGGCCGTCTTCGCGCCGGTCACGGCCGCCACGACAACGACCACGACGACGACGCGCCGCCCCGTCCGCAAGAACTTCCACACCGGCAAGGTGTCGCTGGAGCGCAACGACAAGGGCTACGTCTACAGCTACACCCACAACGGCTGAGCGCTTCGCTCTCCCACTCTCTTCCCCTCTCTCTAAGCACGACGCGTTGTCGTCGATCTAGTCCAGGGTGGGCGCCGCGCCTCCGGCGGTGCCAGGGCCGTCCGTTGCGGTCGGCTCCGGGCCGCCCCCGGCGTGGCGGTGCCGCGTCAATGCTAATGGGGTCGCTCACGCTTCGCTGCCTTGTTCGTCAGAGGGCGTCACGATCTTCTGTCAGGTGGCGTCCAAAGTCTTCCGCTCTGGCGGAGCGCCGAGAGCCGCGCTGCCTGTGTGGTGGCTACGCCTGTCCAGTGTTTCCTTTCAAGTGCTCAGTACTGCATCGCTGCCGATGCTCCTTGTTGTTTTGTCTGCCTGTGGTATGTTGTTGCTCCTTTCCCTCTCACTATCATGAGCATCGAATGTGTTGTCTCGCGCATTAAAGATAAAACCATGTCCATAACAGTGATTATTACGAGTGCATTCTGCACCATTAAAAATAAACCATATCCACAATAGCAACATCTGAGTTTAGACCTGATGAATGGCAAGCGCAACGAATAGGCTGGTCGCAATTTAAAGGCGAATAATGGGGTTAAGTGAAGGACAATGGCAAACACGTTAATCATACAACAGTAGCAGCCTGCCCAGTGTGGCATACGAAGAGGCAGATGACGTGAAGAATGAACACGTATGTGGTGATGCCAAACATACCTTCAAACAGAAGAGCGCTTATGACGAAACACACTGAACTTCGTTCTACTGATGTATCTACTTCATGGCGTACCTGTTGCCAATTTCATGCGCTTTTTGAGTAGCTACAGTCGTGGCAGATGGTAGTAGCATCATGGCATAGGACAACGGGAGGTGTGCAAGAACGGTGCCGTCCATAACTGTTTAGGACACAGGTGCAATGCACGTTTTTCAATAAAGATTGTATATCCTGCCATTGAACTTCGGCCAATAAAAGCGTCGACACTTTTGTTCTTTCACGTGACACGTTTTCTCATGTTTGGGTGACATGTGGTACAGAAGCAGGCATTTCCGTCGCAATGAGAATTGCCGGCGTATGACCTGAATGTCTCAGTTTCATGCATGGATATATGCAGGAGCTTGCAATGAGAAACACAGCTCAGTGTTGGTCACCAAAAACAAATATTTTGGCGCGCAGCAGGTGGGTAAAAAATTTCTTCCAGGGGATATTATAACAACATAACAGGTTTTCAGTCTACCTGCTTTTAGTGTCTACTTCGATTTTCAAATTCTCGATATTTAGTGGCATGCGTGTTCATGCATGTACAAATGTCATAAGAGAGGGGACACGTGTCCCCCGTTACCCCGCTCCGTAGAATACGTAACTGATCGCGTGTTTATGCAGCAGCCTGGCCACCGAGCAGAGCTCTTCGGGCATTCTGTGGTGAGAAACAAGCAAGTCTTTGCTTTCGAGACAGAATATACGCTACTGTTAGTGCAGGCGTTCCATAAGGGAGAACGCTCTGACTGTGCCGTTATATTGGCACGCGCATAACATATGATAAGCCTGCTTAAGACACACAAGCCTGCGAAAAGGTCGCGAAGGCAAGTCAGTTCGGGTCAGTTCGGTTCCGCCCTAATTCGTTCGGGCTGGACTGATCGCGTCGGGTGAGATCGCTCCGATTCAAGCTCTGTCGGACAGCGCAACTCCAGGGCTGACGTATCGGCGAGGCAAGAGCATTCGGGCGTGGGCCCCGCCGGCTCTCAAGTAATGCCAACATTCCCAACCGAAACAGAGCGGGCATCATCCAAACTATCTTTCAGTGATCCGAGAACAGTACACTGCCCCAAACCGTGCGAGGTCCGGTAAAACCGGGATGAAATACATATTTGAAGAGGCCTAGGCCAAGCATCGCCACCAGATTCCAATCGTTTAAGTTGGGCGAACACTCAGCAATGTTGTTTACCCACCTGCTAACCAGATCATCGCCAACCTGGTCCAGCTGTTCGTACCACGCGTTCTCCAGATCTAGGTACAATTTGCGATAGCTTTTGCAGTGCGTGGTGAACATGGCACTCATGGCGTTTAGGATTTCGTACGCCTGGTCCTGAGGATAGAAACGGAGCGGTAGTTTCCGTGCGCCCGGACCCGTTGAAACGGCCGGGTAGCGTCATCGATTTAAACGGAATGTGCATCAGAGAAAAACCGGTCACAGCACAGAACAGGGCACGCTGATTAGAGAAACAGCGCCCCCCCCCCCAAAAAAAAAAATGACCAGCCAGTACACCACTGCATCATCAAAAACAAAACCACATCCACAGCAGTAGTGCAGAAGTTCAAACTGAAGTGAAGAATGCGCAGGATAAACAGGCCGATGAACTGTACGGAGAATATGGGCACGGCACGGCACCAGTCATGAGAAAGCAGCATATCAGTCGGGAGATACATCACTAGGTTGGCTGAGTAAAATAATAAGTGGAATGGGAGAAAACTCGCCAGTCATGGCGGAGCAAAGCTCAGCAGACTGCAGATGGCGACGCAGATCAGAACGTGGGTACGATATAAGATCAGGTTAGCTGGGCAGCAGTACTTATCAGACGCCATTGTTTATTTCTAGGTCCAGGTGCGAAATGTGTGCATTAATGCAGCGGTTTTGCTCGCAAGAATACGAAAACTTACATGACGCAAACACAGCGCTTGCTCGACTTGTTCTTGTCACGAAGCATTTAATGGAGCCAGACGCCTTTGGGAACCCACGAAGATGGGTGTGACCAATACGTTAGCACGTCTGTCTTCATAAGAGTTTGTCAAGTCAAGAGGTTCGCTGATGAAATGTTCGCGCTAATTCACAGATCGCATTGGCTCAAGAAAATGTGGGTTCCGCAAAAGCAAGCAGGAGAGTTCTGCCGAGCCCAGCCAGTATCTGGTCTGTTGAGGCCAGCCAGTATCTGTTCTGCCGAGGCCAGCCAGTATCTGGTCTGCCGAGGCCAGCCAGTATCTGGTGTCTAATGGCTTTTGGTAGTCGTTGTGGCCAGAACATTAGCACAAACGTCAATGCTTTTGGATCCCCACTTATTGATCAAGGTTGAACGGTCATTTGTTTTCGACCGCGGTAACGTGTACTCGGAAAATTCTGTAAGCCACATCGACCGCTTTCCTATCCATTACTGACTGGAAAGGTTGACTGTAAATGAGATGTTACTCCAAGCCGCGTGGTCTGTTTTGTTTATTTGATCTGTAGTGGTTGCCTGATGCTTGTCTCAATAAAACAAACACCCAAAAACTGGTGGATCGAAAAGTTTGCATCTTGACAGCGCATGACAATGCAGGCAGTGACGTACGTTCGTGTCAATACAATATTTCCCTTCACTCCTTAAATTACGTCGCTGACATTGTAGCTGCGAATCACAATAAATCGTATTTGCGCCAGGCTCAGGCGGACAATGTGTAGTTTTTCCGCCATTTTCATATGTCGCACATTTCCAATTTTAAACGGCATTGGTATGCCGAGAAATCGATGCATCATTCATCGAGTAAAAAAATTGCTGCGATTTAGATAAGTTTAGATAATTTAGTCAACATAGAACATGTTACCCCGTTGCTCGAGTCCCACGCCGGATGAAGCAGATTGCAGTAATATGTCTTGAAAATAATAGCACTTCGTTTCAAAAGCCGAAGGAACTGTAGCGATGAACAATAAATACTACATAATTAACAATAGTGTGTATAAAATCGGCGACCGCAAATATATAGACCTATCAGAAGCAGGACGGGGGGGATCGGGCGGGGCGACACGGTCATAACAGTTCCCGTTAGCTGAAGTTAAGACCAGCTTGGCCTTCGAGCTTGCTCGCAGTCAGTTCTGACCTTCGCTGCCTCTCACCTGCCAGTGATCGAGAGACTCGTCGGTGACCTGCTTCAGGAACAGATCTGGCAGCCCGGTGATGTGGTCCTGGTAGTGCTGCCAGACGGCGTCCATCTCGGCCTCGAGCTCAGTGAGCGGCGCCTCCACCAGCGCCTCCACTGCGGTAGCCTCCAGGTAGCGAGCCAGACGCTTCTGGGCCTGCGTCGGCGTCAAAGCCCGGTCAGGCTCGGCGAACGATGCAGCGCTGCCGACGGCCATCCACGAGCAAAAACGGAGTTTAAGGAGAATGTTCCACATTGGACGACATTGAAGCAAGCATCAGCTGTGATGAAGTAGGCTCACTTCAAACTGTAAGTGAACTTTTAAGTGTAAAATACCGTTCTAGACAACACAATACATCTGTTAGGTAAATATGCTCTGCAATACGTCATTGTTTGATTACGTCACCGTGCCTTGCCCAACATTGATTGATAGCCAACTGACGGCCGTTATATCTGGAAATCATGCTCACGAACGCCAGATATGAACAGCTCGAAAATCATATATGATTGGCCCTGATCGTCGCTTGACTAATGGAATGACATAATTTGAATGACGTTACTATGGCGTCTTGGATGCCTGGGTGACCTTGAATACTCTCCCTGAAATAATATGCACATCAACGCGGGCTTATAGCCAAGAAATCAGAGGCGTTAATGTCTTAAGAAGGGCAGGGCTGTGAACTGCACCGAATGATTTTCAACATGGCTATTTCAGTTCAAATCCCTACGCAGATGTGGAACACTGCTTTTAACTGCTGGCATGGCGAGGAAGCACCAATCAAACTTTGGTTTCACAATCTCTTCGCCACTCCTTCAACGTCTCTCCCGGACGTTGGCTGGGCATTGATGGAGTGAGGATTATCTCTGCGCTCCTTAGAGAGGGCAAAATACGATCGAGAGGGGCACTGCTCGTAGACTATTTTCTATCAGGCGACGTCCGTCATACCTGGAAGTGGTCAGCTGATTCCGTGCCGTCTCTCGTGTGAAATAACTGTGACACATCGAAAGGACATGAGTACTTTTTACGCAATATTGTTTGACAGCGACATGATTTGGTGTCTAATCTGGGATAAAATGGCGTAAAATGACGGATTGGCACATGAGGAAGAAACAGATCAAAGTCCAGAGTTAAGTTTACCATTTTTTTCGGAGGCCTGACGACCAAGGATGAGCTTCACACCCATGCTTATCTGTTTCCGCAATATGCAGCGGGAAGCAAGTTAGGGGCCAGTCAGATAAACGCAAGCGCGAAAAAGGCTATTGATGCTGTAAGGTGACCAAAACGATATCGCTAGCTGAATCCGTCACAGTCCATGTGAACGTCTGCTGAAACATGCCGAGCTTACTTTTTTGGAAGGTCTGGAGGCAATTGAGACAGGATGACCACACTTCAAACAATGAATTCTGAAGCAGGAAACACGCTGTCAGCCTGTCCGATGGTCTCCCACGTGTCCTGAGTTCAAGATGGCTCCATGTTGCTCCCAAATCAGCCCACACCCACCTGAGTGATGTTGAGCGTGCGCCAGGCGTCTCGCCGCGCTGTCCACAAGTCCTTCAGCTTCTTCTTGGCCTGCACCTCGTTCGTCAGGCGGTTGAACCTGATTTCCGAGTACTGGCGCAGATTGTTCAGGATCACCTCGTCAATGGCCACGGCCTCCAGCTCCAGCTGCTCTTCCACCTAGCGGACGGCAGGAGTGGCGCATTGTGTGTGACCGGAAGAAATGCTAAGATGTCCACACAGCATGAAAACTGTACGAAATTTTGCACAGAGCACAGCAATTATATAACTACTCGTTGGAAAACACGTCGGAGAGCAATCGTTGAAAGAATATACTAACGTGACTCAAGCGATGGAAACGTACATTTCATTACTAGCATTACAGATTGGAAGCACTGTAAGACCAGACGTGCAGAGGCGGCCTCGCACCTCAGCGGGCATCTTGTGGAATGCCCTGGTCAGAAGCGGATGGTACTTTCGAAACACGTTCCGCAGGTGGGCGGTGCGTTCCGCCTCCAGGGACATCTGTCTGCTGATGCATTCAGCAATGATTTCGTGACGAACCCGGTAGATCTCGTGCAGGTCGTCCATCAAGGTCGCAAAATCAGCCGCCGAGTACTGTGGATGATGTCTGGTTTATCAATCATGGTTGGATAACAAATTATAAAGAATTGTCTCGTAATCGGACATGATGTCGGCATGAATCCATATCTACTCATGTGCTATTGCGGCGTCGCGGCTGCCGGGTGGTGTCTGACTTGCAACCCGACTACCGCGACACTTGGCGTCGGGGTACCCCTGGGCTAGACCACACGGACTGGGCTGGAGAAGATGACGTCATTCAGATGGAGGGGAAACCCCCAGTCTGGTGTCGCTTTTTGGTCTCGGGCTCGAACGTGGACTTTGTTGTTTGAGCATTTTCAAAAACATATGGTAAGCAAATTAGTTGGTTTTAGTCAGTTGCTTTGCCTTCAGCTTCCCACACTTTTTGTTCTCACACGGCAACCCACGCAGCCTAAAAACCGTGGTGACACGACCGACAAAAGTTCATGGACCAAACAGACCCATCCACGCAGTAACCCCCCAAAGTAATCCCCCTTTGCAAACAAATATGATAACTTCGATGTCAGGTCGTTGGCTTCGTCCTGCAGTCACCAGGGGAGCCGCGAGTGGGGAGCAAGGGAGAATGTCACCTGGCTGTGCCCGGTGTGGACTCCCTGGCAGGAGTGAACATTTTATCGTCTCGGGGACTGGGCCGTCCAGACCATGATTTCAACCACCCAGGCTATCGATACCCACCTCACAAGTCAAATCCTGGTGGCGTCCCTTGGCTCACTTTCATGATGAATACAACTTACATCATCTTCAAGACATTGTCATAATTATAAAAGCAACTGCCATAAACGATACTTCATTAAACAAACCGTTCACCAAATATATGCAACGACCTGAACGACGTCAATCGGAGCTAAGCCTGCGGACATGAGCGAAAATTCAATCCCGTACCTGAACAGTGCACTGAACTGTCTCTCCCATCGCACTGCAGCACGCTCACTTACAGAATAAAGGTATTCAAGAACATACACGCGCGCACACGCACACATTGCGCGGGTGTCCACACAAGAATCCCTCAGCGACGCACCGTGTTGAAGTGGTACGGCTCGATCCTGCTCCTCCAGCTGGTGATGTCGTCCTCTACGTAGCTGAGCAGTGTGTCCAGGCGATGCGCCTCGTCCACGGCCGCCTGTTCGATCCTGGCTTCGACCGCATGCATCTCCCGGCGCCGCTCCTGCTCCAGACGCACGAACCTGGCACGCCCCGGAGGTCAGGTGGGGTCAGCCCAGATGACTGGTGAAGACGCCGGTACTCAGCGGAGGGTGGAAATGTGGACTGTTTGTCTGTCAGCAGTTCAGAAGTTTGTCTGGGCTGTTTGCTAGCAGATCATCACCGTCTTTCTAATCTGCGGTGTCCTGATAGCTTGTACGATAACCAGCAGCTAGCGCCAAAATTAACAAGCTGGAATGACGGCCGTTTCTTCAGCTTCTCTGAAAGTGCGACGGCATTAGTGTTAGTAAGTGCGACGGCATTAGCATATGTTTTGTGCGCGCCACAGAGACATTTCTTGCCTCGAGACCTATAGGTCGAGATGTCTAGGTAGAACAAGCTCGCCAAAAACATTGTCCACAATACCAGGGGTATGATCGCCGATCAGGGTGCATGCATTCACCTTGGAAGGAGCCATCACCTTTCTTTTCTGACGATGGCGACTCTTCCCACAGCTCCACCGTCCGCGTCCTCCTCCTCCTCTGTGTCAGGCACTAGTGCCTCTCGACCTGGATCACCGATGACTGGCAAACCCCGCACCTCCCACACCTCGTCCAGCGGCCGCACGGACATGCTGCTGTCCTCCGAGCCGATCCGCGACTTCAGTCGAGCTCACGGAGGTTGTGCCCCGTCGCGCTGCCCAGCATCGGGGTCATCCTGGCTCACGCACAAAGCACCAGGCCTCCGGGACACCAGCTAAGGCCGGAGACAGGTTGTCTACAGCAAGCAAACATTCCGCGATATTGACGCGATTTTTGGAATATTGTCGGCGATCTGACTGCAGGGGTGTCAGGCCGTTATACAGTGGAAGGAGTCATGAGCACGCCGACACTGGATGCAAGGGAACTGGCAAAATAAACACTGTGGTTGGAAATTAATCACCGAAAATTCCAATGCCTCGTGAAAAGACGCCACGCGAGCCTGTGTTTCAGAAAAAAAATCAAAACGGAATTTGGACCACCTTACATGGGTGATATTCGTTAAGTTGTATTTTTGAGAAGAAAAAAAATTGGCGTAAAGTTGGCTTTTAAATAAAAATGCAGGTTGCTTAATGAAGATGAAGTGTATAATTATTTCAAGGTCATCTAAATTCCCCTTTAATACTTCCAAAGTCATACATTGCATGAGCACCGTACTATCTTAGAAAAAAACATTCATGTTGCACGCGTTTCAAATACGCAACCACGTTCGACATTCCATCCATGCTAACGTTCAACGTGGTTGTACAGAAGGCAGACAAAAAAAAAAAACAAAAAAAAAAACGGCTTGGCCTTGTTTCATCTCGATCATCCGACACGAGGACGACTTACCAGTCCCATCTGCATGTGAGACAATGTGTGCTTAGTTGCCCACAGCCTTGCGCACCCGTAACAGCTAACGTTGCAGTGCCTGCTGGTCACCGCAGCGAGCTCAGAAGGCGTCATGGACACGCAGCGTCCGAACGGCCTCGAGCGAAAGGACACCACTAAGTGCGCAACAAGGGTTTTGAGAACGACTAGCCAGCAATGTCCGTGTATTTCTACATTAGCAAGTAACAGCCGCCGACGGTCGATAGCAACTGCACACACGCACACAATGTACCGCGCAGAATGCACGGCTCAGTCAACGTTCAAGGCAGACGTCCGCCTTGCACAGATCACTCACCTAACACACGGCCATACGGGCAACCATAAAGACAGCCAGACCCAGAAAACGGCCACGGTGGTGCTGTACAGCGTGACGGACATGCCCGCTCACCACAGAGAGCGCTGCGATGCCCCATCACTCATCACCCGAACACCGCCCTACAAAACATCTCTTCAGACAGCAGTCTGCCCAAACACCGCCACCCCCAGAGCCCAGCCTGGGCCCTATTGCACCTCACAATCGGGCCAGAGCACAGCCGCGCCCGCACTAGCCCGGCAGCTGGGCGCGCCTCCGAGCATCGAGGGCGCGCGAGGCGTCCGCCCGCGTCGCCCGCCACGGACCCGCCCACTAGCCGATGATCTCGATACCCTTGAAGTACTCGGCGTCCACGTGGTTGGTCAGCCGCACCAGGTTGGAGTAGCCGTTGACGATACTGGCCAGCCGGGTGTCCTGCAGCGGCGTGGTGATGATGGTGTACAGGTGGCCGTACACCAGCGCGTCCAGCGGCGTGGGCTGGCTGCCGAAGAAGTAGGGCTCCTTGCCGAGCCGCTCCGAGAGCGCCCGGCAGCAGGTGTCCACCTGCGGACGCCGGCGAGCCGGTCCAGGTCACCAGGGGAGCCGCACTGGCACTTGGGGCGCGGCGGCACGTGGGGCGGGGATCAGAGCATGCACACGGGCATGACACCGGCCGGCCGAAATGGTACGTTTACTTGGACAGAACCGCTCATTGCGAACCACAATCATATTCAAGACCCAAGAGTTTCAAGGATGGACTACGGATAGTTCGAAAAACAGAGAGCGCAGCTAAATGCCCAACATTGCTGATCTACCGTGAAAAACAAATGATAAAGGGAAGCATACACATCACACTCCCTTCTTGCCTACACCGTTACAGTGAGATATTTTGAAGCAGCCAGCAGCCCCGCATACACCCGTGAGCAGCGTGACACGAGGGTCAGAAGCACCCCATGTCGCTCTCCACCCACCTCGGCGTAAACGGCATCCAGCGTCTTGTCAGCCCACTGCAGCGCCTGCAGGCGTGCTGCCATCTTGCGGCGACGGAGCCAGGTGAGGACGCCGCCTAGCGGCCATGGCTGGAAGGAGCCGTAGCGCGGCGCTGTGACCGTCTCGAACGTCTCGGCGTCCAGCCAGGAGATATACAGCTCGGCGTTTCCTGGCGGGGGGGGGGGGGGGGAGAGGGAGAAGAACGGTCACGCTCATCGGCAGGTGTCCCACCTCGTCGGAAAAACGGCGGCGATGCTAATGTCAGCTTGGATATCAGGGTAGATCGATTTCAAGAGCATGCATACAGGGCAAACAGGCTGATGCTCTGCGACATCATGATTCCGTCAAGGCAGCCTTTACAGGCCGGGCTGGCGAGTGCACGACGAGCCGATGCAGGCCGACGGAGGTGCCACTGCTTAGACGATGTGAAACCCTTTATGAGGCATGCCCCCGGAGTACACCAAACATGCGTTTCTGGCCACTCTACTCTACTTTATAGCAGCGCTTAACCCACTCACCCAACACATTGTGGACGAGTGAGATAAACGCCTGCATATCTGCCTGGTGTTTGCTGTCCAGGTTATTTAACATGATGCCCTTCTTCGTCACAAAAGCCACAATCGGGTCAAACTCGGAGATGACAAACTTCCCACACCTGTTGAAAAGTGGGGAAAATGCGGTTGTAGATAATGCAACCGCATTGCGATTACAAAAATAAATACCGCGGCAATATCAAAAACCTGCTGAACAAGTACAGAAAGGAAAAACACGCTGACACAAAACATTTCACAGTCTCTTAGATACAACGCAGCCAAATACAATGCTGAACATCAGAAATACAATTGCGAGCAAGCTTTCACATTTTCCTCTAAGCAAAAATAAGTTTCGAAATGCACGTAGATCTTACGATGGACACAGAACGTACTTCGACAAGTTTACAGTGCGATGTACGAAACATCGCCGTAAATACATTTCTGGCAAATCTTCCCTTCATTCTTTGCTCCCGTAAAAAATTGAAACGTATTCCAATAATACTGTCAACTCGGTGTTCCCTGTTATAGCGGTAAAACATCTTCCACACAGGAATTCGTACTAAAGTGAAGAGGCTCGTGTAACCCCACCGAGCGTGCTGCACCATATCCTTACTGTCGGATTCAGCTTCTCCTATTCCTTCACACAGAATTCCTGAATCAATGCACAGTTTCTCCACTCGAGACGACACCTAACTTGGCACATACACCGCCCGAAGATGGCGCCTGCCCCCCCATCGGCCGTCGAGTTAGACCATTCACCGACCTGAGGAGCGGCACCCTGCCGGATGGGGACATGTTCTCGGCGTTGGCCCTCTGCTCCACCGTGTATTCCAGCGAGCACATCTTCAGAAAGGCCTGCACCGCCACACACTGAGCACTGTCCGCCAGCAGTATCTGAGGAAAGGGACGTCTGTCACACCCTCAGACAGGCTGGTATCGGGTGTGAGGTCACACGCGGCTAAACATCAGCTGACGTCTTATGTCCAGATACGAGTTGCTATATTTTGTTCGAGCCTGGTACCGGCGCCAGCCTGAAGACCCGAGTCCAGGCCTGGTTTCAGCAATAGATCAATGCAAACAGCCCTGGCTTCGACTTTCAATACACACAATGCCGGAGAACATGTCCTGGCATTTGTTGGGCGTCAGCATATCTCACACCGTCGCGGACACAGTACCCCTCCAGCAATGCCGAATGATCAGTTCCGACCACCGGTTAGGCGGCATCGAAACTCTGCATCTTTACACGTGACCTCCTAGTGTATCACTCAATCCACTGACCGGTTGGAAAACGATGCATGAAAATGAAGCAATGTCATGGACCATCCAGCGAACGCACTGTCCCCTATTACGTTCATGACGGAATCTGAAAAAGCTGGCGTGACATGAAACGACTCATATGCTGTTATGGTCTTAAGGTATGCAGTATATCTAAGGTACACGCGGTGTGGTATCAAGGCACTGAAAAAAAAACTGAGAAAGCACCCATGCGTTCGGGAGCTACGGCAGGGTCCGGCTGGGGTTTGGGACACGAGCTGCTCCCACACCACAAGCCCGGCATCAAGTAACCATTTATGGGTGATAGACACGTGGGAGCACGAGACCAAAGCGGCTGTAAATACACACCGATGCAATTTCTCACCACTATGGTGCGCGTGTGACAAACGGCGAGCTGTAATGCCACCACAGCTCAACAGGCCCTTGGCCGGGCCGTGGCCACCACTGGCGGCTGGGGCGGGCGGCCGGGCGCCGCTGACGCACCTGTTCGGTGGTGTAGGGCGTGTAGAGCACGGCGTCCGGGGACCACGGCTCCGAAGCAGCCATCTCTATCGAGAGACACTCGGTGAGGGCCGTCGGCATCTTGGGTTGATGGACGCGGCCTGCTGGCAACGACGACAGTCAGCACCTTAGCTCCGAGTGTGGCTGGAGGGCAAACATACTAAAACATACACAAGTGTCATCACTTCTCATTCAGTGTGGTCCTGTACCTCAACAACCTCCTTCAGCAGCACAACAGACCATTCTTTTACATTGGTGACTGTTTCAGTCAATTCTTTTGTCAATGATGACAGTTCCAGCCCAGATTTCTATTATACCAACAATGACAAACTGTTTTCACTCAGTTTTATCAACTAGTTCAAGTTCCCCCTATTGGATACAAAATTGGCAGATAAAGCTTTGGCAAAATAAGCTTCAAGACAGGCCACTATAGCACATGGATAGACCAATGACAGCTTTGAAGTGGGACATCAATGCCTTATATCATTCTCCTTTGACCTGAGATCAAATACACACAACTTTTTGCACTGTATCTGATTCAGTACTCAGTTTGTGCCTATTTGGCCTGCAAAAGACCTTCACACTTTCAATAAAGTTATAATGTTTATCTGGCATGTTTCAGAGCATTAAGTCAGATTGATTAAGAGCACAAAGGCTGTATGCATTGCTGGCACAAATTTGTCCCCTGTGTGACTGCGAAAAAAATTGACAAGGCTAACCTCCTATGGCGGTAACCAGTGAATATTATGATCTTGATCTTGATGATCAGATCTTGCCAGCACACATTGTTCATGCAAGACTCTGCAACTGCTTGGACAGACCAGCATGCAATTTCTAACTCAAAATATCCAAATATAACATATTAAGCCCTCTGCAACATGAACTAATGGCAGGCATGTGGGGTATGGTCAAGCAAGCAATGTATACAGAGACTGGCAACCATGACTGGACAAGCAGTTTAAGGTCAGGATGTACATAACTTATCTGTAAACTTGGCCCCGAGGTGCCATACAAATTCATGAAGAATGTGTAAGCAGACTAGTACACAATTCTTTAATCACAGCTCTGCAACATTGATATCCACCATAATAACATGCTTTTGATCAAGTTTATTTTAACTAATGTTGGCTTGTGATACATAAAACTTTCCTCCATCAAGTACTTGAACATCTTATTTACCTACAAGCCAAGGTTTCTTACAAAATATTGCATGCATATGATAAAAAGGAAGGCATGGAACATATGCACACATTCTCCAAAGTCCATGGCTTATTCCAGTACAAATGACCTAGCAGCAAGAGGTTGTCACTGCATTGGGAAGCTTTTGAATGCCACACTGTGCAAGCAGACAAACATTTAAGACCTGTAGACATGACAAATAATGTACATATATGAGGAGTGAAGTGTAGTATGTAGCTTTTTGGTGGACAATTCAACAATTCAGCATAAGGTACCAGCACAAACAATAACCCACCTTTGAAATAAATAAAAATGATGTTTAACATTGTAGGCAACAACAAACATAGCAAGCATGACCAGGAACATAAAGTCAATGAACAAGCAAAGAAAATATTAACTACAAAATATCTGTTGAAAATGAACACATAAGCTTGCATGCTGAGATAACCAACACACCAATGAAGCGAAAACCTGAAAACTCAATTTAAGCAATGATAAAGCCTATACCTAACTGAAAACCTACATACATGTGCAAATAAAAATGCTTCATAAAAATGAGAATACAACTAATAGAAATAAATTAATAACTGCCAGCCAAAACTGCCTTCCTGCAAAGCTAGCTAGATTCTCCCCAGAAGCCGGTTTGATCAAACACCAATACTCTTAGTTATTTAACCTGCAATTCCAGGAAAACGTGCCGATAAAATCTGGTTACCTCATTCGACGATCAACCACAATTTGATTGACTTAAGACTCACAGAAATGACAAAATTCATTGCGTATTTTCACGTCACAGCTGCGCTCGAAATGCCCCAGGTTTTTGTCTTTAGGTACGGTACCTCAGGTTACGAAAATGGTAAATATATCAAAGGAATGCTCCACTTTCTAAGATATTGAAGCAAACATCAGATATGATGAATTAAGCTAGCTTATGCCTGTTGATATATTTTGAAATCGAAAAGGCTGCTCAATGCAACACAATTTCTCTTTGTAGGAATATGCTCTTCCATACGTCATTCCTTTATTGCTCGTGGAACGTTCGTATCACGGCTCTCACTTGATCAACCTCTTGAGGGATGATGGCACGGGGTGGTAATGTTCGCTGATCAAAATATCGCCATGTGGTCGTGTTTTGTTAGTTTCTCGCGGTGTTCTTGCATCCGTGAGTTCAAGATGCTTGCTTGCATTATCAGACTCAGCTGTAACACCTTTAAAAAAGGAGTGTGAATAAAGCAACCTTACGGGCACGGGCAGGTCAATATATGGAGGCCCCGGATAAAGCGTAGATAGAGCCTTTCGGGCGATCATCGACTCTGTTATCCTCTTTTCTTGCCTTATCCTAAATCGTCGCGACGCCCCGCTAATCCGGGGTAGGCTATATGAGTCAGCCACAAGTAGGCCGAGAGCCCCCCCCCCCCCCCCCTCCTCCTGGTAAGGGGACTTGACCGGGCGCCCAGCGCACGCTCCCGAGCGTTGCCCGCGCGGATAACAGCTCGACGGTTAGCGTCCAAGACGCATGCAGTCCTGCCCCACCGTTAATCTATTCTCCTTCACCCCATAGCCCTGAAATAATATTTTCCGGTCAAGAGAGCTCTAACTTTTGGGCGACTAAGAATAATCTGTGGAAGGCCTTTGGTTGACAACAGTGCCACCTCACGATAGCAGGGAAGGTCCCAGCGACAGCGCAGATCCATCCAATCAAATGTAAAGAAATCAGGGGGAACATGGAAGGCTCCTTATTGAACGGATTAACCCTCTATGTAGACAGATAGGGCCCCGGAGAGCAGCGTAGTTTCCCTGAACAGCGTAATGAGCCCCAAAAGCTTCCACTTTCCATCCTCTCAATCAGTGAAAAAAATTATTTTTATCTACTTATGTGCCATCCATTCTCGCTTGAGACTGCTTGAGAAGCCCCAAAAGCTTCCACTTTCCATCCTCAATCAGTGAAAAAATTATTTTTATTTACTTATGCGCCATCCATTCTCGCTTGAGACTGCTCTTGGTCGCCTTGGTCGCCTGGAAGCCCAAAGAAGTAAATTTGGTTGCGTTTTGTTAAAAAAAAAACTGCGTCTGTTCGGCCGGCCATGCTTCCCTTCGGGCCTTATGAGGCCCCTTCGTGGTCCAGAGGGGACAGAGCCCCGTGGGCCTCCCTCTTCATCCGTCCCCGACTAAGTGGTGTATTTACTCCGGAGAAAAAAAGTCGTCTTCAGCAGGCCTTTCGACCAGCATGGCAAACCTGGCAGACATGGCGTTACTGCTGTTCCTACCTACCCCCAAAATTCCCAACAAATGGGTTCTTCTCTGGATTCATCCCATTTCCTTCCCAAAATTGGTAACCTGGAGTCCAATTGTGAGCGTGTACGTGGAAGCGGGGGGGGGGGGGGGGCTGGAGACCCCACAGCCCCACCGCCCAACCGGATAGAAAACTACACCCCTGACAATAGGACCGTGATTCACACCACATAAATATCAGCATAGTGTACGTCGGAGGGCGGTTCCAGAACGCCGCCTCGGGGAGGAGTCGCGGTAAACGCAGCCTACATCTTCCTCCAAGGTCAGAAATGCATCAAATTTTGCCCAGCTGTGGTCATTGTGGGGCGCCATGGGACATCTCAACCCTGTCGGATCCACGCTTGAATACGCACACTGACTTATGTGCGCGGCGTTAACGTGCTATTCATTCTCGACGCGCTCTTCCGCCGGACGCGAACATTCGTACCTCAGAGGCCACAATCACCGCCTGTAGTCTAGACGGCCCGGTCGGCATCCACCGCCACGAGCGCCGTGAGTCCCCAGTTGCGCACCTCATAGCCGGCCAGCAAGACCGGTCGGCACGCCAAGGTCGGCCGCCGCACCGCTCCCCGATCGGCGCCGCCGGCGCGGGCGCGTCCCACCGCCCCCGCCCGGGAGGCCATCCTCGTCCCCGCAGACGCTGCTCGACTGCCGGACCCTCGCACACGTGCCAACCATATCACCGCAGCCGTATAGGCAACATGACGCACGCACGCACGCACGCCACCACCACAGCAAACACCATGGGAATTTTATCGTCTTTATTGACATTATCACGCCGCGCCGGCGACAGCACAGGCTGCCAGCCGACACACTGTCGCCGTGGCCAGGACGGCAGCGGCCCGTACGTGAAGATTTTGGCGAGCAACTGCAGAGCGGATATGGAACCCGCCACCCTTCCCGCGACCTGGGGCTCCAGGCTGGCCGTTAAACGGCGGAATCATCCCCTCCCCCGGCACATCAAGCTAGTCGCATGGTGAACGCACGTGACCTTGGTGGCAGTTACCTGGCGTCAAACAACTGTGAATATCATATCCGCATCTGACTCGCCCAGTCACCGCCACAGCACATAGTACACCCTGTGCTTGACATTTACGATGCCGGCACTGCGCCTGGTGAACGGCACTAAAGCTGACAATAGCGGACCGATGTGTAATTTTATCGCGCGAAATACTATACACCAATACGCGTCTCGCACAGTAAGCGGGAGCGTGTGCCGCGGCTACAACCATCAGAATCTGCCAAACCATGTATAGCCATGCAAATGCCAACAACACCCCTTCCCCCTCAATCAAAACCCACACCAAATTCTTCTAAGAACCCCAAAGATAAGCAAAACGCCCAGAAGTCAGTGAAAGCAAAATGTTCACGCATCTCATACCGAAAGACGACGGAGAAAACCCACTTGAGCAGTGAATGTCACCTCCATCACCTAAATGCATGGGCTCTCAAAATCGCGTTTTGACGAGACGCATCGAAAGATATGGACAGAGAAGACAAGCACAAATAAGATGAGGTACAACCGCGGCCAGCCCGGGGTCCAGTCGAGGGCGATCAGTCCGGTGTGTGGGTGTGGGTCACAGTCTATTTCTTGGGCTGGTGAATGAAGTGCCCCTGTTGAGAGGGCCGCGGCACCACCTGGCTCGGCTTAGGCTTCTCGTGAATGTGCTTCACCGCCTCCGTAGGGAACTCCCGGTTGGTGTCGTCCGCAGTAGGCTGACCTGAGGTCACGCTCAGCTTCGGCGGACTGCAAGCAATGACATCAGAAGTCACGCCGAAAGCCGCCGCTCGGTGTCGTGGATGGGATGCCTTAGTGGCATGTCAGTGCTAATACTGCAACAATCTGAGGTCAAATGACACACTGGGGCTTCCTCATGATCTCACCTCTGAGAGAACATTCCAATGGCCTGGGTGCTATCAGCTGCAGCTGCTTCCTTTCCATCTCCCTCACTATCCTTGTGTGGCTTCTTCTGCACTACACGTGCACCACCGACTTTCACTGGAAAGAACGCGATGTCAGACAGGACACTAGTAACAGCTGGCACCGCAACTCGCTGAGCTGTAGCTTGCATCAGCCGGCAACACTGGAAAAATTCTCTGAAGCTCACATGCGTCATTCCCCATGCTACCTCACATTGACTTCTGGACATGCATGAGTGCAGGGGCACCATGTCCCGACATTCTGACCGGTGAGGGGCTTAATCCAGGGATCCCACAATGAGATGACTTGTGTACATCAGTGGAGTGCTCCTGACATGAAGGATTAAAAGGCTGATCTGAAGTGGTAGGTCACATGTGAAGCAGAGCTTAAACAGTGCCAAATGGTCAGTCACCAAACTAGAAGAACAGTTCATTGACCATACCTTGTAACAAGGTACAAATGCAATGAAGGGTCAGCATCACCATTAGTTGAAAATTAGCAAAAACTGGAGGGGGGCCAGCACACTTTGGGTCCATTCTTTCTCATCATGGGTATTAGCATATTCTCAAGATGATTAGCAGTATGTGCTCCTCACAGCAATCCAGAGGAGCTATAATGCTTAAGATAACCATGGCATGCATAATATTTCAGTTAAAATGTGTAAAAATGCACAAATTATTTGTCTCCTGGTATTGACAGCATGCTACTTAAGTTTTGAACATATTGGTGAGGCCCACCACCAAAGTTGTCCAAACTTTGATATAGGTTTTCTGAAAGGGAATGTTCTACATTTAAAGATAACATGAGTTGTTAACTGCATTTACAAGGATTATTATGCTTATAGATCATGCCGTTCTGTTGGTAGTGTGCCTGATAGAATAACTAGGGGAAAGGAGAGCAAAATGTGTTTATATTTCAGCCACATGTCTTTATCAAGACAGAATTTATCTTGGTCATCTTACAAGAGGTAAGGTTAACAGTAATCAGTGATGTCTTATCTTTGCTCAGCTTTCTTATATTGGAACAAGCATCAAATGTGATAAAACAAACTCACTTAAGACTAGTGGCATAATCTTTGTTATCTAAGACTGCCCTTGACAACACAATTTCCATATGAACATGCTCCTGATTACACCATTGTTTGATTATGCCATCATGCCTTGCACAACACTGGATGAGAGCCAACTGAGAGCAGCTGTATCTGCAAATTGTGTTGACCAGTGCAAGACATGATCAACTTAACAATGACACTTGTCTTGGCCCTGATCACTGCATGGCTAATGGAATGGCAGAGTTTGAATGGCATTAATACAGTGACACAGGAGCCAGGATGACCATAAAAAAGGTTCCCCAAAATAGTATGTGCATGTTTGCAGGCATGTAGCTCAGAAACTACAAGAGTTTAGGACTTAATAAGTGAAGGGCTGTGAACTGCCCTGAATGGTCTTCAAGATGACCATTTCAGTTCCAAACCCATACAAATGTGGAGCACTTCCTTTAAACCTCCCCTTGCTGTGGTGGTATGGGAGGGGGAGGGGCTGATGCAACCCTCCAAGGTTTTTTTGGGTGTCACTCCTGCTTGATGTGCAATCATGCCCAAATTTTCAGTAGCCCATGGGGCATCCAAGGCATGTGTTTTTACACCAAAAATGTGTTCCTAGCTCTTCTGGTTTGAGAGCAGCAGCAGCTTTAGAGGAAAATTGCATGTTGAACTGTGGTCGGGTGGGCAGGAAACAATGATGCAGAGGAATGGGTGCTCTGGGCAGGCATTGTTACATCAACAGAACCATAAATCATGCATGCATGCTCAAAACACATGGAAGTATATGCCAATGTACTGATAATTAAGCACAAAATACTTTGACATATTTTGTGACACCACAGGGCATGGCTTTGTAGGCATAATGCAAAGCTGAAGTGTTTCATGGAAAATTGGACCTTTGACCTACCTTAATGGGGTCAATTATTGATCTAACAATGCATCACTGGTACTTATAAAAAATCTCACTGAGATCAATGCACTAGTGCTTTCCACTTCCATCTATTTTCATTACTTTGGAAATGCTAGGGGGTGGGGGTGGGGTGAATCAACCCCCTACCAGTCCATGTTATGAACAATTGTGAATCTAGGCAAGGGTTGACCTAGTTAAACAGAACTGGTACTAAGAATTTAACATGCCCTGTCAGGATAAGACATGGCCTCTGAGGCAGAAGTGATGAATCAGAGAGGTGGGGGTGGGAGTGAGGGCAGATGCCCACTGTGGTCGGGTGGCAGGAAACAATGATGCAGAGGAATGGGTACTGTGGGCAGACATTGTTACATTAACAGCCAGCCATCCCCTATTGTTTGGACTATGAACAGACATATAGTTGATGCTATCTCCTAGCATGCCCTTCTTTCCAGCATGGGGTGCTGCTGCTTTTGCACAAATATTACACATCTATGGTGCATATGTATATTTGTGGCCTCCTAACTTAAGATTCAATTCTATACAAATGAGTTGAGACTTAAGAATAAGCAGAAAACCAGGTCAAAATTATGCAAGACTCTATGCCAAAAGGCTGGCTTCTACCAAGATTCTGCTACTTTCTCCTCAAAGCTGGGGACTTCCAAACAAAATGCAAAAATTCCCTATAACTCAGTGACACTAAAATATAGCTGGGAAGTGAAGGAAGCTCAAAGAGTGCCCAACATCCTTTGCCAATGGTCCATGCTTCAGAGAATAGACTGTTGAGAATAAAACCTCAGATCACACAATGTCTCAGCACTTCCATATGGCTCTTTCAGAGGGTGTGCAAATGTAACAAAACCTTGTCCAATTTAAATATTTACCTGCTGGGCTGTGCCCTGCCGCCTTCTGATCAGGATCGTCAGCCATGGGGCCAGGACTATATCACAATCAACTTGACTTTCGCAGCGCCGAGTTTCCTCACACAACTGAAACAAAGTGTGACCACGTGTCACTGCTCGCTGGTTAGGAAGCGAACTTCCGCCTCAGCAATCGCACACGCCATTGGAAATGAGGACGGGTGCAGAATGCAGACGCGTTTTTAATGAAAAAAACATACACACTTTATATGAGGTCACAAAAAGTGGTAACACACGCACGCACACGCGCCCCCGCCCCACGGTACCAAAATGGTCGCGGACGTACGCCTCAATCGCAGCAGCGCACTCCAGCGCATGGTGCAAGCAAGCCCAAACCAGTGGCCGTTGTCGCAAGATTATTGAAATATATGCAGCTGATTCTTACAACTGAAATGAAAACAAATACTAAAATACCTGAAATAAATAACCATAATCTACTTCATACTTAAAGTACCCCATGAGAAAAGGCAAAAACTAAATAAAAACATAAAGCTTAAATTAGAATCTTATATCTGCTTGGTAAAACAGATACATTGCACCACCACCTTTCACTTAAACTTTTTAAAACTTCTGTGCCTTCTTTCACAGCCAGCTGTCAATGACAATTGAAGTAACTTGCTAGAATTTGGCGTTTAACGATAAGCTCTGCACAAGGTATTTATCACTGGAATATTTTTACCATTCAAGTTGTCATACACAGTACATCAGGGATCCTACTGACCAATGCATCTACACAGTGAGCAGCGATCGAGAAGAGACAACAAAACACCTTGGAAATGAGAAGAAATGCTCGGAACTGGTACAAAAACATGTCACGACGTCAAGTGCAACAGTGCACATAACTTTGCATTCCTGATAATTTTGTTAACACTGAAAACGTGCTATGTGATGAGTTTTTGTCCTTCAAATTAAAGAAAGTGCGGTAATGCTATTTTGTCGTAAACGTTGAGATGGCATTTTCATCATTTCTTTGACAGCACTTTAGTAGCCCTCATTTTCTGGTTACCTTGAGCGGCACTCCCAACGGATTTCCCAAAAGAACTAAAATTTCCCAAATCAATACCTTTATCAAGTTGGTTGAGTTATTTTTATATTAACAAACGAAAATTTTGCCACCGACTGGATAAGTGCCACCAGTAAAGACATTTTCACTAGAGGTGAAAAAACTGTTTACTATAATACTCAATTTTCCACCAAACACATGACCTGAAAAAATTTGCTCACCAAGTTAGCTGAATTTAACAAATAAGTAGAATGAAAACATAGTCGGAAGCAGAGAGCTATTCTAGAATTCAGCCTGTTTGTAAAAACGCCCATATTTCAAACCAAGCTGGCATCAACTTCCGAACGCTAGAAAGGACGCAGGCGGCACAATATATGTTAAAGTTACGTTCTGGGTGCGAGTCGCTAACTCGTTTTGAGATTCGTATGCATACCTACACGCCCAGGGTGGGGCTACTGGGGGAGGGGGCGGGGGCACAAGAATATGTATGTATCACTCTAGACAGTGACGGGACTTTGGGCATGCGATCATCAAAGCATACGATCAATTGGACCTAAAATACTGTTCGGGGTATGGCCCCGGCCCGCAGGCCGGATACCCCGTACCCCTTTCGCTGTACCTCCATACTAGGTTAGTAAAAGGACACCTCGCGCCTGTCGGGGTCCCCGGGACGGTGAACGTTTCTATTAAATTCAGAGGCCACCAGTGCTGAATAGTTGGCTTTGTGTACGCTTGAGCTCTGGGAGCCATTCACGAAACAGGGAGCAGGCCACGGTCCGCGATTGTTATTGGATGCCTCCTGCGTTGGTCGGGGCCTCTGAGACAGGGTGCTCCCATGTATCTGTAGGGTGTCAGAGAACACCTCTGTGCTAGCCAGTGAATATTTGCTTAGCTTGGCGAGCGCCGCTTCGAGGCGCTCGCGTTCCCCTCCTCCTGGCCCAGTCACCCAATGCGAGGAACGCGGCTGTGGGGACCAGGAGAGGGGGCTTACAGCGGGGACCAGAACAGCAGAACTTACAAATCGTCCATAGACACAGAGTGCTTAACAGGGAAGCCTGTGTAAACAAGGAGATCCTAGTCCGTCATGACATATTTTCTGACGAGCAATGAGGCAGAATCATAAATCTTGAGACCCCTTCTGCTTTGTTCGGGGTCCTCTGACATTAAAATGCTCAATAAGAAAAATGATAGTGACCTAGTCTACAACGAGACAGTGGAAGGGCCCTGTCAGTTACGGACCCCAGTAACAAAACGGGAGCCTTTCAAGTCATCCGGAACCTGAAATGGTCCAGAGGAGGGTTTTAGCCGGGGTCGGATTACTATAAATATGCTCACATACGTGCTTGGCTGGCACATTTTTTGTCATAGCTTTCTTCCAACCCTTTTTAATTGGATGAATGCTAGATCAGAAGTCTTTTGCAAAGTAGGGCCCTTAAGTATACTTGCCCAGCTTCGTATACGAAAATTTCAGTTCTGCGAAAGAACTTTGTGGAAGAAATTAACGTACCGTAGTACTTGGCACTGTCCGACTTGTCATTTCACATCCCTGATATTGAATGGGCGCTGCCACCGTCCACAGACTATCCAAGTGAGCAGTCAGATAGCGCGCGCACATAGACACAGCCAAAAAAAGATGTCCGGGTTCCTCCCTTTCCCCCAATCCTATCCATTTGGACTCAATTTTTATTTTGCCACCGAAGATGGCCCCTGACAATTAAAAATGAGGCACGGTGACTTCTCACTGAGCTCCCCGCACCATTTAAATTACTACCCTGGCTGTGCCACTGTGGGTGAGCATAGTGACTTCAGCACCCACGCCACCATAGGTACGTTAGGATCACCGGGAGCTGATGGCCCATCTCTTGAGCTATAAAGAGCGGCAAGCTGTGGTTTTGGGTGCGTTTTAATTCATTTTATTGAAAATTTATACCCTGCTTCCTGCAATTGGACGTTTTGGTCCTCATGTCTCGTCGGGTTTGACTATACCATACTTGAATTGGAACTGTTATTGGCGCATCAGCCTTCCTAGTGATAAACTCTCCGTGTTGACGTGCCGAATCAACTGATCAGGTCTATTTTGGTGCTTGAAGGGATATTCTGGTGGTGGAACTAATTTTGTCCCACCTTGACTATGTGGTGACGCAATATCAGTAGGCGGAGCTGGCGCATCGGTGGCGTGATCGTGGTGAGACCGATTTCATGCGGTGACGGCGCCGGGGCCGGGCAGTCGGCGCTAGGTTGCGGTGGTGGTGGGTGTCGCCGGTGGTGTACAGGTCCATCACCCGCATCTGTTGAATTCAGCGAACAGACGATACCAGCACACTTAAAAACACAGAAGGTAAAGTGCACATTTTCCTGCTTCAATGTGTTTCGATGGGTGTAGGCGTTCGTCGTTTGTATGGCAAAAGGTGATAAGTGTTTTGAAGACGGAGCTTCCGGCCTTGACACGCGATGCTCACAGGTTCCCAGGAGTGCGGAAATTAGAACATTAGGTGGACTGAATGCTCAATTTTTGGAGAACTCAACCTCAGCCCTGGGAACAGAGACTGAAAGGAAATGAGTGAAGCTGGTGCTTGGCCATTCAATGTAGGATTGAGATCTTGTGGCTACCATAAGCTGTTGAACTACCCCACCGCTCACTGGGCGTGTCATTTTGTCTCGGTTGCTTTTCATGACCAGGCAATTTTGTTTCATATGATATGCTGTATGCCAATTCCTTGCCCCTCTGTTTTTCATAGATTGTATTGTCATTGGTACCCATTTGATATTCAGTACCTCACCTTTTTTACAATGTATAGCTCTGGAGTTGAGCAATTTAACCATCATTGTATGTGCAATAATGGAAAATAATGGATATTTGAATCAGTTTGGAACCAAGTAATGGGTCAGTAAGCTAGAGCTGATGCCATAAAATGACTGCTGATATAATTTTTTATGTTTTAATATGCTTTGCTTGTTTCCAGGACCAGTATGTCTGCCAAGGGAATATGTGAGGCCACTGGGAAGGACATCTTGAACAGACACCTGGCTGGTGTAGCTGGTGTACAGCCATGCAGGTTTGCTGCTGTGGGGCCTGACACTGACTGGGATGCCCTGCTGAAACAGCATCCATGGCTGGCCACTGAGGTTTGTAAAACTCAGGTTATCTGCTGTTTTTATAGATCTTTTTATCAAGATGATCCTCCTTTTTGTACAGACAATCACCATATTGATCTTTCTGTTTATTGGATTTGCAATATATATATATATATATATATATATATATATATATATATATATATATATATATATATATATATGTATATAATATATAAATATATATATACATATTTATATATTTATATATGTATGCATGTATGCTTAAATATATAATTTTCTTGTTGGCTGGAGCATACTTTACTTACTTTACTGACTTTCTGTCCCAGCCTACTTTCACTGCATTCCCATTTGCAGAAGCTGGTGGCCAAGCCAGACCAGATGATCAAGCGGCGTGGAAAGCTGGGCCTGATCAAGGTTGGCACAGACTTCGCCGGCGCCAAAGCGTGGATCCAGGAGAAGGCGGCTGCTGACACTCAGGTGGGCGTGCCGACCGGGGCCAGTGCCGGGCCATGGCTGGGTGGATGCTATGGAAAACTCATGACATGTGTAACTGCATTAAATCCGGACATCCATATTTTGTTTGTCATCATGTGGTGCTTTTTTCAATTGCTAGAAATTTGCATTAGCTATCCTCCCAGAAATCAACTATACCTTCCCAGTTTTTCAGAGATATTGCGTCGCACGTAATAGTGAAGAATGATGACACGTTTGCGCAGCAGTGCGCAAAAACCTCAAGTAATGGTGGAAAGGTTATCAACGCATACACACTGTCCACGTGTTGCATCGCCATCATATTCTTAAGCTATCCAGTAATGCTAGTCAACAACCCTTCTGCACTTAATGGTGAATTCTAACATCTGTCGTATTATCGTAGCATGTCTGTCCCGATATGGACACAGATAGACCGGCTGTTCGATGTATCTATGCGTATATCTATGACTATATATATATATATATATATATATATATATATATATATATATATATATATATATATTCGATTCAGCGGGTCAGCGCCTATGAAGCTCGGGTGACGGTCCCGGTTTCGTTGTGGCTTCCAGAGTGGGCAGGGCTTCCCAGACCGTTCTGATTATGTCTGCGGCGTGCCCCTCATCTGGCGGCTTCTTGGATTTGGTGCGTTGCTCATTCATTAGCCCACGTGCAGGGGCAGGTCAACAAACCAATTGCAGTAACTTCTAAGTCCTCGCCAAGTCATTATTCGCGGAGAGTGTTTATACAAATTATGGAATGATCCCCGCACTAACAAGAGATGATCGTGTATCTTCCGCCATTGTTGGCTGCGCGTGACAAGTCAGGACAAGGGGCCTGAGCTGGCCAGATGGCCGCGCGTGACGAGTCAGGACGAGGCGCCTGTGCTGGCGAGATGGCTGCGCGTGACGAGTCAGGACAAGGGGCCTGAGCTCTCCAGACGTCAAGACATCGGCTTCGTCTGGGCCTGAAAGGGATTTCATCGTGGCTCGACTGCTCCCTGCAGCGGCTATTCGACGCTGCGTGTGGTCGGCGACAGCGTTGCGGTGTCGGGCGGTCCTGCGCCGCTGGCTGGGACAGCTGCTGTTTCCGTCCTGAAGTCCGGACTCCGCGCATGGATTCCAGGCACGGCCGGTCCTGACTATCGAGTTCTGGCTACGGAGTCGATGCGACGACTCCCTACCAAATGAAGTGGCTGTTGACTCGACCCTGACGTCGAGTACCGCACCTCGCCACCTGGAACATTTGGCTAACAACGGCGGGGCCCGAGACTTGTCACCGGATTGGCTTCAGAATGACTGGCCTGAAGGGTCACGACGCTCAGTGACCTCAGATGGCGAGCGCGTCGACAAACCCCACAAATGCTCTCGCCGAAACACCCGGGCGAGCGCGCCATCCACCCGTCCTGGGCCGACCCGTCCAGAGCCGAGGTCTGGCGGACGCTGGGTGGGCCGGCGACTGGCACGCGGCGGCGGCGGCGGCGGCGGCGGCGGCGGCCGTGTATTGATCGCCAACCCGCCGGCTGGCCCGTCGATCGCCGCCGCCGCCGCCGCCGCCGCCGCCGCCGCCGCCGTCGGCAGACCGTCCAGCTGGCAGCGGTCCCCACGCGGCGCCGCACATCCTCCGGTCACGCGCCTCGGGCATGTCGCCGGTGTCGAGGCGGCCTTCTGATGAAGTCGGGTCGGGTGGGGTCGACCGCGGGCGGGCTATCCGTGCGCCCAGGCGACTGAACTGGGAGTGTGCGATCCTGCTACCCAGTCCGACAGTTCGTGTCTCCCGGCACGTTAAATGCCAAGAGGGGAAGGGGGGGGGGGGGGTCTCGGATGTTTGTACCACAAGGGTTGGCTCATCAGTCGACATAGGCAAAGATCACCACTTTGTACTTTGCAATGCGGGACATTCCCTCACATACTCATTCCCTCACATACTCGTTCCATCTGTAACACATACCCATTCCCTCTGTAACAGAACGCACAGCGTTGCTCAAAATCGTCGTTTCCCACTTGGGAGGGGGAACGCGCAGGTAAAAGCGAGAGCCCTCTCCGTACAGTGGGCGCGTGGTAATGCGGCATGCCTCGGCGTCGGGCAGCACGGTACCCAGCCTGGGCGTCTCCGGTAGTGGTCTCCTGCTTTGCTGGACGTCTGGCAGCACGGTCCCCAGCCTGGGCGTCTCCGGTAGTGGTCTCCTGCTCTGCTGGACGTCCGGCAGCACGGTACCCAGCCTGGGCGTCTCCGGTAGTGGTCTCCTGCTCTGCTGGACGTCCGGCAGCAGGGTACCCAGCCTGGGCGTCTCCGGTAGTGGTCTCCGTTAGTAGTCTCCTGCTCTGCTGGACGTCCGGCAGCAGGGTACCCAGCCTGGGCGTCTCCGGTAGTGGTCTCCTGCTCTGCTGGACGTCCGGCAGCACGGTACCCAGCCTGGGCGTCTCCGGTAGTGGTCTCCTGCTCTCCTGGACGTCCGACGGCGCGGTACCCGGCCTGGGCGTCTCCGGTAGTGGTCTCCGTTAGTGGTCTCCTGCTCTGCTGGGCGCAGCCCGCTTGCTCCGCGCTAGACCTTAATGGCGTGATAACGATGGCTGGCCCGTCGCCAGACGCCGCGCCGCGTGCTACGTGCCCCGCATAGGCGGCGACGAAGTGTGCTGCCCACGCGGCGCATGAGTTTCGGAGGTAATGGGTGTGTAATGGTAATAGAGATAATGGAGAGTGTATACATTCTGCTTGCGTTCAGTAAGATTGTAATGCAGTCTTCGATGTTCTGCTCTCGCCCAAATCCTCACGTGTGAACTAGGCCGATGGCCGGTTGACATGCCACCAGTAAAATACTATGTCCCGTCTCCCCACCGTTAGCGGTGGGCTGCCATTGAACACGTTCGAATCGTGCTTGGATCTCGTGCAAGCAAACCCGCCAGATGCTAGCAGGACGCTGATGAAAGCCGCCGCCCGTTCACGCTCGCCACGTGGCGGCGTCGCCGTGTGTTGACGGCAAGATACGGAGATCAGAAACCTTTTACTGCCGACCGATACGGCACCAGATTACGGACCGCGCCGCCGCCCGGCCTCCGGAGGAGACGGAGGCCCTGGCGTGAGGCTGCACTCAGCTCATTCGGCTCGCCCGGTCTGCCCGTCGCCGGTCACCTGTCGACGCGGTCAGCAGTTGCTGGCGGGTGCCGACCGCCACCCGACGGCAGAAAAAACGCCGCCGTGGCCGTTGGCGCGTTTTCGCCGGTTTTTGCCGGACAGATCGGGCTGACTGCGCGGTGACCGTGCCCGCGGCGGTTTTTTCGGACGTCACCAGGCCGCCGGCCAGGCGCCGGGGTGGGGCGACGGCAGAAAAACGCCCCGTCGCCGGCCACCCTGGCCGTCTGTTACCGGGCGGCGCAGCAGGGCGGGGGGGGGGGGGGGGCACTGCCTCGCGTGACCACTCCCAGCACCGGCGGAGACCACCGCTGACTGTCACGTGATGCCTTCTCCAGGCGGCTTTGGTTATTTTCGGCGGGCACATGACTCGGAGACAGCGGTCGCAGAGACAGCGCTGTCTCCATGGGCCGCGATTGCGGTCAGCGGCAGCACGCCTCCTTGCCGCGCGCGCAGCTGGCTCCGACTCGTGTCGTTTGCGACGGACTGGCAACTGACCGACTGGCTGGAGGCACAGCCAGTTCGCCAAAGCTGACAAGAGGACGGTACTGACGCTGGACGCGCAGGACGCGCTCCGCCCGGAGCGTGTGGCTGGCCAGGCGGCTGTGTCTGGCGGGACCCAGCAGGTCCGGCAGGTCGCAGGACGCGCTCCGTCCGGCGCGGGTCGCTGGTCAGGCGGCTGTGTCTGGCGGGACTCAGCAGGTCCGGCAGGTCGCAGGACGCCGCACAGACCGCTGGCGCTAGAACTCTGGCGCCTGGCTGCACCACAGTGCCGCGCCGCACCCGTGTAAGCCGCGACGCGCGCTGACGCAGAGCGCTGAGTCGCGGCGCGCCGGGAGTCCATCGGCGCCCTTCCGTGTGCGTGCGGCGCCAGGCGCTGCACGGCCGGCCATCCCGTCCTGTGCGGGCTGTCCGAGAGGCGCGCCGCCGCCCTCCGCCCCGTTACCGGCCCGCTCCCTTTCGCGGACGCTGGGCAGACGAGAGGCCGGGCGGCTCAATTACGCGCGCTTCCCAGAACGGCTTCAGTGGCGGCAGGGCGCCTCCAGGGACGTCGGCGCCACGGCCGCCAGTCAGCGTGGCCACGGCCGGCCGGCTGCAGCGCCGTCAGCTGCCGAGAGGGCGGGGCTCGGCATTGATCAGCCACGGCCGCGCAGAGCCCGCCCCCCGGCACCAGGGTACCCGCCTCCGCCGGCGTCCGTCCGGCGGACCGCGTCTCGACCGGCCGGCAGTGGGTTACGTCAGATGTCCTGCGAGCGGCGGCCGCCACGGGGTCCGGCCGGCTTGGCCGGCACCAGCCCCCCCCCCCCCCCCCCGGCTCGGACCGCCTCGGCCGGCCGGAGCCGCGCGATGCACGTGGCTTCATGATGATCCGGACTGATACGTCTGTGGTGGAGCCTAGTCGCTGAGCCGGGTCCGGGGCACTCTCTCTGTCTCGGTCAGTCAGGGTCATGCCGGCTTGTCAGGGACGCTTCCGGTCAGTCAGGGACATCAGCTGGGTGGGATCCGTGTGGACGCCCCCGGTTAGTCAGCCCCCCCCCCCCCTCTCCCATGGCGCTCAGTGGGCCTGGGAGATCCTCAGCCCATATATGACGTCAGCGCCAGGGCCTCAAGCACCCATGACACTCAGAGGGCCTGGGAGATCCTCAGCCCATATATGACGTCAGGGCCAGGGCCTCAAGCACTCATGGCACTCAGTGGGCCTGGGAGATCCTCAGCCCATATATGACGTCAGCGCCAGGACCTCAAGCACTCATGGCACTCAGTGGGCCTGGGAAATCCTCAGCCCATATATGGCGTCAGGGCCAGGGCCTCAAGCACTCATAGCACTCAGTGGGCCTGGGAGATCCTCAGCCCATATATGACGTCAGCGCCAGGACCTCAAGCACTCATGGCACTCAGTGGGCCTGGGAAATCCTCAGCCCATATATGGCGTCAGGGCCTCAAGCACTCATGGCACTCAGTGGACCTGGGAGATCCTCAGCCCATATGTGAGGTCAGCGTCAGGGCCTCAAGCACTCATGACACTCAGTGGGCCTGGGAGATCCTCAGCCCATATGTGAGGTCAGCGCCAGGGCCTCAAGCACTCATGGCACTCAGTGGGCCTGGGAGATCCCCAGCCCATATGTAAGGTCGGCGCCAGGGCCTCAAGCACTCATGGCACTCAGTGGGCCTGGAAGATCCCCAGCCCATATGTAAGGTCAGCCTGTTGGGACGTCACGCCAGTCAGGGATGCCTTCCTGCAAACAGGAACACTCAGGCATGTAGTCTCATCCAGCCGCTCAGGGACACCCTTAATTGGTAAGAGACTCCCTCCACCAGTCACTATACACCAGAGCGAGTCATAAATGCACTATCGGCTGCCTGCCGTTGTCAGTAGAGCTGTAGGTGGACCGTAGGGGCTGTAGTTTTATTTCCGGCTGCGGTCATTCCAGTCACCTCCCTCCCCCGCCCCAGCTCCTTCTTCGCCGTTCTCCTAACATGGAAAGGAACGGAATGGAGGTAGCGTGAACGGTCGGAATGGAGGTAGCACATGGAGGCATCGGTCCTCCGTACGTACGGACGGTCGGAATGGTGATCGAACATGGAGGCATCGGTCCTCCGTACGAACAGACGGTCGGAGTGGTGGTCGAGCATGGAGGTATCGGTCCTCCGTACGTAAGAACGGTTGGAGTGGTGGTCGAACATGGAGGCATCGGTCCTCCGTACGAACGGACGGTCGGAATGGTGGTCGAACATGGAGGTATCGGCCCTCCGTACGTACGAACGGTCGAAATGGTGGTCGAACATGGAGGTATCGGTCCTCCGCACAAACGAACGGTCGGAATGGTGGTCGAGCATGGAGGTAGCGGTCCTCCATACGTACGAACGGTCGGAATGGTGGTCGAACATGGGGGTTTTGGTCCTCCGTACGAACGGACGGTCGGCGCCGCTCACGCAACGTTCCGGCCGGAGTCGGTGGTGACTGGCGGACCATGTGATGAGCTGCATGTCGGGTGACAGCCATCGAAAGTAGCTGAGCTCATGCTCACAGGCGTAATGCGAGGCGTAAAGAGCACTACGGAAGGGTGGCAGGATCATCCACCCACGGTAATGCCATTGGCGGCAACATCCAGTAGAATTCCGCCAACGATGACTCGTAGCTGCACTGGTTTCCATAGATCCCGGCGCCTCGGTGACCGTCGTCGCCGCAATATTTTCGTGCATGCACTGCATCAGAGGCATCAAACGCCTAACGCGTAGACCGCAGCGGGCGCTGGCAGTCGTCTGTGGTCGTTCAGGTCACAGCCAGCGCATCGGAGTGTGCAAGCACAGTCCGCGCCTCTATGCATGTTGTTTGTGGCCGGACGGCGGTGCTGCCTGCGTGCCATAGACCCGGTGGCACGCGGGGGGTTATGCCGGGCAGCCGGACATGGCACGCGGTCCGCGTTCTCGGCCGCCGGCCGTCCCTCCGCGGCTGCTCCGGTTGGACCGCGTGCTACTTTTCGGTAGGTGCCGTTGGCTGCGACTGAGATGGTGTGTACTGACGAAGTGGAGGGGCTGAGCGGCCGAGCTCTGCTGCAGGCTCGGAGTGGACGGGTTAGGCCGGCCCGGCTTTGAATGCGACTGAGATGGTATGTACTGACGAAATGAAGGGGCTGAGTGGCTGGGCTCTGCTGCCGGCTCGGAGTGGCCAGGTTCGGCCGGGCCCGGCTGCGTCAGCTGTTTGTAGCCGCGCAGTCGGCCAGTGTGCCAGTAAGCCATGGCCACCGCCCATGAGCACCGCGCCCTCCGCCCGGCGGGACGGCCGGCTGTCAGCCGACGGAGCTCGCCGACACGGGAGGGGGCGGCTCGGATGGGTCAGCCCGGCCACACCGTCCCGGTGCCCGGTCGCACCGATCTGGCGCCGACCTAGCCGGCCCGGCGCGGTCCGCCGCGGCCCGGCTCGGCGGCACCGTTAGCCGGCCGGTCGTTCGGCTCCGCCGGCGGGCGACTGCTGGCTGGCCGGCCCGCACGCGCCGCGCCCGTGCGGTTCCACCGGCCCGGGCCGGGTAATGGGCACGCGCAGTCGCTATGTACGGACAGAAGTGCCGGCCGCCGGCCGACGGCCAGCGGCCGACGCACCCTGCGTAGTCAGACTCGAGACATGAACTGGGCTCGGGTCGGCAGCGACCGTGGGACGGAGAGGGCGGGGCAGGGTGGCGGCAAACTCCTCGATGGGTGTACGGCGGGGTACGATGCCGACGCGAAACGGACCGTGTCGCCGGCTGACACCAGTGACATGGGCTCAGATAGGCTCAAAAGCAGGCTCGGGGCACTGGTGGAGAGCGATTCGGTAGAAGCATCGGGCGCTTCAGCCGGCGCGAGAAATCTCTCAAAGCTGTCGATGAAGCCATGGGTTGCACATGGGATGGCTTGTTGGCGCCGCCCTGCCGCGCCCGACTCTCGGCCGAGTCGCCACGGGGCCGGCTCTGCCGGACGGCGGCGTGGGACGCTTTCCCGGCCTAGGTTTCCCTGTATTGGGCAACGCGGCCGGCTGGGCCAGCGCGGCCGTGGTGTCGCTGCCGCCACAGATGGCGGTCACTGACGCCGGTCCGGTCCAGCCCGGTCCTGTACAGCCGTCGTTCACCGCGGTGTGCGAGGTACAGCCTATGCAGTACACCGTCGGGCTGCTCCTCGGCCGGCGCTATGTTTGGTAGTCCCGAAATTTGCGTGAGCAATTAATTAATGCTAATTGAACTAGGTAATAAGCGACTTACTCTTAATTTAAAGCCATGGGGATCATTCATTGTTTGTATATTGGGAATGGCAGCCTTCCAGACATAAATGCTTTTTTGTTTTAAACCACGAAGTTTTTAGACGTCTGAGCAGAAGCGCTCGCTGAGCTGATGCTTGCACCATCTCTTAGCATAGCTCTGACCGCGCGAGCTCTGAGCCTCAGGTGAATGACCTCCTCTGGGGCGACTCTGGGGGAGCGTGGGCGCCCCTCTCCAAAGCCGGGGAAGAGCTTCAACCTATCCATTAGGCTGTCCTGTAGCTGTGGTGTATCCTTGACCCTGCTCTGTGATTATTCACCTGCACTAATTTGGCATATCATTGGCATAAGCACACTGATGATACATTTGTGATATAAATCTGGTGGCACGCACATGGTGCAGCAGCTGGGACAATCGCCGGCCCTCGCCGTCCACCCTCAGCGGCACTCTCCGCTAGGACAGTGGTGTTTCGGCAGTACGCCATCAGTGCGCAGGTCCAAGGGAAGGTCCATGTAAACGATCGTTAGCAATGGCCTGAACGCTAAGTCATGGGCTTGCCTCCGTAGAAATGTCTAACTGTGGTCTGGACTGTTTGTAGCGATCTTATCAGTTTGCGGTGTCATGCAAGCGTAAGCGATGGGAAATGTTTGTTGTTCTGCGAGGCTTTACATTCTTCCCGTTCGCATGGAGTACTTGAATGGCTGCTCTCGCCCTTTATTGTAACTCTCCAACAAGCACCCATCGGTGAGCGGTTATGGCAATGGACGTTACCTGACGAGCCCCCCCCCCCGCCCCCCCCCCCCCAATCACCGAACACTTGTTCGCCCTAAGCACCGAAAGTGGGTACACATGGCGGTGGCACCTGCTAAATGACCTCTCACGGGCGCTTCGCCGGCCGCCGCAGCTGTTGGCTAACTGCTCCACGTGAGCAGCGTCGGTGGGATCGGTGGTGGTCAGGCGCGGTGTCGGGTCAGAGCAGCGCTATGACATCCACCGACATTACAGCGGCCTATTCTGAGCAACGTCGGCAGCGAATGAACAGCGAACCTACCGCGAATGAACAGCGAACCCACCGCGAATGAACAGCGGCGCGGCTCACCGTTCGCGTGCGGCGTGCGACCCTAACCCTGGACAATGATATCGACCGCAGCCGCTCAGTGGGAGCGAAAGTCCCGCCCTGAGGTCATCGGGTGCAGGGGTTCAGAATGGAAGCCGACACCCGCCGGCCTTTTGTATCGATAGTGACGTTGCTAGTCTACGTGTGGTCTGCCACTGCAGGGACCCGTTTGTTTGTGACTGTCAGTGAGCCCACAGAGCCGTCCATTCTCCCGACTCGAGCTGTCGGCCGGCGGGAGCGCCGGGACGGGCAGCGGTCTTAATGGCGCCCGGCCTGACGGGCCGGTCGCCGCTCCGCCCGACCGGTCGCCTGTCCATGCCATGCTCTGTGTAACCGGTTTGGCCGGGGCGACCGTTCAAACCGGCCGGAACTTTCGTCCACCGCCCTCTGACCGGCGGCCCGTCCCTCTCTCTCTTGCTCGTCAGATTGGAAAGGCGGTGGGCAAACTGCGCACTTTCATCATCGAGCCGTTCGTCGAGCACAGCCAGGTACGTGCTCCCCCCCCCCCCCCCAACGAGGCCCTCAGCTCACACGGGGTGTGGCTGGTCGGTAGTCGTGGCTCGTCGAATATAAACCCACCTTCGTGCGCGCACAAAGTGCCTTGGGGTCTCTGCAATGCTTTGCCATAACAAAATCACCTGCGCACGGTGTTACTTAATTTCTTGCTTACATCGCACGGAACCAGCGCAGTTTTGCGATCACCCAAGACAACTCGAGTGCATTTCAGCCGTACGTAGAATAGTGGTCAAGGTCTGTCGCGTTAACGGCCCACCTAGCGCCGCCCTGCCGCGGTGACTGCGGCCGCTGTGTACGGCTGCGCTGACGCCCGCCGCCAATTTCCAGGATGAAGAGATGTACGTCTGCATCTACTCGCACCGGCACGCCGACTCCTATCCTGTTCTATCACCAGGTGAGGCCGGGGCCGGCGGCCGCCGCCGACCCGTCTGCCGTTGCGCCGTCCCCAGCGAGGGGCTGGGCTTTCGCGGCGAATCACGTGCCCTGTGTCGGAGTTCACGACAGGATTGAGCTCATGCGGCGGGAGCATGTCCCAGCTGTGAGCTTGCACAGCTCGGGCTGACTGAAGGAGTGACTTTCATAGCTGATCACCGGAGATAGCCGTATGTTAGATCTTAGCCACACCCCCCCCCCCCCCCCGCCCTGACGTTTCCCCCCCGGCGTTATCACCGTGACATCTGACCGTCTTCCGTGGGAGTGAAGGGGCGTCACGATCCTCCATTCGGACTGGCAGGCTGAGGGTTTCGAACTGACGTATTGCAGCGTGTGAGCAGGCTTGGGGCGTGATGCGAGTGGACGGGCGGTGTGGCGTGGATAGCTTCCTCTCTTTGGACACTGACCACCGTTGTGGCGTGGAAGGCGCTGCCACCGCTGTGGCTGTGGGACGGCACTGACACCGTGTGGCGTGGGAGGCACTGACACCGCGTGGCGTGGGAGGCACTGACACCGTTTGGCGTGGGAGGCACTGAGACCGTGTGGCGTGGGAAACACTGAATAGATGACGTGGGGAGACGTGCTCGCTGACCTTGTGAGCTGACCTGTGAGCAGACCTGTGACCTGTGAACTGACTGTGTTGACCTGTGCACCGCAGGGGGGCGTCGAGATCGGCGATGTCGACGCCAAGGCGCTCAAACTGGACGTGCCGATCGACGGGTTCCCCTCGATGGAGGACATCAACTCTAAGCTGCTCACGCACGTGCCCGCCAACAAGAAGGCGTAAGTTTCTCTGCATTCTGCGTACGTTCGTCTTCGGGCGGCATTGGGAGGCAGCGTATCGTCCTCCGCCTGCTATTGTTTTGCGATCGCGTGCGGACCTTCCTCGACCGCACAGTTGATGAGATGCGTGGGCCGCCCCAGCCGCCCAGTGCATCCTGGGCACCTGTGATTTGCAGTCTTTTCCTGGAACTTGTCAAGCCCGTTCAACTCCTGCGCAGCCGCGTCTGTGACCGCGTACCGTCTGTCGCCGCAGGATGCTGGCGAAGTTCGTGGACGCGCTGTACCGGCAATACGTGGAGCTGTACTTCACCTACCTCGAGATCAATCCGCTGGTCGTCAAGCAGGACAGCATCTTCGTGCTTGACCTGGCCGCGAAGCTGGACGCCACGGCGGAGTACATCTGCCGCTCCAAGTGGGGTGTGTATTGCCGAGGAGTTCTCGTCGTCATGGCGGCGCTGGGCATGGCGTGGTTGAAGTTAAGTTGCCGTGCCTCTGAACCTCACCCCTCCGCACCTGATCTGACCTGATCAGTGTCGGCCGTCGCCAGGTGACGTGGAGCACCCGACGCCGTCTGGATGTGATCTGACCTGACCTAACCTTACCTGATCAGTGTCGGCCGTCGCCAGGTGACGTGGAGTACCCGACGCCGTTCGGCCGCGAGCAGTATCCGGCCGAGGCGTACATCGCCGACCTGGACAGCAAGTCGGGCTCGTCGCTCAAGGTCGGTGTTCGGGCGACCATAGCTCCGGTCTATACAGCCCGCCATCCAGCTCCGAACAGCCAGCCGTCCACTGTCACCCGGACCAGACCAGTACCCCTGACGGTCCTCCGTGCCTCTGACTGTACCCCTCAGTCTGACCGTCCCCCATACCCTGTGACTGTGTCAGTAACCCTGACCCCGTCCTGCGCTGCTGACGGCCGCCCCGCTGATAGCCAACCCGCTGACGGCTGTCCCGCTGACCTTCACGCCGCTGACGGCCGCCCCGCTGACGGCTGCCCCGCTGACGGCCGCCCCGCTGACGGCTGCCCCGCTGACGGCCGCCCCGCTGACGGCTGCCCCGCTGACGGCCGCCCCGCTGACGGCTGCCCCGCTGACGGCCGCCTCGCTGACGGCTGTCCCGCTGACCTTCACGCCGCTGACGGCCGCCCGGCTTGCATTTTCAGCTCACGATCCTGAACAAATCGGGGCGGATCTGGACGATGGTGGCTGGTGGCGGCGCCTCCGTCATCTACGCCGACACGATCTGCGAGCTGGGCGGCGCCACTGAGCTGGCCAACTACGGTCAGTGGACGGTGGCATCGGCCCGCCGGCGCTGGCGCCGACCCCGACCCCGACCCACCCGACCCCGACCCCGACCCCCCCCGAACCGACCTCACCCGAACTCCCCCGACCCCCACCCCGACCCCGACCCCGACCCGACCCGACCCCGACCCCGACCCCCCCGACCACCCGAACTCGAACTCGAACTCGAACTCGACCCCGACCCGACCCCGACCCGACCCCGACCCCCGACCCGACCCCGACCCCGACCCCGACCCCGACCCCGACTCGAACTCGAACCCGAACCCGAACCGAACCCGAACCCGAACCCGTACGCAGCCCTGAGCCCGCACCCGCACCCGACCCGACCCCGACCCCGACCCCGACCCCGACCCCGACCCCGACCCCGACCCCGACCCCGGACCCCGACCCTGAACTCAAACTCGAACTCGACCCCGAACCCGAACCCGAACCCGTACGCAGCCCTGAGCCCGCACCCGCACCCGACCCCGACCCCACCCCGACCCCGACCCCGACCCGACCCCGACCCCGCCACGGCGCCGCCCACTCTGTCGTCCGCGGAGTGCAGGCAGGCTGTGGCAGTGACTGGGGCCGTGTCGACGTCTGCGCCGGCGGTGTGGGCCGCTGGCAGGCACTGGATTGGCTTTAGCTGTGCCGTTGGCTTCAGAGCGCTGATCACCTGTTATCGCCATAGCGGGACCAGTGTATCTCATTCCGACTGTCCGTTGTCCTGCGTTATGGGCTGGCTTTAGCGGTCGGCGCGAGGGACCGTGAAGCTTTGTTCGCACTAAGGTCCGTGAGTGGTCCTGATAGTCATCGTTTGTGCGTGCTATCCGTGCTTTATCACGGGCACCTGACAGCTGACGCCGCGTGACGTGCCGGTGGCGATCTCAGTACCGTGGCAGTGTGTGCCGTGCCTGTGTACGGTGGCGTGCGTGTGTACGCTGACACCGGCGGTGCGGCAGGCGAATACTCCGGAGCGCCGACCGAGGGTCAGACGTATGACTACGCCAGGACCATCCTCGGCCTGATGACCGACGAGCCGCACCCGGACGGCAAGGTACGTCACCTGACGGGGCTCCGGTCCAGCCCGGCCTGCTGACCGCACGGCTGACCTCGGGACGCTCAGCTGGGGGAGGGGGGGCCACGGCTGACCTCGGGGCTCTAGCTGGGGGAGGGGGCCACGCTGACCTCGGGACGCTCAGCTGGCGGGGCGGGCCACACGGCTGACCTCGGGACGCTCAGCTGGGGGAGGGGGGGCCACGGCTGACCTCGGGACGCTCAGCTGGCGGGGCGGGCCACGGCTGACCTCGGGACGCTCAGCTGGCGGGGCGGGCCACGGCTGACCTCGGGACGCTCAGCTGGCGGGGCGGGCCACGGCTGACCTCGGGACGTTCAGCTGGCGGTGCGGGCCACGGCTGACCTCGGGACGCTCAGCTGGCGGGGCGGGCCACGGCTGACCTCGGGACGCTCAGCTGGCGGGGCGGGCCACGGCTAACCTCGGGACGCTCAGCTGGCGGGCCACGGCTGACCTCGGGACGCTCAGCTGGCGAGGCGGGCCACGGCTGACCTCGGGACGCTCAGCTGGCGGTGCGGGCCACGGCTGACCTCGGGACGCTCAGCTGGCGGGCCACGGCTGACCTCGGGACGCTCAGCTGGCGGGGCGGGCCACGGCTGACTTCGGGACACTCAGCTGGCGGGGCGCGGCTCGGGAGGGTTGACGGGTGTGGGGCCGCTGGAGACACTTATCTGCTGGTTCTGGCTCGGATATTGACAGCTTCGGTTATTGTCTGGGCCAGTTATTTATCCCGGGGCCTGTTGCGGGCGCAGCACTCACTATCGACAGTATCATATATTGGCCGCTGATGGCAGGCCTCGGCTGTGATGAGCTGGGATGGTGGTGGTGGTGGTGGAGGGGGGGGGGGGGGGGGGTAAGCTGGCAACGTCGCTGTCGTTAGCGGTGCCCAAAACTCCTAAGTTGGCAACGTCGATGTCGTCAGCGGCGCCCAAAGCTCCTAAGCTGGCGACGTCGCTGTCGCCAGCTGCTCCCAAAACTCCTAAGCTGGCGACGTCGCTGTCGCCAGCTGCTCCCAAAACTCCTAAGCTGGCGACGTTCATTCTGATTAGATCATTACACCCATATACACCCAGTATGACTCCTCGTGCATAGCCGTCCGAAGTTGTAGAAGCAAATCGTGAAAAACGAAGACATGATATTTGATTGCTCATTCGTATGCGAAGGTCGTAGTTAAGTTCTGAAGCTAGTGCCATTGTGAACCATGTGCCCGCTATTTGAAAAGTAACACATCTCTGTGCGTCCGCGTATGGAGTGTTACGCATCTTTGTGCGTCCGCGGGTGGAGTGTTACGCATCTCTGTGTGTCCGCGGGTGGAGCGTTACGCATCTGTGTCCGCGGGTGGGGCATAACAGTGATCTTCTGTGTGTCGTATTTGAGGAAATTCTAACTGTTGATCCTGCGGCGGACTGTCCATCCCTGTCGATACACACGCAATATATTTATGGGTTTGAACCATATGGCTGTCTAGGGTTGGCCTGAAACAGTCACGGTTTTGTTTTTTGAAATAAACCTTTAAAAAATGTCCCGAACTGACCCACTTGTTTTGTTTAGAAGAGCTCAAAATATGGTGCCTCACTATGGTCTGTGACACATTGAATGAATTACACGCTGAGGTTTAGCATTATCCATTATGCCGCTACAACCGAGAGAACCAGCTGAAACAACGGCGCATTTCTGATAAACCGTCTGTTTTGCAGATCCTGATCATCGGCGGTGGAATCGCCAACTTCACAAACGTGGCGGCCACTTTTAAAGGCATCGTCAAGGCGCTGCTGGAGTTCCAGACCAAGCTGGTGGAGCACAAGGCACAGATCTTCGTCCGACGCGCTGGCCCCAACTACCAGGAGGGCCTCCGGTGAGCGCGCCAGCCCGGGGCTCCAGAGCGGCGGAACTCTACTGGGAAAACTGAGCCGGGGCCGTGTGTAGTGACTGCAGCCGTGAGCGAGTGGTGTTGATTCATTTTCTAGGCAACCTGTTTGTGTCAGGGTCAACAAGAAATAACGTTCTGAGTGCGCACCGTGCGGTCCGATTACGCACGGAGCTGAATGATTGGGCCATTACCTCCCAGCGTCCAATCACCTTGACAGCGCGAGGAAGCTGGTCAGTCACGGGTAATCTCTGGCTTGCGGTAGATCCTTGCATCATGCCTGTGAGCTTTAGCTGAGCAGGGCAGCGGACATGCGCTGGAAATGGTCCACGTGAGGTCGGGCAGCTGATAGATTCTGTGTCAATCGCAGTCGATTTGGAGCACGATCTTGATAATGCGGATGGGGCCTGACTCCCAGACCGCCACTAGCCGTATCTGTCCTGATCAAACTACCGGTCTAGGCTGCTTCCATTGGAATGTTGATTCCCAATGCACTAGTCCAACGTCAGTTACAAGCCTGCTCACTATTGGCGCTGCATGGTTAAGTATTCGCGTCGCCTTGAAGCACAATGCGTCGTCGTCGATGTCGTGACATTCGTTTGGTGCGGCCATCACCTGAGCAGCTGGTCGCCGAGCCATCCGGCCAAAATTAATACCCAGATTTCGATTTGCACCGCAAAGAGCCGCTGAACAACAGTACACGGCCAGCTGCTTCTGCTCATCATGAGCTGGGCAGGCGTGGTCCCGCGCTACTGCTCATCATGAGCTGGGCAGGCGTGGTCCCGCGATACTGCTCATCATGAGCTGGGCAGGCGTCGTCCCGTGCTACTGCTCATCATGAGCTGGGCAGGCGTAGTCCCGCGCTACGGCGTAGTCCCGTGCTACTGCTCATCATGAGCTGATCGGCGTGGCGATGTGATATTTCCCCGACTCTCAGCCATGCTGTGATGGGGAGGTGTTGTGAGCAGCTGTCTGCTCCGCTGGCCCCTCCGCGTATTGGCCCTCGCTAGGTCGTATTGGTTGGGTTCTGTGCGTAGCGTGCGTATTTAGTAACGTTGTGTGGTGTTATGTGCGTGTATGTGGGAGCAGGCCGCGCTGGGCCGTTTTGCGTCCCTTTTATCACCATTGATTGTTTATAATTGTGCTCTGGAAGTTTGTTCGAATTGGAGCCGGTCACCCAAGATATCCGCCCGCGCTGTGCACCTGGCTGCCGTCCCGCGGAGTCATGCCTGCCGTTGGCCCGGCCGTCCTCACCACCGGCCCTGGCCACGCCCCCCGGCGTCTCCAGTCTCCCGCGCCGCTGGCGTCACGTGCCGTGTCTGCGCCACAGGATCATGCGCGAGACGGGCCGCTCACTGGGCGTGCCGGTGCACGTGTTCGGCAACGAGACACACATGACGGCCATCGTGGCCATGGCGCTGGGCAAGCGGCCGATCCTGAGCGAGCCGGAGGCGGCGCAGCACACGGCCAACTTCCTGCTGCCGGGCGGACAGCAGCAGGACGTGGTCAGTCGGCCGCCGGCGCCGCTGCTGAGCCGCTGAGAGCATTGATATGGACTGGAAGGATGGTGCGAGTGTTCGACCGATCCGCCGTTTGGGATGCAAACTGGTCTGAGGGGCGGACTTGTACAAAGTCCTCAGTTATTATCAGCATCACGTAGACGTCCCTTAAGCTGTCGCTGCCATCACGCTAATGCTGGATAATGCGTGTGCAGCACCAAAATAACTCCGCAATACTTATGCCATATTTAAAGCCATTGCCATCAGCGCCGCAGCTGCTGCGGCGTCGCGACGTCTGTCAGCACGCCACGCCACCAGGTTTGAATAGTACCGATCGCCGTTAATCTGAGCAGCCATAAGACACGCCGAGCCCTCGCGTCGCCGTCCCGCCGCTCCTGTCAGCCGCGGCCCTGACCCGCCCGCTTCCTGTTGGCAGCAAAGCCCGCCGCCTCCACGGAAGGTGACCGCTCCGGCCGTGAACAGCACAGACGGCGGCAAGAAGGATGTGCTCTTCCACCGCGAGACCAAGGCCATCGTGTGGGGCATGCAGACGCGCGCTGTCCAGGTCAGGCCAATGCCGGGGTGAGGTCAACAGCAGGTCGGAGCCAGGCCAGATGGGGGCGTCGTCACATGCGCTAGGTCAGGTCATTGTCATAGAGACGAGGTTTTGCGGTGTATGTGGAGTCGCTGTCAAACAGGTAAATACTGAGATGTGCCAGGTCAGAATCTGCTTTGTGCCGGCATGGGTCGGTGGGCTTCCTCGTGCTATGCGTGCGGAGGCGACTTCTAATGACCAGGCATGTGTATCAAGCCCCGCACACGCTAGCAGGATAGGTTCCCGACTTAGTAGTGGTTGTACCGTGGGAGTGATTCTGTCCTCAGGTATCTTTCGTTCGCTGCGATCAATGTTTGTTCGTGATTGATTCCCCGCCCCCACAGCACTCAGACCAGGCCGCCCCACGGCCGTCCCGTGTCCACAATCTTGTCTTAACTGAGCCACCCGGCCTGTCCGCAGGGCATGATGGACTTTGACTTTGTCTGCTCGAGGAAGGAGCCCTCCGTGCAGTGTATGATCTACCCGTTCACCGGCGACCACAAGCAGAAGTTCTACTGGGGCCACAAGGAGATCCTCATCCCAGGTACGGGCCAGCACTCGGCGGCCGCTGAGCGAGCTGACCGGGCGCGCGTGGGCCGCGGCGAGTGGTGCCGTGCTGGAGGAATGTCCTCTAGGCGTGACTGAATTCTCGTCCTGCTGTGGTGGAGGAGACGCCGGCTGGTTTCCGCCCGCCTCACACCGCCGCTCGCTGCGACCCAGGTCAGGGAATCGCCCAGTCATGAACGGCCGGTGTCGTGCTTGGTCCACGTTAACGCGCCCGCTGCCGCCGTCCGGCAGTCGGGTGATATCTCCCCTCCCGCGCCGCGCCTGGATGTTGCGCACTCCCACACATCGTGTCGGACGGGGCCGGCGCGTCCCTCGCGGTCCGCTGGTACCTCAGTGGCGTGCGCCAAATGTGTAACGTCTGACGCCGCCTCGTCCGATCGCCGACAGTGTACAAGAGCATGGCGGACGCGATGCGGAAGCACCCGCAGGCGGACGTAGTGGTTAACTTCGCCTCGCTCCGGTCCGCCTACGAGTCGGTCGTCGAGACCATGCAGTACCCGCAGGTGGGTGGGGACGGAGGGCCGGCTCCGGCGAGGACCTTGGCTGTGTGACGTCACGTGATCAGAAATTAGTCCGCCATGTGCTGCAATGTCGTGCTGTTCAGTACGTGCGCGCGCGTGTGTGAATGTTATTATTTATTTCGCACGAGAATCGATGACGTGGCCTCCGATTTATACAGCGAATGTTGCCAATGTGGCCACACTGGCGTCATGCCTACGATGCGAGCCATTGGTTGGCGTTGGATGAGCTATGGCCGTCGCCTGAGTGTGAGTCAGCGCGTGGCTGCCGTCAGGTCCGGACAATTGCCATCATCGCCGAAGGCATCCCGGAGAATCTGACGCGCAAGCTGATCAAGATGGCCGACCAGAAGGGCGTCACCGTCATCGGACCGGCCACCGTCGGTACGCCGGCGGCCGACGCTCGGGGGGGGGGGGGGGGGGACGTCACCACACACGCAGCGCCCTGTTCAGCGGCGGGCTGGGGTGCTCCGGTGCCACCGTTCCCCGCTCGCGCCCCGTCTGGCCCTGGCCTCTCCTCTGATGACGGTGTGACCCAGAGGAGCGGTCATTATCAAAGGGACAACAGTCACGGCGGCCATCCACGGGATCGTCGTCCCGCTCATGTTAAGGTTCTCTCCTCTGTTGGAGGCCCATTCTGCTATTCACTCTCCGTGCTTTTGTCGCAGCCTGTAGGCCTGGTGGCATGGGATACTATGACTGTGTTAGTGCAGGTTTGTGCGTTCCATTTCCTGCTACATGGAACAAAATGGCTACGATTCTTGCTCTACTCTGGTACTGATGTCGTCGAATCTATTTCCGCAGGCGGTATCAAGCCGGGCTGCTTCAAGATCGGCAACACGGGCGGCATGATGGACAACCTATTGCTCTCCAAGCTGTACCGGCCCGGCAGGTCAGTGGCGCCCCCCCCCCCCCCCCTCCCTCTCCGCTCTCCGCTCCCCGAAGACGCTGTTGTGTCGGCATGACGTGTTGTCTTCGGTATCACCACAGCGGCTCGTCATCTGCTGTTCTCACCTGTGGCGTGCGGCCGCTGTGTTGTAGCTGTCTTGTTTTAGGCCCCTGGAGCAGTCACCAGTGCCGAAACAGTGGCGCTGCAGTATGCCATGTTCGCCGCCGCGATTGGGTTCAAAAGACTACGAACGGTATTCTCCCTGTCAAACCGTACCAGGACGAGGACAGTGAACCCTTGCAGCCCCACTGCTCGCTCCAAACACAGCTGTCTGACGGACGTTACCCGCTCCGCCGCAGCGTGGCGTACGTGTCGCGATCGGGCGGCATGTCCAACGAGCTGAACAACATCATCTCGCGCTGGACCAACGGCGTGTACGAGGGAGTGGCCATCGGCGGTGACCGCTACCCGGGCACCACATTCATGGACCACATCATGCGTTACCAGCGCGACCCCAGCGTGAGCAGAGCGGGCGGGGAGGGGCCTGATGGCCGGGTGGATAGCGTGTCAGAATCCCACGTGGTGGCCCCGGGATCGAGCCGCGGTGGCACATGGGCCCTGAGCGCTTACATGGTCAATCCTGTCGTAAGCGCGGGTTCGAGTCCGCGGTGACACCATGGGCCCTGAGCGCTTACATGGCCAATGCTGTCGTAAGCGCGGGTTCGAGTCGCGGTGACACCATGGGCCCTGAGCGCTTACATGGCCAACGCTGTCGTAAGCGCGGGTTCGAGTCGCGGTGACACCATGGGCCCTGAGCGCTTACATGGCCAATGCTGCCGTAAGCGCGGGTTCGAGCCGCGGTGACACCATGGGCCCTGAGCGCTTACACGGTCAATGCTGCCGTAAGCGCTCCGTATAAGAGCATGACGACGTGCGTCGCGCTCGTTTTAACGGAAAAAGGGACGGTGCCGGTGCCCCCCCGGTGGCCGGCGCCACGTGCTGTGTCGGCGGACGGTGGCGCCGTCGCTCGCCGCCTCGGGTGACTGTGTTGCCCCTGCCGTGTGCTCTGGGTGGGCCGTCGCTGTCGGCTGTCTGCTGACGATGCCGCCACCGCCGCCGCTGCCGCAGGTGAAGATGATCGTGCTGCTGGGCGAGGTGGGCGGCGTGGAGGAATACGACGTGTGCCAGGCCATCAAAGAAGGCACGCTCACCAAGCCACTGGTGGCCTGGTGTATCGGCACTTGCGCCAGTGAGTCTGCCCCTCCCCCCGCTTCTCGTCCACTGCACTCTTAAAAGCTGGCTGGCTGCTGTGCTTGAGGAGTATCGTTTGAAGGCAGTAAATTCGTATCGAACGTCACAGCATCTAAACGTGATGCATAACAGGGCAACTTTGGGTGGAAGTCTGATGAGGTTTTCTACAGTAGTGAGTCGGTCAAACCACGGGCAGGTCCGCCCCCGCGCCAAACTCAGCTGGTTCCACGTCCGGCCACTTCCCCGTCCCGTGCGTGTGATGTGCGGGCGTTACACGTGTTATATCGCCTCAACGTCTCGGGGGCGCTTCCGTGGCACGGGGTTGTATACAGTGCTGGTCCCTCTGCATTGTAGACGACGCCTCCCGTACTGTTACGTGTGTCTGTTCGCACTCGCCGTCGTAAGAAGCCCATTCATAGTTGCTATCGCACAAGTATTCCCCGCCTGTCGTATACTGCGAGCCCAAATCTCGCCTGCGGGCAGCTCAGCGCGCCCCAGCTTTCGTCGAGCGAGCGCGAGGCCCCGCAGGGGACACTCCCCGTCCGGGACGCTCAGCCGGCGGCCGTCGCGTGCTCGCGCCGGGCCGCGCGGTGTCCGGCGTCCGGCGCCACCCCGCCGCCCCGCCGTCCTGACGCCGGCGCCCTTCCAGCCATGTTCACGTCGGAGGTGCAGTTCGGCCACGCCGGCGCCTGCGCCAACGGCGAGCTCGAGACGGCCGTGGCCAAGAACCGGGCGCTGGCCGAGACGGGCGCCCACGTGCCGACCACGTTCGACCAGCTGGGGGAGACCATCGGTGAGTGAGGGCCCGGGACGGCCCGACGGCCGCCCGACCGGCGGATCTTCCGAGCGGCGCCCTGTTCACGTCAGCAGTCCGCCACCTCACTGCCTTGCCGCACGACCACGATCCAGTGCTAGCCTTGTGGGTTCAGCGAGTTGCTGACTGCTTACTTCCCGACCGCCGGTCCCATCGCTTGTCCAACTTGGTCTCCGCCTCTAAGCGTGCCTCCCGCCGCTAGACCACAGCTCTGCGTAACCTGCACGGCCTTACCGCCACCATCCCGTCGCAGCGCACCGCGGCCAAGGCAGCCGCGCGTGTGTCACTTCGCCACGTCCGGGGGCCCAAGTAACGAACAAAATGCACGCCACGTGTGCCCCGTCCCGCGTCGGCCGTCGGCGGCCGTGTGACCCCCTCTGCCCGGCAGGCTCTGTGTACCAGGACCTGGTGTCGAAGGGCGTGATTGTGCCGGAGCCGGAGGTGCCGCCGCCTACGGTACCCATGGACTACAACTGGGCTCGGGTGCGTGCCACGCCGCGGCCGCCATCGCGTAGCGGGCAGGGGTCGCTGGCATGCGACCGTCGACTGGCCAGCGCGCACCGCTCTCGCCTGGCAGGGGCAGAGGGTTGAGTCTGGACAGCCTCACAACACTCAGGCGAGGGGGTTCGTAGCTCTGTAGCCAGCGCGATGCGGAAGACAGATATAGGTACAGAAAGGTGCTGTTTGGGCCAGTGACAAAGCTACGGGCGTCTTATGTGGCATTGAATTGTTTCAGAGGCCACGTTGTCGTGGGTCGTTATATCTGTCGCCCAATCCTGGCGGATTACTCGAAATACATTACGCTACGTCTGTGACAACTGTATGGCTATCCTGCCTTCCAGTCCACTTTGGTCCGACCTTGTCATGCATATTTTTTGAGAGGATGAACACTAACCGCCTTCTTGCACTAGCTTTATAACTTAAGGCGCTGGCCAGCCGCCATAAACAGAACTTATCCCAACAAAGTATTGGATGGAAAGGTGTTTTGTGCGTCTGTTCTTTCCACGCAACTCCACAGACGTGGCGTTGGTTTCATGAAATATTTGGGGATGTAGTTGCAGCCATCTGATACGACTTAATTTCGACTGTGCTCACCACTCTGTCCCCCCCCCCCCGCCCCCACCCCCTATCGTGTTTCTTCCTAGCCCTAGACCGTCCCTTTCTTGTCCGTTCGTCGCCAGTCTGTCCCTCTTGCCCCCCCCCCCCCCCCCCTCCCGCTTCCGCTTCATCCCGAGTAACTAACGGGTCTCTGCGCTGCGACAGGAGCTGGGGCTGATCCGCAAGCCGGCCTCCTTCATGTCAAGCATCTGCGACGAGCGCGGCCAGGAGCTGATATACGCCGGCATCCCCATCACGGACGTGCTGCGCCAGGACATGGGCCTGGGCGGCGTGGTGGGCCTGCTCTGGTTCCAGCGCCGCCTGCCGCCCTACGCCTGCAAGTACTTCGAGATGTGCCTGATGGTGACGGCCGACCACGGCCCGGCGGTCAGCGGCGCCCACAACACCATCGTCACGGCGCGCGCCGGCAAGGACCTCGTCTCGTCGCTCGTCTCCGGCCTGCTCACCATCGTACGTGGCCGGCGCGCTGGCGGCGCCGCTGTCGTCCTGTTGGGAGGGGCCGCGCTGGCGGGGCCGCTGTCGCTGTCCTGTTGGGAGGGGCGGCGCTGGCGGGGCCGCTGTCGCTGTCCTGTTGGGAGGGGCCGCGCTGGCGGGGCCGCTGTCGCTGTCCTGTTGGGAGGGGCTGCGCTGGCGGCGCCGCTGTCGCTGTCCTGTTGGGAGGGGCGGCGCTGGCGGCCTGTTGGGAGATGCGGCGCTGGAGGCGCAGCGCAGCGTAGGACTGGTCGGAATTCGGAACAGCTAGCCGTTAAATGCGTCACTGGGTCATTAAATGCATCGAATGCGTTAACTCGTTAAGTGCTTTTTAGTTTGGTCACACGACGCAGGCCATTGGAAACGAATTTTGCGACATTTTAGAGCATTTTGCATCAATGACGGATGTCAGGTCACAATTAGACAGCACTACGCAAGATGTAAATAACGTATGATCAGTTGCTCCACAGAGAGAATGCCTGACTTATACCAGACCGACCATCCTACTGAGACGCGATGGTGTGGTAATGGTTGATATGCTGTGGTTGGTTGAGCTCCTTGCTGGCCCGCCGGCCTCTGAGGGGAGAGGTGTTGCCGTCTGCCCTGTTGCCGGGGGTGTGGCAGCACCCGGCTGAGTCCAGGTCAGGTCGGATGGTGACCTCGGCCGCTCCGCCCGCAGGGAGATCGGTTCGGGGGCGCGCTGGACGGTGCCGCGCGCGTCTTCAGCGAAGGCTACGACTCCAACCTGCACCCCAATGACTTCGTCAACATGATGCGCAAGAAGGGACAGCTCATCATGGGCATCGGCCACAGGGTCAAGTCGGTGAGAAGTGCTGACTCGCGCGCTATCTTGAGTGTTACATGTATTTGATGTATTGTTCATTTTCACTTGCCGTGGTAATTCTTATTACACGGAGTAAAGAAGACCTGCTGACGATGAACCTGGACAGCGTGATGGCTGGAGGTAAGTGTGGCAGTGCGATTGATTAAGGTCTATTATGTTCAGAGCGCGGTTTGTTTAAGGCTCACCTGGTGTATAGCGGCTTTTCGGATCTTGGTGCGCGCCTTATCGTGGAGGGTTTGCTAGTTCCGTTTGTACTGCGCCACCGCCCACGACTCTGGGGATCTGCCAGGGAAGCTGTCTGCAGACGTCCCTTCCTACTATGTATGCTTCTTCCGTTCCCAGATCAACAACCCCGACAAGCGCGTGGAGATCATCAAGAACTTTGTCAAGGAGAACTTCCCGGCCACGCCGCTGCTGAACTACGCCCTGGAGGTGGAGAAGATCACCACGTCCAAGAAGCCCAACCTCATCTTGAACGTGGACGGCGTCATCGCCACTAGCTTCGTCGACCTCTTGCGCAACTCTGGCATCTTCACGACGTAAGCTCTCCACCAGCAGCGGTGACTGTCATGTCGACACCGCCAGAAGTACGCCAAGCCATCCGCCGGCGCACGCCTCTTGGTCCAACATGTTACGTGGGCCGCAGACGCGTGCACATTGTTGTCTGCAGCCAGCGGTGACGTAAGCAGATGTTCATAGCGAGGCAGCAGCTGAGGCGACTGGTGTCTCGTACCATGGAGCTCAATAATTATGTCGAGCACGTTCGTCGATGCTGGTAAAATCTCGTCATTGGCATTGTAGCGCACCGGCTCAGTTAACTGAGCCCCTTAAATTCTTGTTGATGTTCGTGGCATGCGCGAATAGTCCCTGCTTCAACCCAGGCTGGTATTGCTGCAAGCACGTTTTGCCTGGTTGTGTCCTCCGTTCAGGTTGTGCCCTGCTAGATCGTACCGTATTTGACCGCGGCCTCCCTGTGTGCCCACTCCTCTTTGCTCGCGTCACATCGCCGCGCCTCTGTGCTCCGGCAGTGAGGAGGCCCAGGAGTATGTGGAAATCGGGGTCCTGAACGGCCTGTTCGTCCTGGGTCGCAGCATCGGCTTCATCGGTGAGTCCCGCTGGCGTCCGCGGACGCTCCGGAGCGGGCCACATCCCGCAGCTGGGGTGGCCGAGGACTGGTAACCGCTGAGCCGCACAGCTGGCCAGCGGACTTAGCGCAGGCCGTGTGCAGGCGTTGTGCTGAGGCCCGCGTAAGCTGTGTTCCACCCCGCCGCGCTGGAAGACAGCTTCTGCCGTCCGGCCGGCGGCGTTTGGGCGCAGACGCCGACCGCGTCGCTCCGTGACCGCTGCTGACTGCCGGTCCGCTGCGTCCAGCTGCAGCAGCGGTCTGTGGAGCAGTGCCGCTGCCCTGCAGCTCAGACTGCCTTCCCGCCGCTCTTTCCGTGTCATCACCCGAAGCATTGCGCAACTGAGTATGCCCGTTAGGCGCACGCTGCACCCTCTACTCCTGCTGACCACGCGCGTCCTGCCGCAGGCCACTACCTGGACCAGAAGCGCCTGAAGCAGGGACTGTACCGGCACCCGTGGGATGATATCAGCTACGTGATGCCCGAGAAGTATGAGGCCTACAACTTCGAGGGCGCCCAGCAGTAGGGCGCATGCGCTGCGGGCGCCCTGCGGTGGCGGTTGACACACCTGGCCGCCGGACGGGCCGGGCATGTGGCGGGCCCCGCCGCGCCGCCTCCAGCAGCGTGCCGTGCCGTGCCGTAGCCAGCTCTCCGTAGCCGGCCGTCCTTCCTCCACAGCCGACCGGCGGCGCCTGCGCTCTCTCTCTCGACTTCCTCCGTGTCTGTCCGTGTGACGGCGACCGCGGCTGCGGCTCGCCGGTCGTCTCCCTCGCATGCGGGGCCAGGTTCGGCTGCACGTCCTCGGCCGAGGAGCCGGCGCATGCGCACCTTTGGGGGGGACGCTGGTCATGGGGGGGGGGGGGGGCTACTGCCGATGTCGCCGGTCCGGGGTCGCACTGTCGGGCGGGGAGGGCTGGGCTTGGCTGGGCGCGCGCAGCCCGTCGCGCTGGTAACGGCCGCCCGTTTCCAGCGTCTACAGCGGCGGCGACCCCGGCGCACCCGGCGCGCCGCCCGCCGCCAGCGCCGACGAGGCCAAGTGCTCCGTCAGCTGAGCGCGCGACCACGTGACTGGCCGGCCGGCCGGCTCCGGCGAGATTATGCTATTTTTGTAGAAATGCCCTCGCTGTCTGCGGGAACGGCGTGCTGTTCCGTCGCAGATCTGTTAGTTTCCCGCTGGATCGCAGGTAATGGAGCGAGATCTTGGCTGCTTTTAGTTCGCCGCGATCGGGGTTGCTTTTAACGGTCCTTCGCACATCGTGGTACCCAATAGTGGCGAGTTATTTATTTTAGATGTTCAAATGTTTAGGTTCGCGGATGAGTGCGCGTTTGGCCCAGAAAAGACCAGGGCCGCTTCCGGCCCGTGGGGGTGGGGAGGGGGCGGCGGCAGGGAGAGCTCATCGCTCTCAGCCGGCTTCGGCGGGGCGCGGGCGCACACGGACGAAGGGAACTAGAAGTGCTGAACGAAACGAAACATATCAGAGCGTGTCTTGGCCGCTGTCGGGCCGCGTTCGGTCCTTGCCAGCGCTGGGTGTTGTAGTGTCTCGGTGTTCAAGCGGCGCCCGTAGCCGCGCTGTAGCAGGCGGTCCGCGGTAGATGCTGGTGAGGTTCGTGCGTTGTCCGCCAGGGTGGCTGCCCGAGGACGGAGTGGCTTGTCGATGCTTTTACGGCGTTCTGTCGTGGGCGTAGGGTGTCCTTGCTTCGCTAGGAGCGTGGTATCAAATCCGCGCAAAGGCTGCCGTTTCTCAGTGTTCCAACTTTTCGGTGTGTTCCAACTTACCTGTTTACCAGCGGGAAATTTACGGTTGACACAGGGAAGCGCCCAGCGCCAAATTGGATGATGCGTGTGGTCAACGGTGCATCGTATGACTGGGGGGGGGGGGGGGAGGATGGAGGCCAGAAACGCGTCACCTCCACCCAAGCATTTTCTAACGGACGCAAGTGGGGCAGGTGCTCCTTTTCACTGGTGTTGCCATGTGACGAGGGGCCCTGCTGCCCCTCTGCCCCCCCTGGCTTGAACCCGCCCGCGGTCCGGCCGCGCGGCGGTGCACCGACCTGCGTCGCCTTCCTCCGCGCGCCGCTCCTACCGGGTGCGCGGAGCGGCGCTTCCTCCTGTTCAAGGCGGCGGTCGGTGCGGCCGGCCACTGCCCGGGGCAGCTGTGTCGCTGCCCGGGTGTCGGGAGACTTCCGTATCGTTTGGCGGCAGGCGAGCGGCCCTGTGGTGTGATCATTGTTGATGTTAATATTACGTGGTGATTGGTAGATGCACAATAAAAATGCAAAATGTTGCCGGCCGCGTGTGGGGCACCAGTGATTCTGGCTGAACCCAGTGAACTGCGTGGTGCCGTCGCCAGCTAGCGTTCGCGTATCCCTGCCGCCATCGCCCGCTTCCGAAACCCGATGACTGTTGAAACATTCCGCAAGTGTCTTGAGCCCTCATGGGGAGAATGATTGTGCATCACTTCTTGTAAGACAGCGTCAAGCATCAGATTCGCAGGCCGGTAAAGTGAGACTTGTCACGGAAATCAGCTGGGAAACTTGACTCATGGGGCCAAGGGCAGCTAAATTACTCTTTGTCTCTTCGCACATTGGGGCAGTTTAACTGCGCTCCCAGAGTGGGCTCAGCTCTCCTGTGCACATCGTTTGATGCCGTAGTCTTACACACCTCATTAGTTGTTCATTTTTATTCGCAGGAGTCCTCGTACGGTATGAAACCATTGCGTGGAAGTTAAATGTCGTTCATCAAACGACTCAACACACATCAACAGTGTAACAAGCTTGGGTTCCGCTCTATTGACCTGCACGTACCTACATGAACGCACTTTGAGGCTTTGTTGTCGAATTCTACATCACCGACACCACAGCTACCACTGACCCCCGACCACTGGCTGATGCCTGGAGCCCACGGGCGCGCCGATGTCAGATCAGTTTGCGCCAATCACTAGTGTTTGCGAGATTTGGGTTCCCAGCAAGTCGTAAACGAATGGCAGTAACACATCACAGGAGCATCACATGTCCAGCATCACGAGTTCGGAGACAGACTGGATGGGTCTTCACCCCCCAGCCCAGACGCCCTCTCTTCTGTGGGCCCGTGCTCTCAAGCTGAGCTGTGACTAGACTGGAGTCGTCAGGAGCGGCATAACATAGCTACGGAGTGTGAACATCCTCTCCACCACGGCTTGCACTTCCCGCGACCGCGACCGCTCGGTGATCCACGCGATTACAATTCGACACACGCACCGCCACCCCGACACCACCGGGCGTCCCTGCCGACTGATCGCTTACTCTGTCCTCGTCACCCGCACGCACCGCCGTCCCAGCGTCGCTGTGTGTCCCCGCGGCCTCCTCACCGTCCGCGTCCTCATCACCAGCCTTCCCCTTCACCTGCCCCCCGGCGTCACTGGATGGCTCCACGGCGCCGCCGTCCAAGTCACCGCCCTCGTCACGAGCGGGGTCGGCCGGCAGCCGGAGCAGCGCGCGGTACTGACCGCGCAGCGCCGGCCAGCCGAACCGACGAGCCAGGGCAGCAGGCGCGCCGTCGGCGGCGGCGGCGGCGCGCGCAGCGCCTGGGCGCCGGCACCACTGGCGCAGGCGCCGCAGCAGCTGGCCGGCCGTGCGGAAGAGGTGGCGCGCCTCGAACCACTCCGGATAGACGAGGGCGGACGGGCAGAGTGGCGTGCAGCCGCTCGCCACCGCCTCCAGCCTGCCAGAGGGCGGGGGGGGGGGGGGGGTTCAGCGGAAGGGGTGGCGCGCCTCGAACCACTCCGGATAGACGAGGGCGGACGGGCAGCGGCGTGCAGCCGCTCGCCACCGCCTCCAGCCTGCCAGAGGGCGGGGGGGGGGGGGGGGTTCAGCAGAAGGGGTGGCGCGCCTCGAACCACTCCGGATAGACGAGGGCGGACGGGCAAAGTGGCGTGCAGCCGCTCGCCACCGCCTCCAGCCTGCCAGAGGGCGGGGGGGGGGGGGGGTCAGCGGACGGCGCCCGACGAGAGCGGTCGCCCGGCCGCGCCGCCTGATGGGACTGGCGGCCAACGTAGGCGACTACACGCCCCGTTCTCAGGCGGAGCCAGCTGCCATCTCTGACAGACGGGGAGCTGGTGACAAGCAGGGGAATAATCGATCGAGTGTGAGCTCCGACTAGTGAACGGGTGTCTAACACAGTAAGCGCAGGGAGAGGACATCCGATGGCGATGCGCACCACCAAACAACATCCTGGCGGTCCCGGCACCGGCCGCGGTACAGAACCGCCAGCTGACGCTAATTCAAGCTGGGCGGGGTATACACGCAGCACGGAAGACTTTGCCACTGGCGTCTGCGCTGGCGGGAGGGACTCACACAGCCACGCCGAAGAACTCGTGGTCGGCCGTGGAGACCACGACGTCAGCGGACCTCAGCACCTTCCAGTAGTCCTCCTTGGACTCCAGGTAGCCCCAGTTTTCAATGTGATCCTGAAACGAGAGCGGATGAGCATCGCTGTTTAAAGGAGTTACCGGCCTCGGTCAGTAGAGGGTCCCTGCGACACAGACGGCCGGGGCAGACATCTTCCAACCTTAAAGCGTTACAGTAAGAACAATTACCAAAAAATATTGACGAAATAAAGCCTTATTCCTAAAGCAAAAAACAAGTGGCTCCAAGACTATTTCCACGCGCTGGTAAAGCCTAAATGCATTGAACAGCGAACAGCGGCGCCAGTGTTCAGCGGATTTAAATGTGGGTATCCATGCGCTTGTTCACGAAAACTTTGCTTTTCGAGCGTTCTAACCTGATGCGAAAGATATTGCCGACGCACTTTTGACTTGACCAGGCGAAACAGATCAACGCGTTAGCACCCACCACGGGAGCAAGTCTCGTCGTCGCCGGCTCATGCACTCAGTGTCGTCGCCATCCTGACGCCCACCAAGCGTCGGCCGAAGAGGCGCACTTCGGCTGGAGCCGGCGGCGCCCCGACAGTGGCGCCCGGCCTCACCGCCAGCTCGCGCCGGACCTCACCGTCAGCTCGCACCTGACCTCACTGTCAGCTCACCCCAGGCCTCACCGTCAGCTCGCGCTGGCCCTGGACCTCACAGTCAGCTCACCCCGGACGTCACCGTCAGCTCGCGCTGGCCCTGGACCTCACAGTCAGCTCACCCCGGACGTCACTGTCAGCTCGCGCCGGACCGCACCGTCAGCCCACCCCGGGGCCTCACCGTCAGCTCGCGCTGGCCCCTGACCTCACAGTCAGCTCACCTCGGACGTCACCGTCAGCTCGCGCTGGCCCCTGACCTCACAGTCAGCTCACCTCGGACGTCACCGTCAGCTCGCGCTGGCCCCTGACCTCACAGTCAGCTCACCCCGGACGTCACCGTCAGCTCGCGCTGGCTCCGGACCTCACCGTCAGCTCACCCCGGGCTTCAATGTCAGCTCGCGCCTGACCTCACCTTCAGCTCGCGCTGGGCGCGCTCGAACTCCGGAGGTGCCTCGTCGCACCGCTCGCCCAGCACGGACAGCCGGAAAGGTAGGCCCTCCTCGTGCAGCTGCGTCATCGTCTCGAAGAAGAGTGCCGGGTTCTTGTCATGCTCCCTGTATCAGGAGGCGGCGTCAGGACTGGCAACGGCGGAGCAGCGCGGACGGCACCGGGTCGCCCTTCGGCAGCGCCGCGCTCACAGCAGTGTGGTGCTGGGCATGGGGGAAGTAAGACGGGGCAAGACCCTGGCCCGACAGCGAGACGGAACGGGCGACTCAACCTCGGCCCGTCAGAACGGCGCCTGTGTGCACACCCAGAGCACACGGCTGCGCATGGCTTGGGGCGCGTCTCGAAGCTATATAACACATTATATATATATATATATATATATATATATATATATATATATATATATGTCTTATATAGCTTCCTCCGTTCTAATGTAACGATGAGAGGACTGCCATTCGCCTAGGTTTGACTTGATGGCCCTAAGCTTGCTTCGCGCATTTTTGTGGTTGTCAGTGCTCTTTCAATCGCATGCCTTTTATCAATCTATCTTTAAAAGAGCTGACAGCGCCCGCCTGAAGTCAGAGAGCGGCGCTCGGAAAGAGCGAGTGTGAGTTCCGACTGCTGCCTCCTTTACCGCAGTGTCCGCCTTGTCGTTCCTAGGAACGTCGGCATGTCCAGGCGACAAACCGAAGGCAATACGCTTACCGATCCGTTCGAGGGATGCAATAAATCGCATGACCTGGTCTGATAAGACGTGTGCTGTTTTCAAGTCATGAGTGGCTAGAATGCTGTTCGAGGAATCGACCGGAATAAAAAGCCGCTCCATTCGTTGCTCCACCGCAGCGGCTAAGGCTTCCTTAACTGCGAATAGTTCAGCGGTAAAAGCCAAACAAAAAAGACAGTGTAAATCATTTCGTCTAGCTGTCGCACGCTCCAGCACATCCTGTGTCTGTCTCAGACCTTGAGCCATCTATGTACATGCGAAAGTACGCATTGTAGTCGGCGCACATACGCTGGAGAAACTCAGAACGAAACTCCTCAGCACTTGTCAATCTTTTGGCCGGGAGATGAAGCGAGAAATCGCAGATCGGTGCTGGGAGGCCCCATGGCGGGCATGGTGGGCCTATCACACGAGTGGTGCCCTTGCTTCTGATGTCACATCTCGCAAACTCCTCTTGACCCTCACAGCCAGAGGCTCTGATGAGCTTACTGGCTGTGATGAGCTTACTGGCTGACAGTGGCGGTTCGTTCACGCCAACCAAGAGACTGGAGATAGGAATGGTTCTAACTGGAAAAGACTCAGACAGCTGCCGGGCCCAGCCAGGGCACGAGTTGAACCCAAGAAGGCGGCACCCATCTACCGCGGTAGGAGGCATGTAACACCACTCACCATCGGTGTGGCCAGAGGATGTGCAGGGCCTGTAGCACCTCTCACCATCGGTGTGGCCAGAGGAAGTGCAGGGGCCTGTGGCACCACTCACCATCAGTGTGGCCAGAGGAAGTGCAGGGGCCTGTGACACCACTCACCATCGGTGCGGCCAGGGGATGTGCAGGGGCCTGTGGCACCACTCACCATCGGTGTGGCCAGAGGATGTGCAGGGGTCTGTGGCACCACTCACAGTCGGTGTGGCCAGAGGATGTGCAGGGGTCTGTGCACCACTCACCATCAGTGATGATGATGATTTGGAGTTTTAGGGCGCATCCACTGCTAGAGGTCATGCAGCGCCCATAACTATCGATTCATGCAGAGCCGTCAATCAGAGAAGTGCATCAATCAGGTCACCCTATAGAGCCATGATGATCGGCCCTAGCATCATGATGAGAAGATTACAGGAAAATCTATAGCGCGGAGGAACTGGAGCACTTTACCAAACCCGACGATGTTCGAAGAATCCCCTAAAAAGTCGCATAGCGTGCGACTCTGGACGTGGCGTCCGAAAAACTGCGCTCTCGTTGCAGTAAGGTGGCGGCAAGCGACCAGTACGTGATGCACGGTCAGTGGATCAGAGCATCGACCGCAGCATGGTCTGTCGCCAGCCAATAGCAGGTGACGGTGCGTAGCATATGTGTGACCTATGCGTAACCGGCAAAGGGCAACTTCTTCCACCCTATTGTCCCGAAAGCACGACTGCCATAATCCAATGCGGGGTTTCACCGACTGCAGCTTGTTGGCGCTCAGCGAGTTCCAGTACAACTGCCATCGCTTCTGCATAAACAGCGACACTGCGGGGTACATGTCTTGAGCAGGTAGTGGTGTTATAGGAATTCTAGTCCCTGTCGTGGCGCGCTTTGCTGCCGCGTCAGCAATATCATTTCCGCATATCCCCACGTGACTTGGGATCCAGCATAGAACGACCGTTTTTCCTGCTCGATCCAGTGAGCTAAGACGAGATTGAATGTCCTGAACCAGTGGATTCGACGGGGAGAAGCCGCTAACAGCCAGCAGGCTGCTCAAGGAGTCGGAAAGAATTAAATGCAGATTGCTATCGCCCACTTCAATAAAACAGGGAGCTTTGCTGATGGCTGTAAGCTCGGAAGTGTAGACCGACGCGTGTGAAGGCAATGTGAATGGCCGTGTTATGGATCCGCACACAAAAGCGCGCCCTACACCTGCATCCGTCTTCGAACCATCTGTATAAGTCATCATGTACCCGTCAAAGGGGGCTATATGCTCTAAGGCTGCGCCTCTGAGTTCCGTCATGAGGACACGTTGCTTTTGCATATTTGATAGAGAGACATCCACTCTTGGCGATGCTAGCTCCCAAGGAGCAGTCTCCATGGGTTTAGGTCTGATGACAAGCCGTAGGTTCAGGCCGCTCGCATCTAAAAGCTCTCTCATTCGTACACAGAAGGGAGAAGTTTTAGGTGACCGTTGACGTAGAAAAAGCCTTCGTAAGCTACGCGAAAACACTGCTTTGTAGGTGGGATGATCTGGGAACTGCGCCAGCTTGCACGTGTAGCGCAGTCCCAGCATCTGCCTTCGCAATGCTAGTGGGGGCTCGTGAGCCTCCACCAGAAGACTGTCTATGGGCGATGTCCGAAAAGCCCCTGTGGCGATACGGAGTGCGGCGTGATGCACCGTGTTCAGAGTACGTTTGATCAGGTCTGATGAGCTGTCGTAGATAAAACAGCCGTAGTCAAGTTTTGAACGAATCAGGGAGCGGTATAGGAGTAAGAGTGTCTCCTATCAGCACCGTATGACGTACGTCCCACGCACCTTAGGATGTTAAGAGATTATGAACATTTGTCGCGGAGATTTCTGATGTGCTCACGGTATGTTAGGCGTCGGTCAAAGCGTATACCGAGAAATTTCGCGGTATTCTCATTGGCGACGCGTTGCCCATACAGCCTGATTTCCATATCAGGACAGTGACGGCGACGACGACAGAAATGAACTGCAGTTGTCTTCGATGTAGAAAACCGGAAACCGTTAAGCACACTCCACTTCTCCAGACGTGTGACAGCCAGCTGCAGCTGTCGCTCCATCGTGCGAGTGGTCGATGAGCTACACCAAATAGCGAAGTCGTCCACAAACAGAGAACGGCTGATCCCATGTGGAAGCGTGTCCCCTATGTCGTTTATCATCACTGCGAAAAGAATGACACTTAATATGCTGCCCTGAGGCACACCATTGTCCTGTGGATACCTGTCGGATTGATAAGAACCAACACGCACCCGAAAGAATCTGTCAGTCAGAAAGTTTTGTAAAAACTTTCCCATGTGACCACGGATGCCACAATCGAGTAACTTCATCATAATTCCATGTCTCCATGTGGTGTCATAAGCTTTTTCTATGTCAAAGAAGATGGCGCCGGTATGACGCTTGCTACTAAATCCGGCTCGCACTGCGGTATCAAGAGTTAGATATGGTCGATCGTGCTCCTGTTCTTACGGAATCCGCACTGAGCATTCGTGAAAAAGTTCTGGCGTTCTAAAGTCCACGAGAGCCGCACATTCACCATTCTTTCCATGAGCTTACAAAGCGAAGATGTGAGGGCGATCGGGCGGTAGTCAAGAGCGTTCGTCCCACTTTTCCCGGGCTTTAAAATAGGCACTACTATTGCTTCTCGCCAGATTGGCGGGAAGTCACCTGACACCCATATGCAGTTGAAAACTGCCAGCAACGCTCGTAGTACACGGGCAGGAAAGTGCCGTATCATATCATTGTGGATGAGGTCGGGCCCCTCCGCTACACTACGCAGCGAGCGAATGGCCGCTTGAAGCTCCATCATAGTGAAATGTTTGTTGTACGTCAGGACGTCATCTGTACAAAACTTAACCTGCGAAGTTTCACATCGTGCCCTGTGCCGCAAAAACCGTGCATCGCAGGTGCCATTTCGGCAACGGTCTAACAGGGCTTCCCCAATGGCTTCTGCCACATCACTTGGGTGAGTGATGTCTTGACTTCCCACTCGCAGTACGGGAAGGGAAACTGCTGGATGCAGTCCAGCGATTCGCTTAATGCGGCCCCATACCTGTGACGTCGGCGTGTGGCGATTTAGTAAATTGACGTAGCTGCGCCACGATGCACGTTTCGCCTCTCGTATAGTGTGGCGTGCGGCCGCGCGTGCTTGCCTGAAAGCCAAGAGGTTTAATGTGCTGCTGTGCCGGTCAAAAGCCCTAAAAGCTCTCCGACGTGCACGAATAGCGTCGCGACACTCGTCGCCCCACCAGGGTACAGGGGTACGACGAGGGCATCCGGAGGTGCGCGGAATGCATCCTTTCGCCGCATCCAACACGAGAGACGTAAATTCCTCCGTAGTCGGAGTTGCAGAGTCGAAATCGTTGGAAAACGTTTCGTCCAGGCGAGTCTCAAATCCCCTCCAGTCCGCCTTCTTGAAATTCTAACGCTGAGGTCGAGCACCAAGAACAGTACCACCACGGTACCGAACCCAGACCGGAAAATGGTCACTTCCAAGGGGGTCCTCTGAAGCATCCCAGGTGAAGTGTGGTACCAACTGCGGACTACAAATGCTCAGGTCTAGCACCGACGATTGTCCGGATGGCAATGTAAAATGCGTTCTTGATCCTGTATTTAAAACGCAAAGACCTTCGTCACGCACGAGAGCCTCACATAGTCTCCCGCGAGTGTTCGTGGAAGCACACCCCCACACAGTGTGATGTGCATTAAAATCGCCTAAAACGAGTAGAGGGGGAGGAAGTTGAGAGACTAAGTCTCGTAGTCCTCCAGATGGAAATGAAACCCCAGGTGGCAAGTAGAGAGAGCAGACAGTTATGGTGCGGCGGTTGAAATTCACCGTTGCTGCGACAGCCTGCAAGTCTGTTCTCAACACCAGACGCCGCGTAGGTACGCTTTGGTGTACAGCCAAAAGAACGCCACCGTAAGCAACGGTGTCTGTTCGCATGTCAGTGCGGAAGGTAGTGTACCCTTTCAGGCTGAAGGCCGCATCAGGCTCCAACTTGGTCTCCTGGAGACACACGGCTACCGGGCAGTGCGTGCTTAAAACTGTCTGCAAGTCCTGGGTGCTTGACCTTACACCTCTACAGTTCCACTGTAAAACTGACTGAATGAAGAGGCTTTAAAAGCACTGTAAGGTTTTAAAAGAACTCAGCAGCGCTAGAGCCTGGCCCATGGTTGTTGGTTTTGTCGTCAGAACCCGAAGAGATCGGGCGGATCCTGGGTCGGATCCGGGGACTACCGCCATCTGTTGGCGAAATCGGCCCCGGCGGTCCACGCTTTTCCGGACGCCCCGTCCTAAACTGAGCCGGCGCGGGCGACGCCGTGGTCCTAGGCGGCGGTGGTGGTGGAGCACCCATAGACGGGTCTCTCCGCGAGTCGGAGTGGCCTGAGGGAGCTTCCACACGCTTTCGGGGAGGTGGGACTACCTCCCCCGTGGGAGCAGGCCCGGGGCCCGCACCCGACAGCCGACTGGCTGCCTTTGCCCTCTCCTGCTCCTGAAGGCGTGCACGTTTTGCCTCGCGCGCCCGTCTCTCCGCCTCTTGGCGCTCAAGGTTGTCCAGTTTCCGTCCCAACGTCTCACTCAGGGTTGTAGGACGTGATGCTCCTGGGGAGGACGGCTGTGAAGCCGGTGATCGCGCGCTTACTGGCGAAGACCGAGAGGTTCGGCTCCGGCGGGCCACGGTCCACTCATTGCTTTCGGCTGGTGTGGGGTGGGGCGGCGAGGTAACAACTGGCGCGCTGGCCTGTGCCTCAGAGGGGGCACAAGGTGCCAACGAGACGGGGGACGACAGTGTTGCCGATGCTGTGGCGTGCACCTGAGACGCCGGTACAACCGACAGCCCGAACGATGTAAGCAGTTTAATGAACTGCGTTCCAGTCATCTGGTCTAAGGAGACCTCAGGTGGGACATGGGCCTTGGCCGCCGTGGCATATGATGTCTTAGGGTGGCTCAGTTCATATAAGTCCCTTGCTTCCCGAAATGAGATGTTCTTCGTGGTTTTTAGTGCGATGATCTCCTTCTCTCTGGCGTACGCCGGGCATGCGCGATCAAAAGTGGAGTGAGGTTTCTGGTTTTTCCCACAGTTCACACACCACGGGTTCGCTGCAGTGCACTGATCGCTCGGGTGCTCCGGAGAAGCACACTTGCCACATGCTGGCTGGTTACGGCAGAAATCCCTCGTGTGTCCAAACATCTGGCACTTAAAACATCTCATGGGGTTCGGAATAAAAAGGCGCACCTTCACCTTCACATAGCCTACCTTTACTCAGATGGTATGTCAGGACGATTAAAAGTCAGTACGATATTGTTGGTGGGGACCAACTCCGCACCCCTGCGCACCTTGATGCGGCGAGCATCTGTCACTCCGAACTCGGCAAGGCCGTCGACTATCTCCTCCTCGCTGACATCTTTCAAGTCAAAGCAGTTGATGATACCCTTTGAAGAGTTTTTTGTCCTGTGAACCTCAACGGTCATCGCCACTGACACGTCCTTTTTCCCTTCCGCATCCCGCACGCAGTACACAAACCTATCCGAAGTCATTGCCCGTTTCGCGTCCTCTCCATTCTGAAACTCGACCTCGATCCCACCGTCCTTCAGCTTATCACATCGGAGCACCTTTCCAAAACGATCACACCCATTTCGCCTTTGAAAGGGCGAAAGGGAAGACAGCGCCTTCTCGGCGCCTCGAAAAATCAAGATTCGAGGGGTAGACGCTGATGCGCTACCTCCTGTACCCTCTGTCCGCCCCCCTTTCGGGGTGCGGGTGTTTTTTTATTTGAAGTTGCCATAGGTGTACGGTTTAAGTATTCGGCACCGAGGCTCCCCACCCACCTCGGAGCCCAACTGGGGGACGGCCCACTCACCCAGGGGGTGGTGGTACCGCCAGGGCCACCCCGGTGCTATACGGGGCGAACGACGCCTCCCGCACGGCCAGGTGTAACCGGGGAGACCCCTCCCCGTCCTGACCGTGGTTCAGCGCCGCCACCCCTTGACCCCTTAAGCCGCTGCGCGCGGTCAGGTGCCCCAAGCGGAGACCCACAAAGAGCACCCAATCGCAACGCGAGCGACAAGCCGCTAGACCCGTGTGGGGCCCCACGGACCCCCCACGCCCCCGGATATTCTGGCCAAAGTGGAATGTTGGGACGTGCCGTGACTGACCCGCACGACGCGCCCCTCAGCCACCAGGATCCGATCAACCCGGGGACGTGGGCGAGGGGGCACGGCGACCCCGATAAAACGAGGATGAGGAATGGTGATAGGGCCGGATGTGGGAGTGCGGGTGAGGTGGAAGGAGCGAGTGGGACAAGGAGCAGGAGCTCACGCACCGACAGGGTCGCTACGCCCTGAGAGGACCAGCTTGCGCTGTCCACCCGTTACCGAGCTGGGACCCGAGGGGGCGCTAGTCCCCTACACCGACGACCGAAGCCGGTGCCCTGCGGGGGGCGAGGGGGCACGGCGACCCCGATAAAACGAGGATGAGGAGTGGTGATAGGGCCGGATGCGGGAGTGGGGGTAAAGTGGAAGGAGCGGGCGGGACAAGGAACAGGAGCTCACGTACCGGCAGGGTCGCTACGCCCTGAGAGGAACAGCTTGCGCTGTCCACCGTTACCGGAGCTGGGACCCGAGGGGGCGCTAGTCCCCTACACCGACCGAAGCCGGTGCCCCTGCGGGGCTCACCATCAGTATGGCCAGAGGGTGTGCAGGGGTCTGTGGCGCCACTCACCATCGGTGTGGCCAGAGGGTGTGCAGGGGTCTGTGGCGCCACTCACCATCGGTGTGGCCAGAGGATGTGCAGGGGCCTGTGGCACCACTCACCATTGGTGCGGCCAGAGGATGTGCAGGGGCCTGTGGCACCACTCACCATTGGTGCGGCCAGACAATGTGCAGAGGTCAGTGGCACCACTCACCATCGGTGCGGCCAGGGGATGTGCAGGGGCCTGTGGCACCACTCACCATTGGTGCGGCCAGAGGATGTGCAGGGGCCTGTGGCACCACTCACCATTGGTGCGGCCAGAGGATGTGCAGGGGTCAGTGGCACCACTCACCATCGGTGCGGCCAGAGGATGTGCAGGGGCCTGTGGCACCACTCACCATTGATGCGGCCAGAGGATGTGCAAGGGCCTGTGGCCACCATCACCATTGGTGCGGCCAGAGAATGTGCAGGGGTCAGTGGCACCACTCACCATCGGTGCGGCCAGAGGATGTGCAGGGGCCTGTGGCACCACTCACCATTGGTGCGGCCAGAGAATGTGCAGGGGTCAGTGGCACCACTCACCATCGGTGCGGCCAGAGGATGTGCAGGGGTCAGTGGCACCACTCACCATCGGTGCGGCCAGAGGATGTGCAGGGGCCTGTGGCACCACTCCCATTGGTAGCGGCCCAGAGGATGTGCAGGGGCGTGGCACCACTCACCATTGGTCGGCCAGAGAATGTGCAGGGGTCAGTGGCACCACTCACCATCGGTGCGGCCAGAGGATGTGCAGGGGCCGGTCCTCCGCCGACTCCCCGAGCCGCGCGCCCAGCGCCACCCCCGGCAGGCACAGCGGGAAGTACAGCACACGGCACTTGGACCGAATCTGTAAACGGCCACCAATGTCAGCGCCGCGCCGCCGCTGGCGTCTCGTGCTGGTGCCTGGTCCAAGGGCACAAGTGGGCGAGTGATGAAGGTGTAGGGCTCCAAATCGGGAGGTTCGATGCCAAATGCAGTCAGCGTTTACTGACACCCAACGCCAGCGGAGTGTGGCGATGTTAATAATCCTGGCAGGCGCAACAATAAAAAACAAACGACGACCACTTGTGGGCTGCCCCAGACCCACACCAGTCCGACCCGTCATCATCGTGGTAGACGGTTTCAGTAATCACACACGACAGGACCCAGCGCTGATGGGCTCACAATGGTTTCGCGTCAGCTGGACAGGACGCGCGTGACATCGGTCTTAACAGTCACATGCTAAGCAAAACATTATGTTCCAGCTACAGTTGGCGGCTACTTGGCATCGGACAACTAGTTGACGCCAGCGTACCTTATCAGCCAGTCCTTTGGGGCGATAGTCCGGTTGTGTCTTCATGAAATGGTTTATATTGCCCAAAAACGACTCCATGTTATACCCGGAATTGAAGACGACCTCGTCGGCAACCAAGCTGAAACATTGTTCCTAATGCGTTACAATCCCACTGCCGTCTTCACGGGCACTTGTCTGCAAACACACACCGAGGTCACTGTGATATCTATGCCTTACAAATGGTAACGGGGTCAGCAGCATCTGCCACCCACCATCACTTTTCACCCCCTTCACACACATCGACACACATCCAGCGGCCGCTGGCGAGCGCAGCGAAGCGCCGCCCCGACTCGGCTGGCGGCGCTCCTCGCCGCTCCGGCTCGGCTCGGCTCCCTCCGTCCACCGGCGGCCGCCCTCCCCCCCCGCCGCTCACCAGGCAGTGATCTGGTTGTAGCCGTATTGGAAGTCCGTGTCGGTCCGCTTCCGCACCGGGTATACCAGCTGGTTTTCGTGGAAATAGAGCACCTTGTGTGGCGCGGCCAGGTCCGGCCGGAGGCCGCACAGCTCGGCCAGTGGCGTCACCGATGACGTGAACAGCACGCTGCCAGCACGCGCAGTGACGTCATCCTCCCCACGCGGTGACGTCATCGGTCGTGTTGGGTGCCGGGGCCGGGACGAGGAGCGTGTTGCAGAAGGGCGTAGGCGTGCCACCGTACGGGAGCCGCGACAGGCACAGGCGGGCTCACCGGTTGACGTAAATGCTGCGCCCGGTCCAATAACTTAACCCACGACCGTTTCGATCGCCAGGTCTAGCACATCACACAGCGAACGTGACATGGCGGAAACCAATAAAAATAATCATGCCATGCCATGGCTATAGGCAGTACAGTTCCAACGCTTCACAGCCGAGTGTTGAATTCGTTGTTGCATAACCTGACATCCTAGCACCAGAGCCTGGCGCTACGGCCGACAGCCGCGACAGTGCCGTGTTTCTCACCTGAACTGCTGGCGTGGGATAACCTCAGCCAGGTGGAGCGCCGAGGTCCTCGCCCGCCAGTGCCACTTTCGGCCCGACATGGTCGTCAGGTGGCAGCTGCGCTCGTCCAGCTGCAGACCTGCCGCGACACAGGTCAGGTCAGCTCATACGCGGAGATAGGTCACCAGGTGCTGGCGGCACGACACGGCGCAGGGCCACAAAGCAGGTTGCACGGATGGTGTCTGCCTGTCTGGAGTCACAACAACCGCCACATATGAACTGGCGGCATTCGCGGGACCAACGCACGCGGAGGCCCTCCGACGGCACAGCACGGCGCTGGAACCCTCCATTACACAAGCGATCTTCGCATCACCCGTCACGGTCATCCGCGGACCCCAGCGCGCGCAGGAGACCCGCTGGCGGCCGGCTTACCAACCTTGCGTCAGTGTGGTGATCAGCTGGCGGTGGGAGCCGGCGTAGAACACCTCCACGAGGAGAATCATAGCGCCGCTCGCGGCCGACCGCCGACTTCCCTGCCGACAGGGTAGGTGTCGGCAGGGTGACGTACAGGGCACCGAGCAAAAACAAGAGCCAGCCTCAGTCGCCGGGATTCCCCGAGCATGGGGTCCTGAGGGCAACGCCTTGGCTCTAATTGGTCAGCTCGAGTCACAGACACATCCACAGCCCTTTACGTAAATGAGACGCAATAAGGTATCGATATCACAAGTGGCTATCATGTATGCATCTCTGCCCCCGCCCTGCTCGCCCGCCCCGGATACCGACGCCGACGCGGCGGAGCGCGGCAGCAGTGTATTCCCTCCCAGTGAAGAGCAGCGTATTCCCTCCCCAAATGAGAGCGGCGGTTCATTTGCCTCTACCAGAAGGCTTCCAACTGGAGACGTTCTCATGTCAGAAGGCTTCCCACTGGAGACGTTCTCATACCAGAAGGCTTCCAACTGGAGACGTTCTCATATCAGAAGGCTTCCCACTGGAGTCCTTCTCAACGCACCCGTTGCTATGTGCAGTGCTGTGTGATAAATGGCGTATAAACGACGTTTGAAGGAGGTGGGCGCGCGGTCACGCATAAAACACCTGCAGCCAAGTAAGATCTGGCGTTTTCGGATATGCTCTGTAAGAAATTCACGCCACGTATTTCAAGATGTTCAGTGTCTTAAAACACTTGCCACGCAGAATGATAAAATGCTCCTTGTAGGTCAAGCACTTATGAAGCCATATCCCAAAAACCGGGCCACCGTACTGCAAAGGATCGGCCGTCCATACAGCCTAAACACCATGCCAGGACACTGACACCGGCATCGACAACAGTGGATGGAAACTTCTTCGAGGTCAAAACCCGCAAACCGTTGAGCACGCTCCACCGTTCAAAGCCGGTCACAGCCAGCCGTACATGGCACCACATAAACGCTGTCGTGGCGGAGTTGCGCCAAATGACGAGATCATCGACGACAAGCGAGCGATCACAGTCTGGGGAAGACTGTGCCTGATATCATCAATCATGACGGCAAACAACGCAACATTTGAAACACTGCACTGAGATACATCGTTCTCTTGGTGTATCTGTTCGAGCGCCTAGAAGCGACATGGACTCGGAAGAAACGGTCAGCAAGAAAGTTCGCAAGAAAAGTACCCATAGCTCCGCGTATGCCATACTGGAACAGCCTCCGCAAGATGACATATCGCTAGGTCGTGTCATGAGCCCTTTCGACGTACAAGAACGCAGCCCCTCCGTGGTGCTTTACTTTAAAAGTAAAGCACACACTAGTGTCCAAGGCTAAAAGATGATCAATCTTGTCACGGTTTTTTCCTGAAATTACACTGAGTGTTTGTAGAAATACTGTTTCTTTCTAAAAACCAAGACAACCGTGTCTGATCATTTGCTCCAGAAGTTTGCACATGAAGGAGGTAAGCGCAGTTGAGCGGTAGTTCAACGGAACCGTCACACTCTTACCGCGCTTCAGTAGCGGAACTATTAGTCCCCGCTATTCCACTCCTACTACTACTCCTACCTACCTACTACTATTAGTACCTACTACGCTGACTTCTCCCCCGGTGGGGCCGAGCTTCGTGCTGGTTAAAAACGTGGATGGGAGAAGCTTTCGAACAGCGAGCCCCTTCGCCATCCGTCGTGAACTAGAGCTGCACGCTGGCGAAGTGGCAGTCGCGAAACCGCTCCAGTCAGGAGCCCTCCCAGTGAAGGTGTTAACCAAACGTGCGCCCACGGTGGGGCGCACGTTTGGGTTGACCTCGGCCAATACAGAGACAGCGTTTCGAGTACGAAATCTGCGCATGTCGAAGCGGCGATCACGATGCAACACTTGGCGACGAGGATGGGATCGTGGACGGGATCGTCGCGTGAAAAGTGGTGCAGTGGAAGAGTGCGGTACCGGGCTACAGGTTAGTAGCGGGCCAGTGCGGGCAAGATGGCGGCGGCCATGGACGCGGACATTGTTGATACGGCGGTGTTTTGCCGGGGCCGGAGGTAATTTGGATTCGGAGGGCCGTGTGTGTTGCCCAGGAAGTGAGGGCAAGGCTGCGCTGGGAACGTGGTGTGCCCGGGGAGTCAGGGCAAGAGACCGTGCCAGGATCGCCGCTTGGCGGCGGGGTGTGGACGGTGGCCATTGTCCCAGCGCCGCGCGGCGCGAAGTAGTGCCGCGGTCGGCCGGCAGAAGCGCCACCATCGGGTGACGTAGCGGCGGGCGATCAGCTGACCGGCGGCCGGCGGAACGACCTTGGATCAGCTGACCGGCGTCGGAAGCCATGGAGGCGGGTTTGGCGTTGCCGGGGGTGGCACAGTATCGTCCAGGGGATGACTTCCGAAGATGGGTAAAAAGTGTGGAAAGATATATGACGGCAGTGAACATTAGGGCACCAGAACGAAAGTGCGCTGTGCTGTTGCACCTCGTGGGGCCTGATGTGGCCGAAACGTACGAAACCCTGCCAGAGCCCGAGGGAGCGTTAGAGGACGCGTTCGAGAAGTGCAAAGTGCAGCTCGATGCGTACCTGGCGCCGGCAAGAAACGTCATCGCCGAGCGCATGGCGTACCACAAGATGGTGATGCAAGAAGGGGAAGACTTCGAACACTTCCTGGGTCGCCTCAATGTTAAGCTGCGCCAGTGTGGTTACCCAGCTGCGGAAATGGATCGGGAGCTCCGCGATCGCTGTGTGGCGGGCTGCAGCGGCCCTCTGCGGGAAAAGCTTTTCCGTAAGGCAGCGACGCGGGGTGACGCCCTGACCCTGGCGGAGGTGCGCGCCGCCGCGCGTGCTCACAAGGACGCCGGTGACCTGGCAGAGCAAATGGCAGGCGGCGGAACGAGCCCGGCCGACAGCGGAGCTCGGGCGGAGGAAGCGCTGCCGGTGCAGGCACTGCGGCAGCGGCCGGCGTCGGGCCGACAGCCACCGCCGGGCCAGTGCTACCGCTGCGGGGAGGCAGGCCACTGGCGGCGAGACTGCCAAGTCGGGCAGCGGGGACCCCGCCTGTCCGGTCGGGACCGGCAGCGGAGCGGCCCAGCTGGACCGCGGGGGCCCCAGGCGGCCCGGCAGGACAGCAGCGGAAGGAGCAGCGGGGATCGCCGACTGGCTGGGCGAAGCACTACGGCGCCAGACAACGAGCCGCCGATCCGGCGCTGTTTCAAGTGCGGCGACCCCGGCCATCTCAAGAGAAACTGCCCGCTGCGGGGACAGGTGGCATCCGTGGAGGAGGACGTCGTGTTGACAGTGTCACCGGCACAGTTGCGGCAGCGGGACCGGTTGCCGCTGGTGACGGTGTCGTTAACGGGAAGCTGCTACCGATGCTGGTTGATACTGGATCACCGGTATCGATCATGACCGCGAACTGCATCCCCGGACTGAAGCTGACTGCATCGGAGCTGCGGCTCAAGTCGTTCACGGGCCAGCCGGTGCCGGCGCGAGGTGAAGCAGCGGTCGATGTCGAATATAACGGACAGCGCAGACGCCTGAGCGCGGTGGTGAACGATCAGTCAGGACACCAGCCTGTCCTGGGACGTGACTGGCTGCGGGAAATCCGGCTGGATTGGCAGTCAGTGCTACGGATCGGCCGGACGAGCGAGGCACGGACGCTGGAGGCGGTGGTGACGGCGCACTCGGAGGTGTTTTCCGAGAAGCTGGGGAAGATGGCGCTGCAAGCTCACCTGACTCTGAAGCCGGGAGCGACGCCGCGCCGGCTACTGCCGCGCCCCGTCCCGTACGCGCTGCTGCCGCAGGTGGACGCCGAGCTGGAGCGGTGGGTCAGCGAGGGCATCGCTAGGAAGGTGGACCCGTCAGAAGCGAGCTCCGGCTGGGGCACGCCGCTGGTGCCGGTGCCGAAGGCGTCTGGAGGAGTGCGGCTTTGCGCGAGTTATAACCTGACGGTTAACCCGCAGCTGATCGTCAAGAGTCACCCGCTACCGAGGCCGGAAGACGTTTTCGCTGGAGTCCATGGGCGGCTATTCTGCAAGCTCGACCTGCGGCATGCGTACCAGCAGATGGCGCTGGATGACGCCTCACAGGCGATGACGACTGTCAGCACGCACCGAGGCGAGTTCGTCATGCAGAGGCTGCCGTTCGGCATCGCCAGCTCGGGAGCGCTCTTTCAAGAGGCCATGGATAGGGCGCTCGAGGGACAGGAAGGCTGCAGGTGGTACCTCGATGACCTGCTGGTTTTCGGTGAAGAGGAGCAGCAGCTGCTTCAGCGACTGGATGAGGTCCTGAGCAGACTGAAGAAGTTCGGACTGCGGTTGGCCGCGCAGAAGTGCAAGCTGATGGTGCTGGAGGTGGAATTCCTCGGGTGGAAGGTGACGGCAGACGGCATCACCCCGACGGACAGCGGCATCGAGGCGGTGCTGAACGGGCCGGAGCCGAAGGATGTCAGTCAGCTGCGGTCACTGCTCGGCTCGATCACGTACTTCGGACGCCTGCTGCCCGACATGTCTACGGTGCTGGCGCCGTTGTACGCGCTGATGAAGAAGGGCGCTCCGTGGGCATGGACACCGCAGTGTGCTGCAGCGGTAAAGAAGGTGAAGATGATGCTGACGAGCGCACCGGTACTGATGCGGTATGATCCGACTCTGCCGCTGAAACTAATCACGGACGCGAGCGCTGTCGGTGTCGGAGCGGCGTTGATGCACGTGACGCCAGACGGCGCCGAGCGGCCTGTAATGTTTGCGTCACGGACGCTGACGCTGACGGAGCGCAAGTATGCACAGGTCGAGCGGGAGGCAGCGGCGGTGTCGTTCGGGGTGAGCCGATTCCACCGGTTCCTGTATGGCCGCCCGTTCACGCTGGTGGTAGACAACCGCGCCCTCTCGCGGATCTTGAGTCCAGACAGGAATCTGCCCAGCCTGGCGGCGGCGAGACTTCAGCGTTACGCGCTGCAGCTGGCCGGCTACTCGTACTCCGTGGAGCTGCGGCGATCTGAGGAGATGCATGTGGCCGACAGTCTCTCTCGCCTGGCCGTGCCATGCAGCAGCAGCGAACAGAAGAAGGTCGACAGTGACGAGGTGGCCGGCAGGTACTT